GGATGATGTGGCTCAATATCTTAAATTGCGTTTACAATGATAGGGTCCTCCATCTTTATATTCCAACTATTGTTGGAAAAATGTAAGGAAAAATGCAAACCAAATCATTAGAACTCCAAAACTTTGCCACTTTAGCCCCTTATCGGTATTAAAGAAAACGTCATTTGCGTTTTTCTTCATTAATCTTTCTCTAAAAGTATATACTTTCCTTGCAAATAGAGTAGCCTCATCAGTTAATTTATGTTTATATTTGGTCTTCTTTTCTATTTCCTCTTCATGGGTCATATGCGATTATTATTCCCCAATGATTTGGACTCTCTCCACAAATAATTAGACCCAGCTTGGCTTTCTTTGATTACACAAAAGTTAGAAGTTATGATCATTACACTAAACAAAGAGCAAAGTAGTGCTGCAAGATTCATTAGCTATATCATGTAAAACCAAAATCTTTAGCTTTTTCTCTTTGCCTTTTTCTTGATTTTTAATTTTGGTGTGTTTACTATTAATCATGAGGTACATATTCAACAAATATTAAATGTTTTACCATAAAGCAACCCTTAATAGGTTACTGTTTCGGCATGAATTAATTTCAACTCTAGACGACATTTTTGACTTCGAACACTAGAAAATGAGAGCGATTATGATATCAGAAAACATGTCTTGATTATCTGGATTTGTTATCAAGTTATGATACACTTATTTTCTTTTGCTGTGGTAAGCTTACATTGTTTTTTTTTTTGCTATGTTTTTCTTTTGAGAAACATGAGGCAAAACTTATATTTATCCCCAAAACTTCTAAAAATTCAGATATCATTGCTAGTTATGTCTTTTATTTTTATTTTAAGCATATCTTTCGAAATCTTAAAGTATACGACGTTGAATGCACCTCTGCCTTTATAATTTTCATATCCCACCACATAAATTTTGCGCCGTTTAAGTTAAATGTGGTGAGATATTCTAGGTTGAGAGACATTTATAAACAAGTGTGAAGCTCAAGCTAGTGATGGTACGATGAATATTGAGAAGCTTCCAACAAAGGTCTTCGTTGTTCTTGTGCATAGAAAAGATAGACGAGTGTTCATGAAATTCTTAGAACAAGACTAATTAAGAGTGATTTTTAGGAAATTTGTGTTGTCCGTGGAAAACTAAAGTATGTCTTTGTGTTGATTAACATCCGACTGAATGATATTTTTAAGTTCACTTACTAAAACATTTTGGGACTTGGTGTGACAATTTCTGTGATTTTGGGATCTTTATAAGTATACTTCAAATGTCTTAACAACATAAAATCACAAAGACCAAGAAGCAAAAAAAAAACAGAAAAGAGAGTTCAGCATGTTAAATTTGCTTTTTACTTGGCGTTTCCAAGACCCATTCAAAGATGGAAAATATAGCGAACTCTACATTATTTTCCTGTTAATCGTAAGGAGTTTTATGTTTTTGGTCCGTAGTTTTTATTTTATTTTTGTCTAAGATCTCAGAACATGAAAATTAATCTCATATCTGCTGTTGGTACTTGAAGAAAGGTTCATATCAAGCAAACCCTAGTTTGTAATGAAGAACTACATCTTCGAGACGTAATTTATACCAAACACAAAGCGTCGACTCTTGTCATTCTCGTTGGTACATTTTTGTGAGTTATTTTATCGGTCAAAACAACATATATGAATGGTGGGGTTAAGCACAAACTCCTTTTACCACGTGATTTTAAACTAAATTGATTAATTATGTATATATACAAAGACATATGATATGAGGTAGAGAATATAATAAAGCCCTTTTACCATGAGGTTTCTTTTTCAATTTTTGACCAAAAAGAGATTCAATGAGATCCGTTATATAGATGAGATATGTATATTATGAAATAAAGCAAGAGGAGGTAGTGGACGATAGTATGCTTGCACAATAGTCGAGAGAGAAACACATTATTTTGATTTGAGGAGTTATGTTTGTTAACACCATGATCAAACCATTTACTAAAACACCAATTACTACTCATTTTAACAACACTTAGTCAAATTCAAAACATATGGCTAATTTGCTAGCTTTTATAGTAATCACATTAATTTGCATCTGAATGTCGCTCGATTAACTTATTTTCTTATTGATCAATCTAATCTTTCGTATCAAAACGTGTATAATACATGGAAGTGCAATCTAAATACCATGCAGTAGTAGATCAATGGCTTGAAATACATTTTGTGATTTCTACCAATGAAATAACCCGCCGGACTATAATTATTTGTTTAGATGAAAAAATATATGGAGTTCTTGCAATGAAAACAAGAGTTTTGTAGATTGTATATTACAAAACTAAAATTTATAATATGATTGGTGTATGAATGTTTAGTGGGAGATCTTCACATGCAAACATATCTAATGTGGGCAAACAAGAGATTGCTTGAAATAGACCAATCTTCGAGCGATCTGCGGGCAACCATTTGATTTTAACCTTGGTCCCCTTAGCCGCTTTTTCAATCAAAATGTTTTAGTTTTTATTTATTTATTTCAGGGATTAATAAATAGGAAGAATTTATTGGTAACATACAGAATATCTGTAATTCTATTAGTAAGTTCGTCATTACCAATATGCAAAGTTCGAAACATGTAGTTAACAAAGATTATATTCTAAAGCAAATTTTGGGTGGCATTCTTAGGTTTGCTTCTTTTTATAGTTCTTTTTAGTGGGAGCAAAGAAGATTTAAAGTGGGTTGTTGCGAATTTTTAAGGTTAAAATAATATTGGAATTTTTTGTATCAAACGACTCAAAATTATATGCTCTCTCCGTTACTTTAATTTATATGTTTTTTGATTATTACACATTTTAATAAATTACTTGTAACATCAAATATAACTCCACTATATTAGTTTTTTTTTTCAATCTAAGTAAGATTTGCGTTCTATTAAACTAATAGAATGGAGAAATTAAAAAATAAAACATTTTTCTCTTTATGAAACAGTTAAAAAAAAAATCCTAAAGGGAAAACTGAGCGAATGTATAGTCAAAATAAAAATAACAAGATATTTCGGATAATACGCAGGGTGGATTAGTTTCTTTTATCAATGTGTTTAATTGAAGTGTGGAATCGTTAAATACGCTGAGTGGAAAAATTAACGAAGTAGAGATCGAAAATTCATATTGTTTTTAATAGTTATTCCACTAAACAACGTTTTCTTATGTCAAATTAGTTGAGCTATTCGTAATTCTATAATATTATGTTCACAAATGATTATGAACATACTTATTAGTAACAAAAAAGGAGATTATGAACTTTTGTAAAGAAGAACTTTGAGCGTTTAAACACACAAAACCATCCATCTTACTAAATTTAGTAACTAAAAATGCGATTAGTACGTTTTAACTAGCTAAAAATAGTACAACCGCTTTCAATTAGCTAAAAATAGTAACTGAAACTAAAGTTAATCATACACACATTCATTTGTACCAAAAAAAAAATCAGTTACCAAAAACAAATCCGGTTGATGTTTTTTTGACCAAGTCCGGTTGATGTTTTTAACAAAAAAGTCCGGTTGATGTTTCCCGGCAGAATTTCTGAAGGTGCTGAGGGAGCGGAAAGGTGTGAAGGCAGTCGGATTTGTAATACTTTTCCGGCACTATTTCCTTTCGGAACCTAAAAATACCAAACATTTTTCACTTAAGACCAAACTTGATTGAAGTTTTTTTGTGTGTGAATAAATAAATGATTTAATGATATAAACAAAAGAGAGAGAGATGAGACAGAAGGTTGCTTTTGCAGTATTCCGGGAATGAAATGCTGTCTCTCTCCTAGGATTGGCGTGAGAGAAAGAGAGAGAGAGAGTAGTCCTTTCCTCTCTTTTGTCCTTCTTGTAATTAATTGATTTTCACTATTACAACAATCAAACGATATATATGTTCAATAAATATTTTATGATTGTAGTATTACCTTTTTATTGGAGATTAAACAAATGAGACTCTAAATAACCTTTTTAGGACCAACCTAAGATATACATAAAAAGATCAAGAAGATCTTTGTTGGTCACTCCTACGCACATCAATGCAAAAAGAGGAAAACGTCCGTTAACAATAAAATAAATAAAAAATTATGTTTTTGTTTTGTGCTAAAGAATAAGAAATGATGTTACTGATGTAAATTTAAACCATCAAATTATTTACAATTGTTGGTACTTTGATTAGCATGCATTGTAGACATTAATATACGTTTTTCATCCGGTTTTCTCATATCTCTATTTTCTTCTAGAAAAATATGTACTATTAATTTGTTTTCTTGATAAAAGAATGTTAGGTTTTCCATATCAGCGAGTGGGCATATATTAACGTGTAAATTATTTGAGGAAAAATACAGCTTTTGATGCTCTTATTCCCTAATAATTACCAAAATTTAAAAGAGATATGATGAGCAATGTGTTACACTGAAGCTGCACTGTAACTGTAAACCAAGTGTGAGGAGAAAAAAGAAGACAAAAAAGTTGAGTGAAATGCAAAAATCAAAAGCAAACAAAAGCTGCTCGTTTGTCCAAAAAGAAACCCATCATAAAGTAAAAGCATTATGAGATCAAAATCCCTTTAAAATAAAATACAAAAAAACTTTTATAAAATTTTCAAAATAATTCAAGAAGAGGAACAGAAAACCCAGCATGAAATAAGTATAAAGGAACCAGCTTGGTCTAATTTCCCTATCTGTCCAAAACTCTCTTAAACCTCTCTTTCTCTCTCCTTTTCTTCTCTTACTTATCTTCTTCTCTAAGAGACTCTTTCATAGATCTGTTCCTCTCCTCTCATTTCTTCGGTTCTCTTCTTCTTCTTCCGTCTTCAAACATAAGAAAGGAAGCGCCTTTTCTTCCGTTCTGTTTTGTTTCACTTGTGGGTTTACTTATTTGGGGGTGGTGGTTAAAGGAGGAACCTTTAGATTGAAGCAGTGAAATCAGAAAGCTTTCGGGAGAGGTTTTTCAGTTTCAAAAACGTGGGGGTGGGGGGTTAGGGTTTAGGGTTACAAGTTATGCGAACAGGTGGCTATACGATTCAGCAGACACTCACTACAGAGGCTGCTTCTGTCTTGAAGCAATCTCTCACTTTAGCTCGGAGAAGAGGCCATGCTCAGGTTTTTCAAAAAAATCTTTCAAATTTCCTAATAAAAATGTTTAAAGTTTTGATCTTTTGATGTTTGCTAATGTGAAAAGTTTTTGTTTTCTTCTGTCCAGGTCACTCCTCTCCATGTCGCAGCGACATTATTGTCATCAAGGACAAGTCTTTTGAGAAGGGCTTGCATCAAATCTCACCCTGGTTTTTCAACTAATTACCAGTTTGCCCCTTCTCGTCTTCATCATCAGCACCATAACCAAAACCATCCTCTTCAATGCAGAGCTCTCGAGCTTTGCTTCAATGTCGCACTCAACAGGCTTCCCACTGTTCCTGGTCCCATGTTCCATGGTCAGCCTTCTCTCGCAAACGCTCTCGTCGCTGCACTCAAAAGAGCTCAAGCTCACCAGAGACGAGGCTGCATCGAGCAACAACAGCAGCAGCAAACGCAAACGCAGCCTCAAACGCAGCAAACGCAGTTGCTCGCTGTTAAAGTGGAGCTTGAGCAGTTGGTTATATCCATTCTCGATGACCCGAGTGTGAGTCGGGTCATGAGAGAAGCAGGATTTAACAGCACCGCCGTGAAAACCTGTGTCGAGGATTGCTCCGTCTCCTCCGTCTTCTACGGCGGCTCCGTCGTCGGAGTTTTCTCTTCCCCAAACTCTCCCGATCAACAACAACATCAACACCACAACAACAACATCAACCGATTTCACCACCACCAAAATCCTAAAGACTTCAACTTTATAAACCCTAGCTACGCTTTATGGCAAACCCATTTCCTAAACCACTCTCCCGACCAAAACCCACTTTTGATCTCCCCCTCCTCTCACCATCATCACCAACGCCTGAGAGAAATCGATTTGAAGCTCGTCGTTGATGTCCTTCTGAGGAAGAAAACGAAGAAGAAGAACCCAGTGATTGTCGGAGACTCGGTCTCGTTCACGGAAGGATTCGTCTCGGAGCTAATGGCGAAGATAGAGAGAGGAGAAACCGATCAAATCGGGGATCTAAAGCAAACCCATTTCGTCAAGTTTCAGTTTTCACCAATGGCGTCGAAGTTTATGAGGAGAGAAGATGTGGAGGCGAACATTAAGGAGTTAAGGAAGAAAGTCGTCTCTCTCACGACGAGTGGCAAAGATGTAATAATCTTCACTGGTGACTTGACGTGGACAGTCAAAGAGATTAACAGCAACAACAATGGCGGAGCCAATGAGATTTTTTCCTCTTACAGTCCTTTGGATCATCTAGTTGAAGAAATTGGGAAGTTAATCGCTGAGTATAACCAAGAATTAGAAGATGTTGATGATTGTAAAATCCGAAGGGTTTGGGTAATGGGAACAGCTTCGTTTCAGACATACATGAGATGTCAAATGAGACAACCTTCGCTGGAAACACTGTGGGCTCTTCATCCTGTCTCTGTCCCTTCTTCTGCTAATCTTGGCTTAAGCCTTCATGCGACAAGGTAAACTCTTTTTCTTACTTTTTACCATTAATTACTCTAAAAGTTAAAAAAAATATTCAGTCTATTTTTCAGAAAAGTGAAAACCTTTTAGTGATGTTGGTCAAAAAGGTTTTGCGTAGATAGTGACACTAGCTAGTCTATCTATGTTAAACTAACAAAAAAAAACGAATCTTTATGTCTAGTTCAAAAATAATAATTAGATAATTTCTTTTTGCAAAATGTTGTGATTTTGCAGAGGTTTACTTGAAAATGGTCCCTTTAGAGTCTGTCTTTGTTCTCTGACTTACCCAGATCAGTGTCTCATTGAAGCCAAAACCCTCTGTGTCTATGCCTGTACATTCACACATTATACAGTCTATTTAGTTATTATACACACATTTATTTTAACTTGACCCTCATAGGAGTCCACCTAAGTGGTAGGTAAATTATAGAGATTTTTTAACTTATCCTGGAGGGTACTGGATCCTAGAGAAGCTAGCTGTAAAAATCAGATATACATATAGAGACTGTTTAGATTATATGCTTAACAGAATTTGGTTAATAATTGTTCAATGGTCATTGCATAGTAGACAAAGAAATTTGAAAACATCGTAGAGAATATTCCTGCAATGGGAAGATAAACAATAAAGCTTGAAACTTTTGATTTTATGTTTTGTGTTTTTTTGTTTTCTAGCAACGTGTGGACGCTTTTACCCCTTTTACCACTTTGGTTAATTAGTCTCAAGTTTTCTTTTGTGTCTGATAGCCAAGAGACCGTCCTATATTAGGGAAACAACTTGTCTTTTTGTCTACAGAACTTTTATACAAGAATCCAAAATCTCTTTTTTGCTTTATTTACGATAATGCACTGAGCTCTGTTTTTTGACCGTTTGTGTAATTGCAGTGGACACGAGGCGAGATACATGAGTAATGTTAATGCAACAAAGTCCTTTTCCGGTTACAATAAAGCTGAGCAAGAAGAGACAATAAGCTCTGTTCTAAGTTGTTGTCCTGAGTGTGTTTCTAGCTATGAGAGAGACGCAAAAGCCCTTAAAGCTAACCAAGAGAAGCTCTTGCCTTCTTGGCTCCAATCTCATGATGGAGACAATTCACCACAAAAGGTATAATCTTTCAAGTTGAAAAATTCAGTTTTTACTGTGGTAAAATTAGAGATCTAACTCTTGTTTTTTTGTGTGGTGTAGGAGGAGTTGATGGGATTGAGGAGAAAATGGAATAGGTTTTGTGAACATCTCCACCAAGAACAGAGGATTAATAATCAAACAGAGCAATTGAGTCTGATGAGCAGAAACTACTCACATGGCTTCCCTTACGGATCATCAACCGAGTCATCCAGATCAATTTCTTTGATTGACTCGTTGAGTCTAAAGCCGAACCAACGAGCCTCGAACTCGATTGCTAAGTTCAGACGTCAGAATTCTTGCACTGTGGAGTTTGATTTGGGTGGAAATGAGTACGAAAAAGGTGAATCGATCAATGAAGCTGAAGATGACAACGAAAACATGAAGATAACTCTCGATTTGGGGCGTTCTCTGTTCCGATCAGATTCTGTGACAGAGACGAGGAAGAAGATCAGTGCTTTAGTCAAAGCTTTGGAGGAGTGTATTCCATGGCAAGCTGTGACAATGCGTCTGATCGCTGAGAGTTTGACTGATTGCGTGTTGAAGAAGAAAGACGGTTGGATCATGATCGAGGGCAGCGACACAGCAGCGAAGAGGAGCATAGCTCGTACTGTATCTGAATCTGTCTTCGGATCTTCCGAGTCTCTTGTTCATATTGACCTTAAGAAGAAAGGTAGCTCGGAGACGCTACTCTCTTGCGGATGGGAGAATCGTGAGAGAGTTGTGTTCTTGATTGAAGACATCGACATGGCGGATTCTCGCTTCCTGAGACTCCTCGCTGATCGGAGGATGCAAACCGGTAATGATCGTCAAGCGATCTTTATTCTGACGAAGGAGGACAATGCGAGAAACAGAGACTCTGTTTTGCAGATTGGTTTGGAGATCACTGGAGTGAGTCCGGGGAGGAAGAGAAAACCGGAGTCTGATTTATCGGTTAAGGAGGGTAAGAGTTTCAAGACCGGAGAGATCGAGAATGGGTTTTGGATGAAGAAAGAAGTGTCCTCGAGGCAATCGAGTTTCAACAGCTCTTACCTCGACCTCAACATCAAAGCTGAAGAAGACGAAGAAGGAGAGATCAGTCCGATTTCAAGCGACTTAACCGGAGAGGAAGAGATGGAGATTTCTTCCAGCGGCTTTCTCAACCGGATTCAGAACCGGTTTGTCTTGAACCGTTCGTATCAACCAGGAATCGAGAAGGCAATGATAACGGCGGCGTTCAGGGAGGTTTTTCCGGAAGGGGAAGAAGGCGACGGAGTTAGGTTTAGCGTGGAGGAGAAGTTAGTGGAGGAGATTGGGGGAGGAAACGTGCAAAACGGTGCGTTTGAGAGTTGGTTAAAGGAGGTATTTCAGGCGGGGTTACTAACGGTTAAAAAAGGAGGGAAAAAGGATACGGGTGTAATTAGGATGGTGTTTGGGGGTATAGTTGACAACAACAACAACAACAAACAATATGGTGGGGGTGTTGGTGGGTACATGGGTACATGTCTTCCGAACAAAGTCCAAGTTTCCAAGTTCGAGTAGATCTTTCCGTTTTTTTTTTTCATTTCATTTCATTTCTTTCGTTTTTGAATGTAAAATTTCCATTACTAATGTGGGGGTTTGACTGGTGTAACTCGTTTTTCTTTTCGAATGTAATATAAATGCGTTCTTAAAAAATGTGTTAAATTTCGCATTCAAATGTAGAAAACAATGCGAACTGTGTTACCTTAAGTTCAAAATTTCTTGCAGTTTCAGTGGACAAATACTCGCTGAGTATGTCTGTGAAGCTAAAAAGCCCAATGGGCCTTCACCCGCCAATAATCGCGACTTGGGGAACCGCGAAACGCGAAATTATTGGTCAGTCTCTGAAAATTTCAAATCAAATTCACGGGAAAACGCCTAAAAAATTCCTCAACTTTTTCAATTAGAACATTTTATTCCTCAACTGTCGATTGCACGTTTAATTTCTCAACCTACTGCGGATTGTCTGAAATTGGGTTTCACCTAGTTAGGCTTTAAACCTCTTAGACGCCAGGATTATATTTTCCGACACAAAATCCCCAATTTAAAAACCCTAAAATGATTGCGGACAAACTGAAACTAATTTCAGCGAAATTCTGCAAATTTCATAAAATTTTAGCGTATTTGAAGTCGGAAATCAAAAAGTCAGACCTGATTATGATGAAAACTATGTGGAGAAGAGGTGGGAGGAAGGATAAACTCCCAATTTGAAGAAGAGTTGTGTAATTAGGAGTTTATCCCTCTAACCACCTCTTCTTCACATGATTTTCATCAAAATCAGCTCCGACTATGTGATTTCCAACTTTAGATACGCTAAAATTTCATGAAATTTGCAGACTTTCACTGAAATTAGCTTCAGTTTGTCGGCAATCATTTTAGGGTTCTTAAATTGGGGTTTTGTGTCGGAAAATATAACCCCGGTGTCTAAGAGGTTTAAAGCCTAACTAGATGAAACCCAATTTCATACAATCCGCGCAGTAGGTCGAGGAATTAAACGTGCAATCAACAGTTGAGGAATAAAACGTTTTAATTGAAAAAGTTGAGGAATTTTTTGGGCGTTTTCCCTCAAACTCACGGAGGATTTCGTTGTTCTCTCCGTCTAGCGAAGAAGGAAGAGAGAATGAGCTCTGTAACTGTAATTGCGAATTGGAAGCAAACTGTTCTCTACTTAATCCTAATCGTCTCTCTTGTCTACGTCATCGAAACTCTAATCTCGCACAAATTACACATCAACCATAGCAAAATCCGACTGAAAAGGTCTCCGGATCTTCCTCTACGGTTCCGCGACGATGGCACTTTCAAAATCCTCCAGGTCGGTTTTGTATTTCTTCTTCCAATTCGACGCAATTCGCTAATAACTGATTCGATTTTGATCGACATCTCCAATTCATTTGCAGGTCGCGGATATGCATTACGGAATGGGGAGTATCACTCGGTGCAGAGATGTGTTGGATGCTCAATTCGAACACTGTTCTGATCTCAATACCACTCGCTTCCTTCGGAGGATGATTGAAGCTGAGAAACCCGATTTGATCGCTTTTACTGGTAATTTGTCTTTGGCTTTAGATCTGTACTGGCTCGGTTGTCATGAGTGAGTGATGAGTGAATGGTTCCTTTAATGCGTTAGCTTTTGTATACTTAGTATTTATTAGATAAGCTCCTTGACAGCATGAGAGAGAGAATTCTTTGGTTGAATTGAGCTGTAGTTTATATAATTGTTTGCCAAATATAGTAAGAATGAGGTACACAAATATTAGCTCAAACTTTGGTTATTTTCCTATTTAGACTTTTGTTAATTTTTCTTGTTTGCAAGTGAAATCTGTAGCTTGTAAGTTAAAAATTGCACTAAGAGCTCCGTGCTTGGCTTATAGAAATCTATGACTGATGGAAGACAATGCTTCTGGGTTTACTGATGTTGAAACTTGATTTAGGGGATAATATATTTGGATCAAGCACTACTGATGCAGCGGAGTCTCTTGTTGAAGCCATTGGTCCAGCCATTGAACATGGAATCCCATGGGCTGCGGTTTTAGGAAATCATGACCAGGAATCCACTCTGAACCGTCAAGAACTGATGACTTTCCTCTCCCTTATGGATTTTTCTGTCTCTCAAATTAATCCACCAGCCGGTGATGATTTGGACGAAGCTGAAAGAGGCGAATTGAGATCAATTGATGGCTTTGGGAATTACCACTTAAGAGTGCACGGTGCACCTGGCTCCGTGCTGTCAAATAGTACCGTCTTTGACCTCTTCTTTCTTGACAGTGGAGATAGAGAATCAGTCCAAGGTAGACGAACATATGGATGGATCAAGGAATCTCAACTTCGCTGGCTTCAAGATACTTCTAAACAGGTAACGTGGTTAAGTATTTCTTAGTTATTACGTCTAGTGAAATATTCACATTGGTCGAGATTCATTGACCTCTAAAAAGACTCACTGACTAACACAGGGATATAACCAGAACATAGGAAACTTTCTTGGTAATCCTCCAGCGTTGGCTTTCTTCCACATCCCAATCTTGGAAGTCCGTGATCTGTGGTACACACCCTTTATTGGCCAGTTTCAGGAGGGCGTGGCATGCTCCACTGTTCAATCTGGACTTTTGAATACCTTTGTGTCCATGGGAAATGTAAAAGCCGCGTTCATAGGACACGACCATATCAATGATTTCTGTGGAAATCTGAAAGGGGTGTGGTTTTGTTACGGTGGAGGATTTGGATACCATGCTTATGGAAGACCAAACTGGCACCGAAGAGCGAGAGTGATAGAGGCTAAGCTTGGGAAAGGAAGAGACTCGTGGACAGGAGTCGAACGTATTAGAACGTGGAAACGTCTAGATGATGAAGACTTGAGCAAGATAGACGAACAAGTCTTATGGGAAGCTTCCTACTCATTTCTGAAATGACCAAGGAACAAGGCGATTAAGGTATTTATTTCGTTTCTCTCATAAGTTTCCATCTTTTTGATTTTTTTGTGTGAGAGATTTCTGAGTCTTTGCGTTTAGGCTTGGCTTTATCCTAAGTCATACCTTGGACTTGAAATATGTGCGTCTTTGGTCGTTAAAACGTTTTTCAGATGGTCTTGTGACGAAATTGGAATCGGTTGACACTTGACATCATCTTTCGTTACGTCCATTTGGTCATGAAATTGGATTCGATTGACATCATCTTTCGTTATGTCCATTTCTGTCGAAACATATGTGAAAATGAAGCACCGAATTCCGTCAGTTTGGGATGGTTTGAAAAGGCTGTTTCCTTGCAGTTTCCGTGTTCTCTTTGACTATTATGTTCACTTTGTTAGTTATGAATACATTTATTTGTGTTTTTTTTTTTTCAAAAGAAATCTTTTATTGCTTTTCTTCAAAAAAAATTGCTTTATTGGCTGGTTAACAATAATTTGATTCGATATGTTGGGTACAGTCTTGTACCAAATATTTCGATTGTCAAATCATTTCTTATTTTTCCTTTTTGCTATATGTTTATTTCACCATTTTTTGGGGTCATTTTCTTGCTTGTTTTAATCTTGTTATGCTTCTGCACTTTTCTTTTTCTTTTGGGTTTATGATATTAAAATCTGATTATTATTTTAATGTTTTGAACCGGAAATTCATTTTAGTGCTCACACTGTAGATATTGACAACAGGTACCAGAATAGTGAGATCATGAATAAGCCCTCGTGTAGAATATAATAGACCCCAATATTAATATTATCTGGCGTCTTATTATTTTAGTTGGAAGATATTTAGATCTTTTTTATCGAGCAATCAATTACTCTGTAGTGTGTAGTAATAATTGACATTATTATTTTCTTTCAGTAAGATATACAGCGCCGGTGTGTGTATTAACTGGAAATCTACGTTGTTGTCTCCCGAGTCTTTGGTCTGTCTCATTCTCATTCTCTCATTGGCCCTTCTCTATATAAAGCTCACAGGTCGAGAGAGAGACCACAGAAACGATCAGACAGTTATATTAGAAAGAAAACCTGTCGGAAAATGGAGGAAATCGACCAAGAGTTCAACAATTACTGGGAACCTAACTCCTTCCTCCCAAACGAAGACTTCGAATACGACAGGTTCTTTCTTCTTTTTCCTTTTTGTCTCTCTCTCTTTTTCGGAACACTTGAGGTTTTGATATTTGTTTTTATTTATTTATCTTAAAGCTGGCCTTTGGAGGAAGCCATTTCTGGGTCTTATGATTCGAGTTCGCCTGACGGAGCGGCCTCGTCGCCGGCTTCTAAGAATATTGTGTCGGAGAGAAACAGAAGACAGAAACTTAACCAGAGACTCTTCGCTCTCCGATCAGTTGTTCCCAATATCACCAAGGTTCCTTTTTGTTTCCCCTCTGTGAAACACAAAGATCTTTGTCTTTTAAGTCCAGGATCCAAACTGATTATGGATTTTCTGTTTTTCTTTTCTCGTGGTAGATGGATAAAGCATCGATAATCAAAGATGCTATTAGTTACATACAAGGTTTACAGTGTGAAGAAACGAAGCTCGAATCTGAGATCAGAGAACTTGAATCTACGCCAAAGAGTAGCCTGAGTTTCAGTAAAGATTTTGATCGCGATCTACTGGTTCCTGTCACATCCAAGAAGATGAAGCAGCTTGATTCTGGTTCTTCCCGTTCTCTCATCGAAGTTCTCGAAGTATGTCTCTTTGTTCCTACTTTCACCTCGATTTAAGTTAAAGAGAGAATTTTCATTAAAATTGTGTGGGTTTTTGGGTGATTGAAGTTGAAGGTAACATTCATGGGAGAGAGGACAATGGTGGTGAGTGTAACATGTAATAAGAGGACAGACACAATGGTGAAACTGTGTGAAGTCTTTGAGTCATTGAATCTCAAAATTATCACTTCCAATCTCACCTCTTTCTCTGGCATGATCTTCAACACTGTCTTTATTGAGGTCAGCATCTTTCTCTTTCTCTCTCTCCAGTTAGTAATTACTTTATCACATTGAAGAAGTAATGATTGAAATTAGTCAAGAAGTGGATGATAAACTTTTCAAGATAAAGTAAAAAGGGTGCATTCAAATTTTTCTATTATTACTTTAGTAATCTTTTCCAAAAGTCTCCATCATCCAGTGCTAATTATGCAAATCGCATCTTGTTTCTCAATTTTTGTTTTCTGAACTTTTGATTGCATTAAATTGATTCTTTTCTTGGGTGTTTTTTTCTTACAACATACCAAATTGGAAATATATTTCTTTTTTCGGTATTTTTAAAAGTCCTTTTTAGCTTGTGTGGTATATTTGTTAATCTAGGTAAAAGCCTGTTCGTCGAATTTTTATACTATATTTTGGAATATCATCTAATTTATAAGGGATTTTCTGTGGTTGAAGTCTTTGCTCGTGCCAAATTATTTTTACACTTTATGTCTTATTCGTGACGCTGGCAATGAGAGCATAGTGATATTAATTTATTTGTTTACCTGAGAAAATAAATATATATACTTTTCCAAAATGCAAGATGTCTCGATTTGATACTGATTTAGACGACATGGACCTTTCTGGTTGATTTTAAAGCAAGATTTCATTGAGTAAACTAATGATTAAATTAGGGAAAAATATGCGCCTTAGTCTATTTTTTTGGATTTGGTCATCTGGTAATAATATAGTCAATCTTTAACAAAAAAAGTAATAATATAGTCAATACATTTTTTTTGTTGGCCACTTAAGTATGTGGCTTATTTTGTAATTTTTGCTCGTCAAGTGAATTGCATAATATTGGAAACTAAACTGAAAATATAATATGCTTAAGTTGTTTTGTCAATGTATATAAACTACCAAGATTGGGTATGTAGTTATGTTTTCTTCTCAACTGTTAATACTTTCAATTTTCTAGTGGTAACGTAAATGAGTTCCAAATCGGAAGCTTCCAGTTTCGACCAAACATTTATTAGATTTTGTTTTAGTTTTTTTTTCTTAAAAAAATGGTCCTACATTTATTGGCGTTTGGTCCATTTGGTTATAAAAAGAAGATAATATTATCTTTGCGGTAAGCAGAATCTGATTGCTTTGATATGAATATTGTTCAACCCGCTCGAATTAAATAACAATGGGATATAATATGATTAAATATTAGTTAAGCCCTTCTGCCAAATACATCATATATTGACATTGTCTGGAGATAATAAAAGATAGTAGCTGATTGTATCAAGGGAATAGCTCATATAAAAAAATAAAAATATAGTCAATAACTATTGGATCTTAGAGATAAGATTTTATGATCGGAATTGCTAATTAAATACCACTGCTTGATAATGACTTTACCTTTAGTGGGACCTCTCTCTTCTTTGGCTCATGTCTTCGTTTGTGTTTTCCACTGTATTGCCTCGTTACAGCATCGATATAATCATTTTAATTTCGTTTGCAAAGATTAAGCAAATTAGATTAAATTAAGAGCTAATGTTTTTATTACTATTTTCAATGTAACAGGCGGATGAAGAAGAACAAGAGGTGCTGAGGTTCAAAATAGAGACAGGAATAGGAGCTTATAATGAAACTCAAAGTCCCACTTTGAGCATCGACTCTCTTTACTAATAATAAACTTTTGTTTGGCTTCTCTCTTTACAATAAATAAAATTTGTTTCTTTTGATGTTCTTCTCCCTTGCCATCACGGTGACTTATTTTTTGTGTTTATATAAGGTCCATAATAATCGTACGTACTGTTTGAACCGTAGTTTAATTTGGGCATATAGTTTTGTTCGTATTAAAAAACAGGCTATTTTAGACCTTATTGTACAAAGAACAAGCTATTATACGAACATTTAACAGAAAAAAGTTTATACGTAATGATTGATTTACATTTTTGACTTTTGTCAACAAAAATTGGTAACGGGTTATTTTTCATTTTCGACGTCAAGATAACAAAACATTTAACAGAAAAAGTGATAATTGTTTTATAAATCTTTTACGTGCTAGGACAACAAGTATTGATAAACCATAACATATTTTTTTTGTTTTCATCAACAAACTGGTAAATATTTATTAGACAAAAGACACAAATATCAGAAAACATAATTGGTATCAATTCATGAAACTCCTAAAAAAAACTAACATTATCTACATAATCCGAGAGAAGAATTAATCTTACAAAAGGCGTCCCAAACTCATAGTCTGAGTTTATTTCAATCTTAATGTTTCTACAACTATTGCTTTTGGGATTGTAAAAGACAACGTAAAACACTTTACGAGCAATGAACGGTGCCAAAATAATCTCACCCCGACTATACGAGTAGTACCTTTTACGTGTATAGATTCCATTTGTAAACTCTACAATAAGGGTTCGATACTGAAACTTGTCTTCAACCATCCATCTTCTTCCATAACCCACACATCAAATGTGTGTACGAAAAAATCTTTTGTCGCTATGGCTACTTTCCCCTCATACTTTATCAAAGTATACACATGTGGACCTATAAGATCTGCGGGTAAATCAGTTAAGAGATCCAACTTTTCAGACCTCACATCAAATCTCATTAAGCTCTCTTGCAACAATCCTACCCCCGTTAGAGCAAGATAATACAAACCACCATCTATGCACAAACCGTTAGAGGCAGACCGATGACGGTGAGGAATGCTACAGTCCATCTCTCTCCATGATTCTCTTTCTCCGAGTGTGAATACTTTATCATCAAGGTTTTCCGTCAAGCACAACACTTTATACTGATCATTGACCGGATCATAACCGAAATAAGTTTTGACCATCTTTCTCATGCTTACGACTTTAGGTACGTAGAGTTATGGACTTACCAGTAGTGGGATTATATATGATTTGTTCTTCGACAAATCCAAGGCTTATTAAGCCATTAACAAACTGCGGAACGTACTCTTTATACTTAGGAGTTGGACATGTAAAACGTGATATTGAATACGATTCAAAAGAAACTGTAACCTCTTCTACATGACCAACGCCGAAAATAAATTTTGGCCACAACAAAGGACAAGCAACAAAGATGTTTTTAGAATTACACAAACATATATACATAACACAATGGAGACCGAGACGACAACGTTTTTACCAGTCTTTGAGCAGTTCTCCGGCAACATCTCTGTAGCTGACTTTCTTTTTCTTCACAGGAGGAGGAACTGCGTCTGTGTCTGTGTCTGTGTTCTTAGAAGTATTATCAGTCTCCACGACGTGTTTTCTTTTCTCTGAAGACTCACATTTACCAGAAACATTAGCCAGCCCACTTTCCCCGGTGATACGGTTTGATGTCTCTGTGTTTTTCATACCAAGGATCGGGAACATGTCCAATAACATAGCTTGTACTGGATCGTCATGGATCTGTAGCTTCTCTTTCGTATCCATTTCGGTCTTCGCATTTCTATAATCTTGTGAGGCCTCTTCAACTTCTACTGTGTCATCTCTTTCCAGTGATTCTGTGTGCTTAGCTACGTCAGGCTCTCGAGTTTCTTCGTTGTTTTCCACTGATCTACCAGCTGCATTTCTCTCTTCCGCGTCTGCAGACTCTTTGCTTTTGTCATCAAAATCATCATTTTCCTCAGACTCATCTCCTCCTATCTTCAAAGGCTTCTTGCCTCTTCGTGATCTTTGTACTCTTTGGGTTTGTGCCACACGAGGCTTTCCTCTCTGTGCAGACTTTCCTCTTCTAGAGTTTCTTTGAGCCTCACCTAACGAATCGGTCTCTTCTGCTATATCACCGAGTCCTGTTGAAACCTTTGCTTCAGAAGCATCACTCTCCTCTGTTTCATCTCCGCCTATCTTAGAAGGCTGCTTGCCTCTGCGTCTCTGTACTCGTTGCACTGATTTTGTAGAAGACCTTCCTCTTTTAGCTCGAGTATTTGACCGCCCTCTTGTGCTCGTAACTGCCATTTTAGAAGAATCTGGTTCTTCGGTTTGAGCACTGCCACAGGGAGCTACTTCCGTTGTATCATGTTCAAATTTCCTGAAGCAAACAGAGCTAATATCATTGGAAGGTTTTAAATTATGTAAAGATGACAGAACTAAAATCCATTTCATTTGTAGATAAGAACTCATCAAAATGTGTTGGCTCACTCTGATTCTTCTTCAGTATCAGACTCTTCCATGTCCTTAGGCCTCAGACTGTAGATGTCTTCACACAGTTTTTCCTCTCTCTGCAAGCTGTCCTCTAACCAGTGGGAGCGAACAACATGCAGCCTTCTCTTCAACAGAAGACGTTTCTCCATTACGCTGAAACTATTAAAGAGAGACCAGATAATAGACTCTTTAATCCTCATTATAATGTGGTGCTAAACTCAATAGCAGAAACACAGAAAATTTGGAAATACCTTTCTGAAACTGAAGTAAAATCCAAAGAGTCTTCTGCTATAGCAAGGACTACAAGGTGCGACGCATGCGCAAGATTATTGGTAACTTTACCACCACCCATTAAGACTTCAAGTGCTAATCTCTTGGCCATAATTCCCAACACAGCTTCCTCTTCAGTGCACCTTCAAGTAAAAAATGACACATTCAGGATGATGAGTATTGCTTTAGGTAACTGACATGTTTATGAAACATACAAATAAAAGAAGCGGGGCCTTACGATGTCTGACTATACAGGTAAAAGTAAATGCAGCAGTCGAAGAGGCAGGACCATCTTTTCTCTGGACATAACTTTTTCTTGTAGTATTCGATAGATTTTGAGTCTTCGGATTGCTTGGCATTGCTTAAGATCTGTAAACAAAGAAAAAGGGATCGCAACTCGATTGTATGATTTCATTAATTGGTCTCAATAAGTGATACAATATTTTCAAGATGGCTAACCGAACACACATACCTGTTTGAGACCTTCAAGGTCTAAATCCCAGTAATAAGAATCCGAAAATTCATCAATTTCGTCCTGTAGTTTTGTCCTTGAAGCATCAGTGAGGTGGAGGAAGTACCTTCAAAAATGGCCGCCAGCGCTTTTTCATTAGACGAGACATAAAAAAGAACAAGAACCTCTAAAGGGTTGATACCGTAAGAAAAGGCTGCGAGGACAAACTTTGGCTGCAAAGGAAGCAGGTTATTTCGTGAACAACAATCTAGGACCCACGAAAAGTGGATGACATCTCGCTGTCGCTTTGCTGCCTGATACTTTATTCCTGAAAATAGTATCTCACTATCATGTCCTTTGATCGAAATTGTTTCAAAATGGAATCATATGTACGAAAGGGTGGGTAAGAAATCAATACGTAAGAGTAAGAAAGTGACATACCACTGCTTTCCGCTGCAATGCAATGAGTCACTGAGTTGTTTAAGTTCATTGAGAACTTCCCTCCATTTTCAACCACTATTTTGCGGAATGTATCAACAGAATAGGACTGAGGCACGTTAACAAAGTCTGTTTGATTTGTCAAGGAAACAAAGAAAGTGTAGTACGACAAATTTCTCAAAATTTGCAACTTCAAACAATCTCACAACTCATCCATGTAAAAGGGTGTCTAATTATAAGAGAGGAAGACGGCTGAAAATGCAATCAAGAGTACTCAGGTGGGTATAGGTCAGAGAGAGGAAACATGTCAAAGGATACAAAATATCATATTTGAGAAGATTGAGGTCTTGCCCTTGATATCCGACACATCAGTTTGAATAAACTGAGAGGGGACAAGAGAGACATTCTTTTTCTCTCCTCTCTTCGAGGATTTTTGGACTTTCGGAATGTCCTGTGTGCTTTCAGGTTCCTTCTGTTTCTGTGTGGTGCCGTTACTCGAGTTCACCAATTCCACAAAAGCTACAAAGTAAACATCAGTTGGACAGATACAAGGGAAAGCAACTCGTTATTTCAATGTTGATGAAAATGGAAACCTTGGACAGTTCTTTTGGTTCTTTTACTCACCTTGCACATCGAGACATTCATGCCAAGGCTTGTCATATCTTACTTTGTCAATACGAGGAAACCTCAGGCTGTAAGGTGCAACAAACACCTGAAAAGAAGCAGAGTTTTACATGAAATACAGCATATATGTATTAAAAGCGACAAATCTGCATCTGCATTGTCAGATAGCGAATGAAAAAAGTATATAATGTTAGACAGAACTAACTAATCTTTGCTATGAGCACAAAAGTATATATTTTCTTTGTTCAACAGCATCTTATAACCATACCTCAGACCTTATTGTCCTGATATCACTAGTTATGGAAAGTATTATTGATCTGCAACAAGGGAAGAGAAAAAGCTATGAGCACAAACAAAAGTATTCAACGATCATGATTCTTCTGCTTCAGGCTTCAGTTGAGGAAAAGGAGATAATTGATAGAAAACTAACTTCTCCGGGCTTTCAATCCAAACATCCGGTCTCTCTTTTGAGTGATTTGTGACCTGATAAAAGCTTGGTGGCACCTTCTTTGGGTGTTCATTTTTTCTGAAACACAAATAAATATGTGATAACTATTAAAGGAAAAGGCAGTGTTGTCAATGTCAAAATACTACACCATTAACCCTTCTAGTTTTGATGTATGCCAATAGCTATTTCTCGTGATCCATATCTTATAGTGGAGAACCTTCTTTACATCCTATTTTCCTTAAACTTGATTTATCCCATATATTTATTTTGCTTAAATAAGACGAGAAAGTTATTCAGTCTCTCACCTGAAATAAGGCTTCAGTTTACTTACAACAGTGTTAAGCTCTTCATCAGAAAGTCCTGTGCCAACTCTACAAAAGGACATAAATCTGCAAAAAGAGAATAGCTTAATATTAATAGTTAGACCAGATATATCTTGGCAAACAACTAACAATTCTGATGACATGGAACGCTCTAAGTCTTTATAGGCCATGTTCTCTCAAGACTGTTTCCCTAATCCTACCGCTTCTATTGGTAATCTGATGTTATCTTCTATGAGAAAAGGTGAAATCCTAAAAATACCTACCGCCTGGGATACACATTTGTCTCTGCTCGGTCAGCCAAGGCAACGAGAAACTGTGCTATCTCCCCTCCAAGACGCCCAGAGCCATAGTATCCTCCTGTTAAAGATGTAACAAATCCCCAATAAGGTCCAATGGGAATGGAACACCACTTTTGAACAAAGAAAAGTAACAAACATATATAAGCACACACCTATTATAAGAACATCTAGGTCAGAACCAGCCCGGACATATTCAGGCTTCAACTTCATCCACTTGACACTACGATCTCCAGGTTCCCATTTCGATCCGAGATCTTTAAGCACAACTCCTTCATCTCTGAACACAAAGAAGAAACTGGATTTGGAAACTGGAACAAACATCTGTGAAGAAAAATTGTGGTAAAAGTGTCTACACTAGAGGGCTGATTCTGACAAGCAAGTATCACTGTTGACATAAGGCCAAGAAGGCACCAACCACACTTTTTGAAAAATCCATGAATAGGGAAGAGAGAGAGAGAGACTTTGGCTGAATCTAGAATAAGAATAACAAACCTGTTTTCAACTGTTTCTTTGAAAAATCGCTCAACATCAGCTGCAGAATGAGCAACAATAGACCAACTAGGTTCCCCTGCAGAAAGTGAATGTTGAAGTATCCAGGTTTAAATGCATAATGACCAGACTAAATTAATTTGTTGTATGAAAAATTAAAGAAACTCAAAATTCTGCAATAGTCTAAAAACATAGTACATACGTAACTAAAAGTTCATCACTGGTTGATCTTTTAGTCACACTTTTCAACTTTCCTGAGTTTACAAGAATCTTCGTACTCCTTACCTGAAGGGCGATGAACATTGAGACCACCTTCTGGTACTAAAACTTCAAGCCGACCTTTTAAAGGCTTAACCACTTTCTTCAAGAGTTCATGCCGTTCCTTTAAACTCTGGTGGATGACGCTAGTATCGCCAACATAAAGAACATCAAAGGCCACATCTAATACAAGGTCAAGGAAAACAATAACTCTATAATGGTTCCGCCATGAAATTCGGGAGTGTGGGGATTAACTCCGCCTCGTAAGGATACAACATAACTGCATTAGCAAGTAAAAGAACATTAGTGTTTAACAAGGATCATCAAAAAGTTGCAACATCAAGCAGACAAAGGGAACTTCATATATGAACCTGTTTATGGCTTTCAAGACCCTCTCTTGCTGCCTTGGCTGTGAAGAGGAAGACAACAAGAATCAAATCTACTGCAAGGAAGTCTAAGCTTTTCAATTTGAGGAAATTAATTAGACGCCAAACCTATTTCCTGATTCGAACCAAACTCAGCAAACCGATTCAGAGATGTGTCCCAGACCAACATTTCACCATCAAGGATACACCTAAATGGCAATAAAAGATCTTATATGTGAAAACTTCAAACTTGTAAAACTTTCCAGAACCTCAATAAATAGAAGCTGGTTCTTACTTGTCAGCCAATATGTTTTGTACTAAAAGGTCCGACATAGCATGTGCATATTCTGAATGGTCAAGGAAGTTCCTGCAGCATCACTAACCAACATAAATTGCAATTTCCTTATCCGTCAACACAAAGAGACTGGTACATAACTACAACTACAACATTTGCCAGAAAACTGAATTCCGGACACCAAGTCACTAAATAGTCATGAACTTCGACATTGCAAACAAGATTTTTTATCCAAAAAATTCATAGCGCGAAAAGCAATGCGACTCACCTAGAGAAGTAACGTATCTCACTCCCATTTTTGTGTATCTGTATACGATCCCCATCAAATTTGCATTCAGCAACTACATCTTTCCCATGGAGCTATGTAGAGGCAAAAGATGCTTATGCATTAGTTAAAAGTTGACATTACTATAAACTAAAAAGAATAAAATCTTGCACAGAGCAATAGAGTTGATTGAAATTACCTTCTTCCAAGCAGCATTTACATCACTGATACGCATAGCTAACTGGGGCCGTACGGCTTTTCCAACCTCTATATCCTACAAAGTATCAAAACAACCAAGCCACCATTTGAGAGAAGGTAAAAACGCATCGAGCACAACGTATGAGGAATCTAACCCAATAAAAGGATGTGCAGGCCAGATACATGAGATAAGCTGAAAGGCTACCATAAAAGGACTCAATTTGATATGTTTTTAATAACAAAAACCTGACGCTTGTGGCGTTGGTGCCGATCCCTCAACTTTTCACAGACTAGTTTCAAGTCACACGTGACGTTAAACAAGTCCTCAGCATCTGGATGGAACTCCTGGAAAATGCTCCTCTCGCTCATTCCCAGTTTCAAATCTGTAAACCATTCAACAACAAATTTCTAACTGATCTCTCTATCCACACACTTGAAAGAAATAGATGAAAACATTTCTGTGAAGAAACACAAAGAGCCTACCTTTAAGAATGATCCTAATAACCCACTTCATCTCCTGCGCATTCGTCTTTTGAATCAGAGTCGAAAGAACAGAAGTCTTTTCCGCTCTGTAAACCAAAACACAATAAGAGAGAGTAAACATTAATAGAAACAATTGATTTTTCTCTCTGCAATGTATGAGATAGAGAAGGAACCTGTTCTCGCTCGAAGCTAAACGATCAAGCAAATCATTCAACTCCTTGATGGTCAATCCACCTGACGCCATTCCTTGTCTACGTTGAAGTACCTATCGTCACAAAATGATCAAAACCTCTAAACCCAAAGCCCCCAAAAAACAAACCCAGAAAGTCAAACCAATCTGAAATCCTAACCTCAGCGGCAATCAGCGAAAAATTTCCGGCATTGGCACCGGCTTTAGCGGTTCCGCCTTTGCGCCAGTTGAGGAGACGAACGGCGTCGGGAGAATCGCGAGAGATGCCGAGCGCGTCGATCAGACACGTGGCGAGCACGGACTCCTTGAGGCCGTAGCTGCCGCGTTCCCGATCGAGAGACGGGATGATGAGTCGAACAGCGACGAAGTAATCGGTGGGTTTACAGTAGGTGTCGAGGAACTTGCGGAATTTGGAGCGTTTCTGGGAAGAGGTTTTGCTCTTCTGAATCCAGTTGAAGAGAGACACTAGGACACTGAATTTGATCTCCTCCGTCATCTTCTTCACCGGAATTCGTGATTCCTCTGAGGAGACGGTTAAATTAAGTCGAAATGAGTTTCGATTCCCGTCGGGGAATCTCTGAGAAGCGTCGCGAATAGCTTGCCGGCGAAGAAAGTCGCGTTTGAAAAAGTCGAACGGCCGGTAGGGAAGCTTTAGTTAAAAATTGACGGTGACGCCGTGACGGCGACTCTTTTCTCCCAGTAACTAATTTATTCGGAATTACACATTTACCTTGAAACTTAATTAATTGACAAATTTAGTCCAATACATTCGGAATTACACATTTGCCACGACATACAAACTATTTTCTCTAGTCATCATAACATTCTTCATGGTAAATGGACTGTATATGTTTGTATTGCGGAAATGTGATGTGATTCTGTTTACTGTAAACGATAAGACAAGTTTTTGATAAAAAAAAAATTGAGATCAATAAGCAAGTTATTAGTACAGTCCTAAAAGCAATGTAAACATGAGGATTATTTAGGCTTCAAGGGAGGTATTATTTAGAAATCAAAGTTGAAGATCTACAGATTTAGAAACCTTTAAGCAAACAATTCCAACCTAAAACTCGTTTAACAAAGTTGAATTCGCCTGCCTCTTCGTCCTCGTTTAAATCATCAGTGTTTCAGAAAGTTGATCCATTGAATCCGAAGAAAGGTCGCTGGAGAAAAAGCAGAAAAAAAGATCCAAGAATTTAACTTACTTTGTAATCATTGATTTCAAATCATAAGACATCTTTGACATTCAAGATTCTAGCAAAAAAATTGTGACTTGGAAGCAAAAATGGGACATACCGGGGAATCGTAGAATTTGATATAAAAGCGGGAGCTGTCAATAGAGAGCTTAAGTTGGAGAATCTCAGATAAAGTCTGGCTAAGCTTCCCGTTAACGCCCGCTCCTAATCCCCCAATAGATATCAGTTCTCCATACGCGGCGGGTTCCTCAGTCCCGGCAAATGCAATGGGCACTCCACTATTAAGTAGTATCATCACATACTGAAGCCAAACAAGAAGAAAGAAAAACAACAAGCGAAAGATGGTTAATTAAACGTAGCTCACAAGTTAAGAGACCACAACACACAAGCTTGAGAGAATCCTTTAGACTATGCCAACGTAATCATCAAGTGATTATTCAAATAAGACATCTCAGCGTTTAATTCTGAAGACTTGCATTTCAGACAGGAATTTCATCAAACACTTCGTCTGCAATATACTAGCAGCAATCAACGGCTCAAGTTTCGTCATACTCTGCTTTCGTATAATCAAAACACTAAAAAAAAACAGTAAAACTGAAGTTTTGATCGATTCGTAGATACGAGTAGGAATGGCGGAAACAGAGGATTAGAGTTCGTTTACGGATTCAGGTTTGCCGATGATCTTAGCGACGGCTTTAGTAGCGTCCTTGAGGATGTCGGAGGTTGTGACGGCGTCGACTGGAATATTTGTGAAGAGATTCAAAGTGGGCATCTTCTTCTTCTTCAGACAGATCAAAGCTATAACCTCGCAAACCAGTGGTTGTTTTGTGTTGTTTGTGGATGTTGAGAGATAACGGTAAGAACATGCAAAGGATAACGAATACCTACCATTTATTTTCAGTTGCTAATTTTTGTTTATTTAATCGAATCGAATTTAACATGAGAAAATTGTAGAATGGACTCGTGGGTACAATTTGGCCCACCAAGACTATTTGAAACCCAAATATTTTTACAAATTACAAACAAGTTTTAAAAACTCTTTTCTTCTTTTTTACATTTTGGAGGGGGACCAATTGAGTTTTTGTCTTTCCTAATTTCGCTTGTCTTTTTTTTGGAATCAGTATGGAGAATGAGAATCATGAAATCGCATAACTCTTTCACCTTTGCCTTTCCATGCTTATGATAAGGTTTAAACCTTTTTAGGATCCAAGGTAAGAGTAACGGATATAAGATATTTTCCATAAATAAGTAATGTTTTCATTGAATGAACACGTATTCAAAAGAAAAGAGATGTTTGTTTTAACGACCAAAACAATAATAAAACAATTTATCATTTCTTTTCAAAGACAATTAAGTCAAGTGAAATAATTATTGCACTGAATAAGTGAAACCTCACTTAAAATGCTTAAAGTGAAACCGACAAAATTGGGTCATCACCTAAATTGCCTTAAACCCATATTATTGTGATTGTGTATTCGAGTATTGTCATTTTTCTGTCTGTATACTAAATTGCGTCTCTTTTTACTTTTAGTACACAGTTTCAGTCTAACGGTTATCGTTTGAACATTCTCTGTTTATCTAGTTATCTTTTCTGACTGTTTTAGTTCGTTGGATCCCAAAGGTTCCAAAGTTGTATCATAAGTATGGAAGGCAAAAGATGAAACAGTTATGCTATTGCATTATTACCCATTCTGATTCAAAACAAAAAAAAAAGTCGAAATTTTGGTGCATTGTGCAAGCATAATTGTAATGGTCCCCTCCCATATGTAAGAGAAGAAAGAGTTCACTTGTACTTTGTGACTGTTTTCGTTACTTTTGTGCCATGAGCCAATTGATAAACATCTATAAGTTCACATTTACACATCTCACTTGGGTTTTTCTTATCTATTAATGCTGTTAATTTTCAAAGTTCTCGATTTAATTATTATTACATGTTTAACAAAACTTTTGTCATGTCTATGTACATACGATTCTGGCTCGCAATGTTAAATATTTAGTTATAACGAAGGTACATAAAAATTCGTTGTATTCATGTTAACTAGAGATCAGTCTCTCTTAAGTCTATATGCTTATACACGAAACTATAACTCGATTGCAAAGTCAGAATACCACGAGAATAATGACTACATAAACACTTGAGAGATATAAAGTTAAAAAATAGTATGCCCATATTTTAACTAAATAAAGTTAAACAATTCGGCCTATTTTGTAGTTTAGTTAGTTATCATAACATCTTATAAACATACGAATTGGGGATTTATAAGATGGGATATGATTTATATTCCCTTCAAAACGAGTTGGTTTTAGTTTTTGTTGTCTAACAAAATATATAATTTAAATCCTTTAGCACAAAAAAAAAAAGAATTTTCGTATATTTGATTATTTTCTCTATATATATTGTGTGGTTTATGTTAACTTATAGTGTAAGAACAAAAAAAAATCTAACACCCATTAAAGGTAGCAGAAATAACCACATGGTAAGATAATTGCAAACAAGTTGCCCACAAGATCTGAGTTTCCAAATACAAAATAGTTTTGAATTTTTAGGACACTAAGAATCTCAGCATTTTGACATTTTACGGTTTAAACATATCCGCATCTTTTGTGATTACATCTTTATCAAGCCATCAAGAGGTGAGTTATACACAAACATTGAAAAGGATCCTTAAGAAAATCTTGAAAACCATTCTCCTTGATTTCAATAATTTGTTTTAGTGAAAGTGTGAGAAAGGCAAGTGTCAATTTTTTTAGAGTTGTATTTTTTACAGTCGTCGTGTTAATCACGTATCTTATACCATAAACCTTCAAAATCCACATAAATCACAACTAAAATACGTCTCATCTTACTTTACAAACAGATGAGTCACATATAATTATATTTTTAAGTTAATTAATGAAAAGATTAAACTTATAAAAAATTAACAAAGCAAAACAGATTGAGCCTCTAATGTCCTTAAGATTTGGGTTTGATTTCTATCCGGATATAACTGAATTATACATGCTGTAAAAAATTGAATAATTAATGTATTTATAAACTTTATGGGAAAAGGGTAAAGATATTAGATTGGGAGAGAGGTCACATGTTATCATAAGAAAAGAATGTAACATAAGAACAAAACTTACTTTGGAGCAGTGCCATAACAAGGTTTATCCTGTTTTTTCTTCTTCCTGAGGTTCAAATTAATCCAGTACACCCTCTTTAGATAAGAACAAATTTCTTTTAACCGGATTTTCTTAAAGCATTTCTAATTTGGCTTTTAAGTTCTACTTCTGGTCAAATTGTTTTTTTTTTTTAAGTTTTCTCTACTATCTAATTAAGAAGCATGCACGTGAACCATGATTGAACTGAAATTATCTGATTAGCATTACTTAAGAAGAAAGAACATGACAAAATATATAAGTAAGCAAATTCAAAAAGAAATATGCATCAGTACTAGAATTAGTATTGATCCTATGTTATATTATAGCTGATTAGGGAAAATTTTGTGTATATTCATGTTATATTCTTTTTCATATTTGGAGCAAGATATTTTACGGGCATGTTTTATCTTCGTCAATATGCTTGAATTTTTTCATCTCGATATTTGTAATTACATCCTCCTCCACTAAGATATCAAGAAATGGGGATGGGAACAGAGAAAGTATCAAACGTTACATTCAAGTTAGATGGGTCGATTTTAGCAATGTTCGTATCCGGATCACTTCCTTCCTGGTGGCCATGGACATGGTCTACGTTTTTTTTTTTTCAAACATAGTTTTCCATCTCTTAATAGTAACTGGGAAGCTTGTATGAGTGGTCCGTTTTTGCTACGTTTTAGATAATTTATTTTCTATCAGACAAGAGTTCTTTTCCCAGTTTTCTCTTGTTTTGTATTTCATATTATTATTATTTTTTAAATAGAGCATACTGTTTACTTCATAACGCTATAATTATTTTTTGAAAAAAAATAGTTTCATTTTTGTAATACGTACACGTTTTCTCCGGATTTTCTAATTGACCTCGGATATTAGTTAGTTTACATCTCATATCTCACCAATTGGAAGAAATTTCATGGATATGCTTTGCCAAGTACAAATGTAGTCATGATTCATGATGTTTGAATACATTTCAAAGTTTCGATAATATACGGATAACTCTTGGATATCATATCTTTCTCTGTATATAATGGATAAAATATATATATATATATATATGAAAAGCAGAAAATCTAATATCTAATCAGGAGTCATTGAACGTAATGAGGTAAACGTAGGTTTAGCTTTCGCCACAAATTACTTCAAATGATACCAAAAAGGTTCCAATCATTTTTTTCTCCACTAGCCCACCACTTTCTTCTCTCTCTACAGTTTAGTACAGTAGTTTACAAAAATTTAGATTAATGGAAAAAAATCTTTTTTAAATCTATGCTCTTTATTTATATTTAAATACTAGTACTAGTATTAAGTAAGCATTAAGTAATCTAGCCAATTAGCCATAGCTAGATAACACACGCCAAATATTTACTCTTTTTTTTATGTCAACGTATATTATATGAAAATCTTGTGGTCAACACACTATGTAAGAAAAGTTACAGTTACGAAGTTCTAAAAATTGATGATAAAATTTTCAAATACAATAAAATATCTAAAAAATGTAAATTTGGGAAACCTTAACCAAAAATTATTTAAAAAATTGTAAAGTCGGTTCATAAAACACGTGAAAACTGAAAACGTCTCCGACCAGGCGACCACAATCAGTTAACAGAGAACACGCCACGTCATCGTAGAAATCTAGTAAAGCCAATGGAATTTGCCCACGTAGATGGATAATGTGACCTTTTCTCGTTTTCTCTTTAAGATCCCCAAAAGATTTGCAGCTTAGGACGATGACGATGATGGGGCTTGACAATTTATTTATTTTTAAACTCAAAAGCAGAATCACATTTTCCCTTCCAAAACCATTTGATGATTACTCACTCTAAAGTCTAAACACAGGGATTAAACTGTTGGCCGTCTACACTGACTGGCTAAACCATGCTCTTGTTGTTTAAAAAAATATTCAGACATTATTTAAAAATATGTTAACTTTCTATAACAATTTCATATTATTCTCTTTAACTAAATTATGAACTAAAACTATTTCAGTTTAAATATTCTCCATTAACTAAAATTAATATATACTACATAGGAAAAGCTTTAAAAAACTACATTTGTATGAATGCCTTCAATTATTTTTTGCCAATCTGGTAACTCTTATCGAAACTTAATTAAATTAGCAGCAAATATGCAATACATTGAATATTTTGTACTCTATGCTAAAACTAAATCTACTCTATATTTGGTATATGGCAATATCGATTACATACCAATTTTATCAAAAGCTCAATAGATCTATTTTTGCTTTAGATTTGAGTGATTTAGTCACTATTTATGAATGTAAATAAACAAATACAAAGAAACTCCCCACATAGCGCGGATTCTCTTTTTTTTTTTTGGTTCAATATAGCGCGGATTCTCATCTAATTTTATTTAAAGTTCAATGGTTCACCAATTTGGTACCATGAATAGTAAAATTAGCTATTCACAAGGATACCAACCTTTGGTCTTCGAGGTTCAAATCTCATCTAGGACAACCATGTATTTTTTAAATTAGAATATAAAATTTAATGACTCCGGGAGTATATGGGCCAAAAGTTTGGAATTTTCATGATTAGAACGAAAAAAATTAATCTAAGACAAACGTGCATTTTTTAAATTAGAATATAAAATTTAATGACTCTGGATACGAGGGAGTGTATGTGCCAGAAGTCTGGAACTTTAACGATTAGAACAAAAAAATAATCTAAGACAAACATGCATTTTTAAAATTAGAATATAAAATTTAATGACTCTGGATACGAGGGAGTGTATGTGCCAGAAGTCTGGAACTTTAACGATTAAAACAAAAATAATAATCTAAGACACATGTATTTTTAAAATTAGAATATAAAATTTGATGACTCCGGATACGAGGGAGTGTATGGAACAAAAGTCTGCAACTTTCACGATTAGAACAAAAAAAATAATCTAAGACACACATGTATTTTTAAAATTAGAATATAAAATTTAATGACTCTGGATACGAGAGAGTGTATGTGCCAGAAATATGAAACTTTAACGATTAGAACAAAAATAATAATCTAAGACACGTGTATTTTAAAAATTATAATATAAAATTTGATGACTTCGGATACGAGGTAGTATATGGGACTTTCACGATTAGGACAAAAAAATAATCTAAGACACACGTGTATTTTTTAAATTAGAATATAAAATTTAATGACTCCGGATACGAGGGAGTGTATTTGCCAAAAGTCCGGAACTTTCACGATTAGAACAAATGAAAATAGTAAACTAACTTTCTTTATTTTTCTTTGTTATCATTTTTGATTCTTATTTGCTATAGTACTAATGCAGAGATTCAATTAATCATGAATGTTTTTTGTTTAAAATGCCAAACATCACCATGGGGTTCATGAGCTGATTAATGTTTAAAAATAAAAATTATAAATTTATATTCCGTATTAAGTAAGCCTTTATTTCAGATAAAACCACTCTAGAAATTCTATCCATTTTAGTAAAAACTGCCTTGTGAACTTTTGAAAGTTTCCAATTAAAAAAAAAAGATTCTTTTTGTGGGAGAATACATATCCATGAGAAATATCGTTTTTTTACAAAATTTATTATAAATAAATACAAAAGTGAAAATAAAATCCAGCAGTAGACCCCATACACTCCAGAACTGCCGATTGCGAGCTATCTTGTCCTTCTTCGCCATATGCTCCTTCACTCTCTCGTCTTCTTCTCCCTCCACCACTCTCTCTCTGTTTCGCCACATCTCAGTGAATTTTCTCTTCACAAATTTTATTTACAGAGCTCTTCTCTTGTTTTTATTTCTCTTGTTTTTATTAACCTTCGCTAAAACCCTAATCATCTCTTGTTATATATCTCGTGACTCTTGTTTCTCCTCCAATCTCTCTCTCCCTCTTCACAAACCAATTATGTTCTCTCTGTAAAACTTCTTCCGTTGGCTAGTTTCTTTGGTTTTCATAAAAATCTCAGATTCCAATTGGTTTTTCTAGTATTTTCCTTTCTCGGCTCATTCTCATGATGATGAACATTTGTTAGAATCTTTCTTTTCTCTTCCTCTTTCCCTAAAGTTTTGAACTTTTGTTTCTATCAATTTTGTATTTTTTTCTCAGAAATTAAACAGGGTTATTTAGAGGGTTTAGGGTTTATCACCGTAATATTCATATTTCTCTCAATCCCCTAAACAAAAGGAAACTTAATTTTCATCACTCTCTCTCTCCTTCACTCAAACAGTAGAGCTTCGTACTGTTTTGATTATTAGCTACTTACCTCCTCAAAGCCAAACAATTTCAAGATCTCTTACTGAATTCTCCACTCGAATTGAGTTAATCTGTCTGTTTGTTTTTGATTTTGATTTTCTCGGGAAAAGGCTCGTTTTTTTTTTTTCTCGGCCAAGAAATGTCGGCTTGTCTAAGCAGCGGCGGCGGAGGAGCCGCCGCATATAGCTTCGATTTAGAAAAGGTGAAATCGCCACCGTCAAGCTCAACCACGACGAGAGCTACTTCGCCGTCATCAACACTGTCCGAATCTTCCAATTCGCCACTCGCAATCTCAACGAGAAAGCCACGAACGCCGCGTAAACGGCCAAACCAGACTTACAATGAAGCGGCGGCTCTTCTCTCCACCGCTTACCCCAACCTCTTCCCTTCCTCCTCAAGCAACAACTTGTACGCTAAGAAGAAATCTCACTCGAATTCTCAGTTCTATGTCAAATCTCCTCTTCTCAGTGATAACGACGAAGCTTCTGAGCTGCTTCTTCCATTTGAATCAATCGAGGATCCAGATTTTCTGTTTCATCCGACGATTCAAGCGAAATCGGATTTCTTCTTCGATCAGAAGGAGGTGAATTCCGGAGGGAGTACTAATAGCGGCGGGGGAGGAGAAATCGACGAATCGGAGGTGAATCAGTTTGATTTTTCCGACGAATTCGATGCGGAGTCGATTCTGGATGAAGAAATTGGAGGAGGAATCGATAGTATAATGGGGAGTCTCGAATCCAATTCGGGGGACAATCTCGGAGCTAGAATCAATCGTAGTCACCGAATTGCCCGATTAGAGCAGATTGTGATGATGAATCCATGGAATCGAAGCTCGAAGGGATTCAATCTCGCCGGAAAATATCCGTTGGGATTAGGATTGAGAAGCGCTCTCCGAGGAAACAACGACGCAAACTGCTTGAGATTTCACACCGTAGATTTCGAACAGATCTCGCCGCGAATCCAAACCCCCACACCCGCCACAGCAATCGCCACCATAGCTGACGGTAAAAAGCCGATCGGGGAGAAGAGCAAGAAGACGAAGAAGAAGAAGAAAGTGGCGGCGACGGCGCCATTGACGGAATCGAAGAGCTCCGAATCGAGCAAAGAAGATAAGGAGGAGAGATCAAGTCCGATGCTGAAGCTGAACTACGACGGCGTTTTAAATGCTTGGTCAGATAAAGCGTCGCCGTTCACCGACGAGATTCTGGGCTCGGAAACTACCGGAGCCGACGTCAATGTATGTAACACTACCCTCTCGCCGTTGAAATTTGATTTTTTTCCTTAATTAATTTTTAATTTTTGAATTAATTAATTTCTCGTAGCTGATAACTGTTAAAACAACTAGTATGGTGCCACGTGGCGCTTAGAATGTCGCCTGAATTTGATGGGAGTGTGTTCTTTTTCACGCTTTAAATAATCAAATCAACAGTTAGTAATTTATTAGCGCTCACAGTGATGAAAGTGAAACTTTTAAGTATCTGACAAGAATTTATTAGATTTTGTGGAAAGTTCTTAATAATAATTTTTTTTTTTGTTTTCTTAATAACTTTTTCGTGTAACGTATGTTTTTGTTTAAAGAATAATTTAACATTTGACTTTGGTTCATGGTCTTTTACTCTCTTTTTTTCTGGGCCAAAACTCTTTAAAAAAAGAAGCTTTTAGTTTTTAAAATATCAGTTTTTATCAATTAACAAAAAAAAAGGTCATATGCACGTGAATTTTCACGTACAAGATAAATGAAGAGGTTCAATTCAATTTGTATATATCTGGTTTCGTCGTATTCTGCTTTTAGCATAAAGTCTACAAACATTGACAATGAATTAATCTTAGCCGTAAGAAAAGTACTAGAACAGTGTCGGGGAAAAAATAAGTGATGCCTTATCTTGTTATGATTTACATTTTTTTTTTTTTTACTTTATGTTTTTTTGTTTTACTTTTTCAATCCCAAAAAAGTAACTATGCATCCGTGGATATTAAGTTTTGTGATGATTAGACAATATTGAAAAAGAGACATGAACTAATGTGGAGTATGGGTTTTGGGGCAGGCCAGATTAGGTCAGATAGATTTGTTCGGAGACAGTGGAATGAGAGAAGCAAGTGTGATGAGGTACAGAGAGAAACGTCGAACAAGACTCTTTTCCAAGAAAATTCGATACCAAGTTCGCAAACTCAACGCAGACCAACGTCCTCGAATGAAGGTATCTCCACCCACCTTAATTCACACGTAGGTTCCTTATTTTCACTATCTATCATAATTTGTTTAAATAGTTTTGGGTATATACCGGTTTTGACGAGAGTAGTCTGAGTTTTCATTTTGATTAAAACAACTTTTTTACATATGAATTAAAAAAGAAAATTCCAAACGGAAACTAAAACAAGGTTAAGATTGGGTCAAGGGATATACATATACATTAGATTTGATTAAGACAAGAACCTAATATTAATGTTTCCTACTTTTCTGTGGTTGGTGATGGGATTGGGAACAGGGACGATTCGTGAGAAGGCCCAATGCGAGCACTCCAAGTGGAGAAAGATAACAACAACAAAAAGAGCCAAGATTCACTCCTTTTTTCATCTTTTCTTTCCGTTTTAGTTTTTGTATAATCTCTTTTTTTTCCCTCAAATTTTGCCACCCTCATTTTTGGTCCTTCATTTTTTATGGTCCTTTTTCGTTTATAATGTAGTCTTTTTCGTCCTTAAATAAGGATTATGAAGGAGATCTAGCTGAGAGAAAGTGAGGGATCAAAAAAAATAAAAACCTTTGTTTTTTTGCACAAATGTGTTGAGACTTGAGAATGAGCTCATTCATAGTATAAATAATACCGTGAATATAATGTTTGTTATATACAGAATTATTTATGCATGAAACAAAAATCAAACCAAACCAAAATGATCTGTGAGGTTTATGTCCTTGTGGAGACACCTAGTTGCATTCCAACACTAACTAATGTCTCTAAGGACCTACCACTGTTAGCCAAAAGATCCTCATCAATCCGGATCGAGTCCTGCCAAATGTGTTCAATTGAAAGGTAAGGTTGATGCACATTGAAAACAAAAATATCCAGTGAGTAGTGAATGTGTCATCTATATAAGCATAAAGTGTTATTTAAGATTATTTACACGCTAACCTTTTCAAAGACGCATATAACAGTGCTTCCACCAAAGGAAAAATAACCAAGCTACAAGTTAAAATTGATGTTCGTTAGGAAAATATATTTTCTTGAAAGTGTTTTTACTTGAGAAAAGTTGAAATTGCTTACTTCGTCTCCTTTCTTCACATGGTCTCCTTCTTTTCTGACAAAATTGATACTACCAACCATTGTTGCACCGATTGCAACAAAAGCAACCTGTTACACACTTATTATTTAGTTGACCTTGGAGTTATGTTGTATATGTAGTACTCATTATTCTGATTCGTTTGTAAACTGGCTTCTAGAATCTGTTTATTCCTTACAGCTTCAGGTAATCTCACTCTCACATTACCAAATAATAGTGTAGTCATCCAATTTTAAAAGTTATATATCCAAATAGAAAGCTTTTTGAGTACGAACCTTTCCAAACTCTAGTGTTGATATAATAGCCACGGTCCGTTTATTTTCCGTGAATACATTACAGTACTTGCTATTTACCGCTATAGGATTAACCTGAGAAGCAAGATAAATTAGAAAAAAAAACAAAAGTGATTCTCATAAATAAGAGGACAATAAAGATAAAGAGTAAGTCTTGGATTAAGTAAAAGGCAAGCAGATGCATAAGCACATACCGTATATAAGCTTCCAGAGACATCCTCAAACTTCTCAATGACTCCAGAGACAGGGACATGAAAGCGATGATAATCCTGTAACAATATCAAGACATGTGTAAGTGTAACGGAGAACAAACAACGACTGTGTTAGTATTTTAGCCTATGAATATACCTGTGGTGCAAGTCTGAATATCACCAAAGATCCATCAAGGAAGGCATTTGGATTCACACTCTTCCCAAGGAGGCCTCTAATTGAAAACTTCCGGCCCTATCAATGCCAAAACAAGTTAGATGTGTTGCAACATCATTTGCTTTGAGAATTCTCTTATCTTGCATTATATAGTAAGCTACTCTAGAGACTATATATATTACCTTGATCCAGAATCTTGTGCTATCCTCAACAGATTGAAACGCCATTAAACGACAATCAGCACCACATACAGCAACATCATCACGATTCCTGCTAGCAATTGGTCTTGCACCAAGTTTCAGTTCCCGGATGAAGAACTCGTTAAAAGTCTGCAAGTAAGAAAATCCGAATAACTGTTCACAAACTCACATTTTATTCAATTTACCACGATCATAATAATACTGATGCCAGATTGCAAAGTTCTTTTATACTTAGTCATTTGCTTATATGGCTTTCACAGGTGACTCACAATGTGACTCTAAGGACATGTAGATACATTTGGATTTAGTGTTGAGGCTATCAATAAGATCACTTGTATACCTTAAAATGCTGCAGAGGATACTTGACTTCAGCCATGTTTATTTGATCCTGCAGCCAAAAAATATCTCAATCCTTAAACCCAACAACCAAGCAAACAAATTATTGCTAGATGAAATAGTAACATTCCATGCCTTAAAGAACTCGAGAAAGCTGGGAATTTTTTGGGCGGATTCAGCTGAGTTCATTTTCTTCCCCTGCTTCTCAGAAAGTCTCTGCAGAATCTCCTTTGCCCCTGGATCAATCAAGCATAATTGTGTCATTTTGTTAAAATGGTGTCACGGCGAGGAACGTTAAGTTTTTAGGCATATCCAAACTGTGTAGTGACAATACAATAGCTTATCACAAAAGTTGGAATTCTCATGTGCATTTTGAGAGGTAAAAGTCAAAAGTACTGTACCTTGATCCATAAGTCGAAGCCCAATTTTAGACTGGTAAATAGCTCTCATGGACAGAACAATCTTTGAATCAATTAACTCTTCCACAAGTCTCTTAGTCTTCCGGTCAATCACCTTAAGCAAGATTCAAAACACCAAGATAAACCACGCTTAGTAAAGTGAGTACACAATTAGAGAGCAAAAAGTCATGAGACTAACGAAAAAGAAATTTTGAAATTTGAAGAAAAAGTCACGAGTGACGGCAAAAAGAAAAGAGTACCACAATATGTGAAGCACTTGAGCCAGTATTCAAACCAACGTCATATGTTGATAAGTGTGTCCATTCACTTAGTTTGAACATCCATCTGAACAAAAAAAAAGTTGAAGATATTACTATTGATAAATGATAACTATTAACTTTTTCAAAGATGGTTGAAAAGAGATATATTTCACACCCATAAGAAGCTTGTCTATCAGTCAAAAACCCTCCGGTCATCTTTTGATTACCGGTTCCTTCGTCAAAACAGAGAGTCATATGAATCATAGCGTTGAGCTTGTCAGATACTTGAAGCGCCTCACCACACACCGGACAGTTATTTATAATTGGCTCCCTGCATTTACAGAATTCAAGATTCCTTGTTAAGAAACAAAAAAAAGCAAGAATCAAGAATATTTGAAAAAAAAGGAAGTGAATAAGAATGATTACTTTTCTTGTTGAAGAGCAAGAAGCGAAGCTAATTCGTCAATGGTCACAACACCGTCCCCATTCAGATCAGCAGCTCTAAACAACTCCTCTTTCTGGTAAATAATTCAGTGAAAACATCATCAAAGTCCAGCTTTAGCCCAAATGCAGCAAGTCTAGAATCACCATTCTACTTTAAAACTTTCAAAGACTTATAAGCATATTATGTTAGCAAGATGTTTAAAGCCAAACCTTGTTAGCAGCTACTAAATTTCCAAAAGCACGTATTAAATCAGAGAACTCCGAAAACGAGAGTTGTCCATCTTCATTGTAGTCCTGCAAATTTGTCAAATAAACTCCAACTATGTAAGCAGAAAGACTCAACAGAAGCAATTGAAAAAAAGACACTGCAAGAATAAACTAAGAGTGGAATATTTAGGTAAAGCATACCACTACGGACAAGATACGTTTTGCAAACCGCTTCTCTGTTTCAACAGGATCCTGCAAATATTAATTAAGTAACCAAAATGAATATAAGACACTATCGCATGCTCCTGCATTTCTTCTCAAATTATCCTCTGTTGTGTTATTGTTACCTCAATAGCGCATGAAAGGAATATGCTGCCAACAACTTTGGATGATGATGCAGGATCTAACAAGTCAAATGACTTACAAGCCAGCTCAGGTTCCTGTAGTATCACGTCAAAGAAAGCGAATGAGCATGGAGATAACAGTTTTCTCATCTATTAGTACACCATTCACGGCCATGCAACATTTACCAAGATTAATTTTAACTACTTACCTGCACTATAAAATCAAATATATCAAGCTCGCAATAGCCGACGAGTTTGTTACTTGAGAGCTTATTGGTCTGCACCAAGAAAAGGATGATCCTTTTAACTAACTATTAATCAAAGAAAGAAGCAATATCATGACTAAACTCAAAATCTTGATGATAGAAACCTCGAAAACAGAGACCCTAGCGAGACTTGGTCCATTCTTCTCCAAGAGAAGCTTCTTTTCCTATTTTACAGAGAAACACTAAACCGGATTTAGCAGAAGTATTCAAGAGAGAGACCCGGAGTCCGAGATTGTTTTTGATCGACTTACCGAGTTCCAAGTTGGCTTCTCCGTACTGAAAATTCAACAGAAACAACATAAGTTATCAATGAGTCTTTGAAATGAACAGATTCGAATGCAAAAACTATAAGCAGACTTACGTATCTGAGATTTCCGTTCTGAATGTTTGTTCCCCGAACGAAACACAAGCGAGCCACTTGTCTTTAAACTTCATATCCGCCTACAAGAAAACATAGCCAACAAAAAAGGAAAAACAGAGACCAACCATCACATCACTCAGCAGAACCGTAACGAAATATACATGCAAAATTGAAAACCGTAAGACGGAGAAATCGTACGCCAATGAGAGTGAGAAGAGCAATGCCGGAGAAATCTTCTACGGTCACAGCTCTTTGAATCCCCATTCCGGCCGCGTTCCGGGAGCAACGGCTACGTATATGACGAAACTTCTGTAGCTTCTGCCGCAGCCTTGACCGTCGCGATTCCTTAGCCTCCCTAGAGTTTCCGTTTCCCATAGCTCTCTCGAATTATTCAATCCCTAACGCACCTGGAAGGTTTTCGAATCTTAGGATTGAGGAAGACGAAGAAAGGCAGAGAGAGAGAGAGAGAGAGAGAGAGAGAGATCAGTTTTAATTTTTCTCCCGGCTTCGTTTAATTTTCCTCCTCTCTAGAGAACGTTGACCCGAATGTGAACCGTCCATAGTATTTATATGCCTTTCAAAAATTTGCAAATTGGTCTGTTATGTATGGACTTTTAAAAGATGGGCCCTTTTTTTATTCGCCTTTTTAATGTTTTTTTCAATAAAATGAAGATGGAATAAAATGAGAATGTTTTTTCTCACCACTTTCTACGTAACATAACGCCTTCGCAATTTTCATGTGTTCTAAAACTCGTTAGGCGGTACTAGGGCGCTCCGTCTCCTTCTAGCGATTTTCTTAAAAGTCGGAAATAAATCGGAGAGTACTCGGAAATTAATTTTAAGTACATTTTTATATATTTCCAACATTTTTAATTTTTTATATATAATACATCAACATGAAAATCATATACTACATTATTACCAAATAACATTCTTTTTTTATATATAATACATCAATATAAAAGTCATATACTACATTTTTAAGGTTTTATGTTGAATGAAAAGTGCTTTACACACTTTGGCGAATTGGGGCTAATTGTGAACAAAAATCAAACTTTAGCCCACCAGATTTTAACATTTACTTACTGATTTTTATAATAATGTGAATGTCAAAGTACGGTCAACGGTTGACCATATCTTTACTCGGTTTTTAAAAAGTCGGAACGGCAACCTCCTTCTGACGGTTTTAGGACCGAGTACTCGGCAACTCGGCCGACTTTTAGAACACAACAATTTTCTATACTTTATGAGCATATATATAATGATATTCGAATACTATTATTAAATTAAAAGTTTTGTTCTTGCCTTTGATATTAAAAATTTGAATTTATATGTGTGACAGTGTGACGCAGTGAGAAAACTACATATGGTGGCTGACACAGTGACATTTTTTTCTGTCAAATTAGGGATGACTTTAAAAATTATAAATCAAGAGGTATCACATCTTTACATAATTCGCTGTTAAGTGAGCAACTTAGCAGTCAACATATTTACCTCTAACGAAACTTTTCCGTATTTTAATTAATTATATATAGTGGGTGATTTTATTCTCAATATATCAATTGCTGGTGTTATTTGGACTTGGTCTTAATAGTGTTGGTGTTTTCTGCGTTGTAAAGCGTGTGATGATTAGGTAAGCTCTTGAATCCGATTCTGTTCGTGGTCAAAGCTGTCCATAATTGATTCTATCAAACAATAGAAAATGACATGCCATATACATCAATCTTTTTATACTTCTAACTATGTTTTTTATAATGTAAGCCTTCATCTAAGCAAATGACATGTATCTATCCTAAATTAGAGACAAACGAACAGTGTATATTAGAAGTGAGGACATCACTATAAACTTTCACACAATGGAAACTATGTAATATTGTAAATGCTAAAATGAATAGATTATTAGTATTGAATAGTCTAATCATGTCAAGTTTCAATCAGAAACGTCACTCCTCAATTAACGTATACAGATTCTATAAAAAAACAGCCTTACGTCAAAACCATTACCCCTTCTTCAAACACAGTAGAAAATTCAAGATGGGGAAGAGAACAAAAATTCAATCAATCTAAGCAAAAATATATATACAAACTTGAAAGCAGAGACATTTCGGATATGAACAAACAGTTCAACACAAATGAGATTATAGAACGCTTCATGCAAAGCAGAAAATAAGAGATTTCATCTTTAAAGTAAAAAGCTGTGGAGAAAAAAATATAAAACCCTAGGACTCCCTGTGGATTAAGCACCGTAGGATCTTTGAATGCCTTGTTCTGTGATGTACATTACTATATGTTCATTTTCATAATTTTCTCTTAAAATAATTGATAACATCTTTGGTTGGTCTTATTGATAATATGTTTCATTCAACGTCGACCATGTCTCTACATGAATTGAGATTTATACCGTAAAATACTCATCTCATAGACCAGCGTAATCATCTCGCACGAATAGGGAAATAATAATCCAGATCATTAATATTCTGTTACGCACGTTTTGAGGGTAAGAAAGTCTGTTATCGTGTTCCCGTTTATTGTTACATCCAAACTAAAAAAGACATCATCCGCTTCTTCTTCTCTCTCTTTCTCAATCATCTTCCTTCGATCACGACATCGCCAGATCTTCCTCTTCAGAAAACTCAGATCACAATCGTAAAACTTACATTATTCCGCATTTTCCCCAAGATTTTGACTTTCAGAGACGTTTATTAATATATAAAAAAAAGTGCGGCTCGATGGGAACGTTCACGAGCTTCAGAAAAGCCTATGGAGCGCTCAAGGATTCAACCACCGTCGGTCTCGCTAAGGTCAACAGCGAATTCAAGGTCAGATTGAATCAGCATTTGTTGTTATTTGAATTTCTTGTTTTAAACGAAAAGGTGTGTGAATATATGATCGATCGATGCATGTTTTGTCTAAATTTTTTTATCGTTATAGGATTTAGATATTGCGATCGTGAAAGCAACGAATCATGTAGAATCTCCTCCTAAAGAACGTCATGTTCGTAGTAAGTTTTTCTCTACTTTTTCCTTCCAATCAAATCCTGAATTTGGATATGATCATTTCTATAGGTTTTGATCAAAAACATATATATTGTGCAGAAATATTCTCGGCGACATCTGTAATACAGCCACGAGCAGATGTAGCTTACTGCATTCATGCATTATCCAAGAGATTATCCAAAACTCGCAATTGGGTTGTAAGTTTCTGATTTGTTTTAAAAAAAAAAATCTCAATCGATCTTTTTTAAAGTTGCATTTTATTAATTTGTCAAAAAAAACACAGGTAGCAATGAAGGTGTTAATAGTAATTCACAGAACATTAAGAGAAGGTGATCCAACATTTAGAGAAGAGCTTCTAAATTACTCACACAGAAGACATATACTTAGAATTTCTAACTTCAAAGACGACACAAGTCCTCTTGGTATGCATTTCTTCATGCTTTTTTTTTTTTTTTTTTTGTTGATTTACAAATGTAAATTTAGAAACCTATCATGACATTCTCATGGATGCAGCTTGGGACTGCTCTGCTTGGGTTAGAACATACGCGCTTTTTCTAGAAGAGCGGCTCGAATGTTACCGCGTTTTAAAGTATGACATCGAAGCAGAGCGTTTGCCAAAAGCTTCAGGTGGAGCTTCCAAGGTTTGTCCTACTAACTTCTCTTACAAAAAATCATTAACCTACGTAAAACTAGAAACCTAATTTTTGTTTTCAATTTTTGTTGTGCAGACGCATAGAACAAGGATGTTGTCTGGTGAAGATCTGTTAGAACAGTTACCTGCGTTGCAACAGCTTCTTTACCGACTTATCGGATGTCAAGTAAAGTTTTACATGCAAACTCAAAAAAATTATTTATAGGGTTGGAAGAAGATTTCTTCTTATTTGTGTTCAGCTTTGCAGCCTGAAGGAGCAGCTTACAGCAACTATTTGATCCAATACGCTCTTGCATTGGTGCTCAAAGAAAGCTTCAAAATCTATTGTGCTATCAATGATGGAATCATTAATCTTGTAGACATGGTATGTAAATTAACAAAGTTTATTTTCTTGCTTTCGCTCACTAATTCATTCAGCGGTTTCTAATTCAAAAGATTGTATATTTCTCTGTGTCATTGTAGTTCTTTGAGATGACAAAACATGATGCAGTCAAAGCTCTTAACATATACAAACGAGCTGGTCAACAGGTGAAGAACCTATGCTTATTTTCATCTGATTCCTCTGTTTTTTGCATATATTAAACTTTACTTGTTGATGTTTTTCTTTGCATAGGCTGAGAATCTGGCTGAGTTTTATGATTACTGCAAAGGGCTTGAGCTTGCTAGGAACTTTCAGTTCCCAACCTTGAGACAGCCTCCTCCATCGTTTCTTGCGACAATGGAAGAGTACATTAAAGAAGCACCTCAGAGTGGTTCTGTACAGAAGAAACTGGTAATAATGAGTTTCATATTATCTCATACTATTCTTAATTCTTGGTTTCAATTTAATATTGATGATCAACATCTTCTTAGGATTTGACATTTTGTTGTGTTTCTATTAACAGGAGTATCAGGAAAAAGAGGAGGAAGAAGAGCAACAAGAAGAAGAACAGCCTGAAGAACCAGCAGAAGAAGAAAACCAAAACGAAATGGAAAGTGATCAGCCACTAATTGAAGAAGAGGAAGAGCCTGAAGAGGAGAAAGAAGAGGAAGAAGTTAAACCTTCACCATTGATTGACACTGATGACTTGCTGGTAAAGTCTTCTCCATCTCTCTAAAATTGCTAAAAAATACCAAAACCTCAAAACTCAGTGACCCTTTTCTTTACATCGATTCAGGGTCTGCATGAAATAAACCCACAAGCCGCAGAGATAGAACAAAGAAACGCATTGGCTCTCGCAATATATCCACCAGGTAGAGAAAAAAAAACTAGTAAAAATCCAGACTTTCTCAAACATTACCATAAATTTAATAAACATTTTCTCTTCAGGACAAGAACCTTCAGGCCCATCTAATAGTCTAAGCTTAATAGAAGCTGGAGGAAGTGGTTGGGAGCTTGCACTAGTCACACCACAAAACAACAACAATAACAACAACAATCCTCGTCCCACAATAGCAACAAAACTCGTAAGTCTCTCATTCAAACTTGAACTCATTGCATCAAACTTTCTATTTCTACTCATATGGTGCTTTGTTATTATAGGGTGGAGGATTTGACAATCTTCTGCTAGACAGCCTCTACGAAGACGACACAGCAAGAAGACAGATCCAACTAACCAACGCTGGTTACGGATTTGGAGCCACGGCTACAGCTGCAGAACCGCCCTCGTCGAACCCGAACCCGTTCGGGATGCAACAAGATCCTTTTGCAATGTCTAACCACATGGCTCCACCAACCAATGTTCAAATGGCAATGCAGCAACAGCAAATGATGATGATGAATCATCAGAATCCATATAATAATAACAACTACTCACCGTATCATCATCATCAACATCATCATCACTTCTCATCGAATCCATCGTCTTCTTCTTCTCCTAATCCTTTTGGTGATTTTCTTGCTCTCCCGGCTCCTCCTTCATCTGGTGCTTCTCAGCAGCAACACAATAATCATATGCTCCTTTAGGAAAGGTCATTTCAATAACTTGTCTCTTGTCTTTTTCTTTTTTAAAATTTGATTTAATCCAGGGTATCAATTCTTTTATTCTTTTCTAGTATAATACTCTTCTACATTGTTGGGATTTTTCTTCTGTTTTTCCCTTTAATTTTGATATTTATACCGTTGTATTTTTCCCTCTATTCATGTTTCTTGAAATATTCAAAAAAAAATAGAAACCATACAGGTGACAGGACAATGTAGTAGATTAGTCCAAAAATAAAGTATCCAAATTTATTGATTTTATACAGAAAAATGATATCCAAAATATTTCAGCGGAAATAATTAACGGTCAGTCACAAAAAAGGGAGGGAAATTAAATGCACTCTCGACTTCTCTTGACATTAAAGAACCGTTAAAAACCCGTTAGGGTTAACAGAGTACAAGGAAACTCAGGTCCCTTGTGCTACACGTTATCACTGCACTGACAAATAAACAAAACCCTCTTCAAAATTTCTCATATATACATTACAACTACACGCTCTCTCTCTATCACACACACACACACACACATACAGAGAAAAATGTAGTTTCAGATTACAACAAATTGAAAATTACGTAGCCGAGTCACAATAAACTTTACATTTCCGACAACAACATATTTCCAAGTCTACGAAGTTCTTTAAGAGCTTCTTCAACTGTTACCCTTCCGTTCTCAGTCAGTTTCTCCGGTGAACTTAGCTCCAACACCGACTCTATCACCTGAAACCGAAACATCCAAACAAATAAAGAGGTCAAGTCATGTTTACTTTTGGTTCATAACGATCAAATCCATGATTCGATTCATGAAATGTTTACCTTAATATGTTCAAGCATGGACCGTCCTGTATTCTTCAATGAATCTCCATTCCCTGCAGTTGAACCCAAATCTGTCTTTGCTTCTTCAGAATCTTTCGGTTTAGCTTCTTTCGTCTCAGAGGTCTCCTCGCCGGACAAGTTTCTACCTAACCTCCATAGCCTCTGGAACTTCCCTGAAAGAATCCTATCCCTGAAGATATTCACCCCTGATTTCGTCTCTGGCTCCTTCTCTGCTTTGGCCTCTGGCTCCTTCTCAGTCTTCGCCTCTGGCTTGTTCTCAGTATTCGCCTCTGGCTCCTTCTCAGCATTCTCTGGCTCCTTCTCAGGAACGAGAAGAGGCAAATCCGAGTGGATCTCACTGCTTCCGCCTTTATCAGAATTGTTATCCTCCAAATCTGTGCTCGGTGAATCAGATACTGTAGACGAGCGTTCGATATCCGTATCAACCGGGATCGGAGACTCAGGAGGATCAATCTCTTTTTCCCCGAGCTGCCGGGACAAATCATCAAGCAAACTCCGTCTAATAGGCGGCTTGTTACCGCTTCTAACCGCCTCAGCCGGCGACGGATCGGACTCAGTCCTCGAAAGCCTTAGCTTAACTCTCTCCGACCAACTCTTCTTCCCACCTTTAGGTCTCTCCACCAACAACACCTTCTTCTTCCGCTCCTCTTCCTCCGCGCTGTTCAAAACTCTCCACTTCTCCTCCCAGTAGCTCTCAGGCACTTTTCCAACAGGAGACGAAGAGCCAAGCGAGATCGAATCAACCGACAAACTATGACCTCTCGCCGCCGGCTTCTTCAGAATCAAATCACCACCACAACGAGCGTTGTTAATCTCCAGAGCAAGACTCTGCAACGACTTCGCCTTCTCGATAACTCTACACAGATCAACGTCCTCCGGGAAATTCAGCAACCTCTTGAGAGACGAGGTCGCGTTCTCCGTCGCTAGCAGCGACGATCTCAGATAAAGTATCATCGAAACCGCCATTCCCGCCACCAGAGCTCCACGAGGAGAGCTAAGGATCTTGAACTCAAACCCTAAATCAACACTCTGTATCTCAGAGTTATCAGCTGAAAATATCTCATCCCAAACGATTAACAGATTGTTCAGAGGGAACTCTCTCCCGAACAGAACCCTAAGCCACCGGAGAGCAAAGTACTGAGGTTCAACACCGAGCTCAACGAGATGGCTGTGGAGAGAAGAGTCCACCAGAGAGAGCAAATGATACAATGCAGCGGAAGCTTCGATCACAGGAGGCAGTCCCGTGACGGAATCGTTCGGAGCAGAGTACACGAAGAAGTTCGCAACGGAAACAGCACCGAGAGAAGATCCTCCGCCGTACATGAGAGCGTCGAACATGGAGTAAGCGTCGTGCTCCATGAACTTCTCGGAGAGGACGATCCCTAACTCGCCCTCAGCTCCATACGCATCGCTCAACAGCACAGCGGTCTGCGTCTCGGTGTCGAGCTCATCGAAACTCTTCGGTTTCTTCTTCTTCTTCCTTGTGTTTCCAGAAGCTGGACCGTTCTCTTCTTCTTCGTCCTCCATGGAATCATCCAAAACCTTCTTGATATCGAAATCGTAAGCTGCGGAGTCACGTTCTTGAAACGCTTGTTCGTCGAAGAGATCGATAAACTGGTCTTCGTAGTTTGATCTCACTTCTGTTAGGTATTGCACATCAACTTGAAGAACGTAAAGCAGAGGAGCTAATAGCTCATGCATCCCTGAAAAAACACCAAAACCAAGATTATAAAACTACAAAAAATAACATCTTTTGACAAATCAAGATTTACAATTGAAATCAACCTTGTCTATAACCAATCTCTGGATGCTTGAGGCACCACAAGAGAAGTATCCTTCTTAACATGCCTTGGCATCCAGAGGATTGGAAGTAGCTTCCATGCTCTGGATAAAGCCGTGAGAGATCTTGGTCGAGCGTTTTCTCGAGCTCTGCGTTACGAAAGAATCTCCCCCAAGTACTATCTACACGCACAATCCAGAGACTTTTACAAAATTGGAGAAATTTGCAATTGGTCATGTGTCTCAGTGAGAAGTATTGTTTTTTTTACCAGGATTCTGTGATAAAGGATTATCGATTGTGAAATCTGGAGAATTGATTCCTTTCTTGGGCAAATGTGGATCAATTAAGAGTCGTCTTCTCAAAGCAGCATATCTAAAAAAATCAAAGCTTTATATCAAAAATTGATCTGAGTCTGAATCTGGAAGCTACGAAATTGCGAGAAACGCAAAACCCAAAAAAACAAAATCTTCAATTGAATAAAAATGATAAATGGTGAAAATGTAGGGAAAGTCAAAACCTTCTTCTGGAATCAGCCGTTACTCTGCGGAGCTCGTCGATGGTGGAGGAAGGAGAAGACGGCAGAATTCCGAGGTTAATTCGCCATCGGACACCGCGAAGCTTGTCGAACCGGTGATCTCCGGACGGCGGCGAGGCGTTAGAAGTGCATGGGTCCTGAGTTTCCGCTATCTGGATTTCTTCGGGAATCGCCATGTTTTACAGATAGGACCTTGCTTCATCCAATCCTCGATTTCGTGCAAACAAACAAACAAAAAATTGGGTTTCGATGAAAAAACAAAAGAAAATACGATTAAATTGCAAATTTGCAATACTTTTGTCGCTTTTTTTTATGCTTTCGACAAATCGAATCAATTGTATATTCTTGTATGTTGTTGATTTTTTGTCGTTGAGCTGGGAATCTGGGATTGGTGTATGGAGCTGAGAATGGTTTTGTTTGCTTCTACAAAACGACGCTGTTTCACGTTTGAGCGTCTTTTTCAGTTTTATAACGAGAATATGCCAAATTTCTCTTTTAAATACATAGGTTTAAACAGCCGGTTTTGGATGGATCTTCATGGACTGAAATGATATTGAGATTGCAGAGACAGCAAACCCGAACCCTCTATCAGATCGCCACTCTCGGCCCAGGCACTAGCAATCAGAGAAGCCTTCCTCAAAACACATGATTTGAACAATCTGTGCATTAAATCAGATTCTCATACGCTCATCAGAGCCATTCGTAATCCAGATCATATAGCTGAGATCTATGAAATTATTCATGATATCTATCAATTAGCTTCTACCTTTTCCTTGATTTCTTTTCATTTTACGCTGAGATCGACCAATTTGGTGGCCGATTCACTAACAAAAAATGCTCTATCGCTATTTGTATTAAATGGCATTTGAAGTGAACTTTTTATTTTAATGAAAACGTACAATGTTCAAAAAATACATAGGTTTACGAGGATGATGAGAATCTGAAGATCATTTTTGAATAAATCTAAAGAACAAACAAATCAGAAGAATATATTATATATAAATAAATCTGTATTGGAAATAGAAAACAACAAGTAATATAAAACAAAAATTTAATTATAGTATGACAACTAATTTTGAATAAGAGGAAGTATCATTTATCAGTCAAATATTTGGTGTGATTACTAGATCATCCCCATGAGGCCTTTACTGACTACAAACAATAGAACGTTTTCCTCAACGCTTCACACTTTCCTATATTATTAGTCACTCTCTCCAAATTTTCTACCAACTTCGATAGAAATATTTTATTCGTAATTAAGACTTTTTAGTTACAAGAAGAAAATGATAACTATTGCGAAAAACATACCACTTTGTAATTTGGTTTAGATTTCCAAATTCTTAGCAATGTTAATCGGTGGGTTAAAAACATACTCCTTCCGTTTTAAATTAATTGTCGTTTTGGCAAAATATATCTGCAAAAATTTGGACATATCTGGACGTGTTTTGCATTGTAGATACATCCAGATAATTGCAGATACATTTTTCCAAAACGACACAACTAATTTGAAACAGAGAGAGGGAGTATTAAATTAGAAATTTCATTTTAAATGACATCCCACTTTTTCCACATTTTGACATTCAAAGCTAATAACATAGTATAAGTGATTTGACAACTATAGTTAAATCAAGCAAAGACTTTACCAATCACCACTTACCACCGTTGAGTTGGGGCCATGATAACAAGAGACCTTCAGTTACAACTTACAATATAAGTATATAACACGAAGATAAAATTATAAGCTCTTTTACTTCTCGAATCAAAAGGTTATAGGAAATTATAAAAATACATACATTTCAGTAAACAATAACTTCATCTGTTTTAGACCTGGATCAGATATAGTTTTTTTTTCCTTTCATTTTTTGCTAAACGACATATATAGTAGTTGTTGATGGATCCATATCCAATTGCTGTTATACCAGACCCAAAACTGACCTTTCCCAAGATCCGACTACAGCCATCGGTTCCGGATTCAGCACTGCCATCAGACTTGATCACCACCAATAGAAACAAACTATTTTTATACACTTTATGCTAACGACCACTAATATAACTCACTTGATTTTAAAGTTTTGTATGACGAGGTATACAGGCAGTGGCGGGCGCTAGCCGCTAATGAGTTGCCAACTACGATTGCATTATACGATTTATGTTTTAAGAATCAGCCTCTTTTTGTTTTTTGCCAACTCTCTCTAATTCTCTATATATACAATAATAATAATATTGCTTACATAGGATATACGAACACTGGTCGTCACCTTCGATGTAACAATTATTATTATTATATCTTAAACTTAACGAGCAGCCATGTTTGAGAGTCGTAAAGGCGAGTTTGTAGCTTGGAAGAACTACCTCGACATATCAAGAAATTCACATACTATATGCCCATCCTTTCCTAGTGGACCGTGATAATAAGTCAAAGATTTACAAAAACCAGTCAAACTCAAACAAAAATTGTATTAAACAAGTTCTCACTTAAAAAGCTTGACGTTGGCATATATAATAATATAAAAGTGAGACCAAAATATCAAGAGTCAAAGTTCAAACAAGCACTACTTATTCTAATCTAATTTCTTATATATATATATATATATATCACAAAGCCAATCCATATATAAATACATGGACATAAACAAACATCTTTTATCATCGATTAGCAACCTTTTCCAGCTAAAAGAAGCAAAAGATATATAAAAATGGATTACGTTTTGATTTTATTGCCACTCGTACTGTTTCTAATAGCTTACAAATTCTTATTCTCATCCAAAACGAATCTCCCACCAGGACCAACTCCGTTTCCAATCGTCGGCAATCTCCACCTCATAAAACCGCCGGTCCACCGTCTCTTCCGCCGCTTCGCAGACAAATACGGCGAAATCTTCTCCCTCCGCTACGGCTCTCGCCAAGTCGTCGTGATCTCTTCTCTGCCTCTCGTCAAAGAATGCTTCACCGGTCAGAACGACATCATTTTGACAAACAGACCGCATTTTCTAACCGCTCAATACGTCGCCTACGATTACACCACGATTGGAACCGCACCTTACGGCGAGCATTGGCGTAATCTCCGCCGTATTTGCTCTTTAGAGATCCTATCCTCTAACCGTCTCACCGGTTTCCTCTCCGTCCGTAGAGACGAGATCCTACGGCTGCTCACGAGACTCTCACGTGACTATAGCGGCCGTGTCGTTGAGCTTGAACCTCTTCTTGCCGATTTGACATTCAATAATATTGTCCGTATGGTCACAGGAAAACGCTACTACGGAGACGAGGTTCGTTTACATATATTCACCAATTCTTTTACACTTCTGATATTCTTGTAGAAAATAACATTTGATGCTGTCATATTAACTAATTAATATTTTACACTTCTCATATGCTTGTAGAAAATAATATTTAATATTCACCTACCACACACTTGATTCAGTCTCCAAACCAAGTCGTAAATTCAAACTTGTTTTGGATTATTGACCAAGTGTATACAATTTTAAATATTAATTAAATATCGTTCCCTGCTTTTTATACACTCATTATATTGGATGTGGGTTTTTTTTTTTGACAAATGAATGTGGATCATTTAGGCTAATTATATTTCTTAATTATTGATTTCTTAAAGATTCACAACAAGGAAGAAGCGGATCTGTTCAAGAAACTAGTGACAGAGATCAACGACAACAGTGGTGCGAGCCATCCGGGAGATTATCTACCGATTCTGAAAATGTTCGGACACGGCTACGAGAAGAAAGTGAAAGCACTTGGCGAAGCCATGGACGGTTTCTTGCAGAAACTGCTCGACGAATGTCGAAGAGATGGAGAGAGCAACACAATGCTTAGTCATTTGTTGTCTTTACAACAAGACCAACCCAAGTATTACAGCGACGTCATCATCAAAGGTCTCATGCTCGTAAGTACACACACACACATGCATGATACATATAAATTAACTTAAACCTAAACTTCATCTAATACTCTAATAGCATGTTGCGTTTCATTTGAGTTTTGTGGTTACGTGCATGTTTCATTTACACGTACAAAAATATTAAACATGTGATGATTTAACGAATATTGTGGAATGTATGTATATAGAGTATGATGCTTGCGGGGACGGATACTTCAGCCGTGACGTTAGAATGGGCGATGGCAAGTTTGTTGAAAAACCCTGAAGTATTGAAGAAGGCTAAAGCCGAGATAGACGAGAAGATCGGAGAAGAGCGGCTGATCGACGAGCCGGACATTGTGAACCTCCCTTACCTACAAAACGTTGTTTCCGAGACCTTTAGGTTGTGTCCGGCCGCACCGCTCCTCGTCCCGCGTTCTCCTTCAGAAGATATCAAGATCGGAGGATACGACATACCACGTGGCACGATCGTACTAGTGAACTCTTGGTCAATCCATAGAGACCCGAAGTTATGGGATGAGCCCGAGAGGTTCATGCCAGAGCGGTTCGAAGACCAAGAAGCCGCGAATGTTAACAAGCTGATGGTGTTTGGGAACGGACGAAGGACGTGTCCCGGTGCGGCTTTGGGACAGAGGATGGTTTCGTTGGCTTTAGGTTCGTTGATTCAATGCTTTGACTGGGAAATAGTCAGCGGTGAGGAGATTGATATGACTGAGAATCCTGGAATGGCTATGCGCAAGCTCGTGCCATTACGAGCCGTTTGTCATCAGCGTCCCATCATGAATAGTCTCTTGGCTTAATTAAAATCACATCCTTTTGAAGATTATTTACCGGTTCAAACGTGTTTTTTTTTTGTTTTTTGTTTTATATATAGGTCTTATACAAATATATTGTTTAATAGCTTGGAGATTAAATAATACTGAGAAAACGTATGATTCGGTTAAGAATTAATGTTTGTATATCAGATTCGAGTCATGAAATTAAAATAATAGTTTTTTCCTTTGTTTGATAAAGAATGAAAATAACAGTTTCGATTATTAAAAAGAAATGCATGAGAGACTGAAAGAGAAACATGCAAAAATGTTTCAAAAAAAATTTAACGTTAGGTGGCACGTCTATTATCCCATTAATTTTTTTCTGAGATAAAATGTATCTTCATAAGTTACACTATAAAAAAAATTATGCCTTGATTTCGATAATTTAATACATAAAAATATATAAATACAAGCTTTTTTGTTTTTGTTTTTTGGGTGCTTTTTGTCATTTTGTTGAAATCTGCAAAAAGAAACGACATGAAACCCAAACAAAGCCCAAAACAATTTACAGTACGAGCAACAACTTGAGCCTGTGAAGCAAAACATAAACCGCCATTATCGATCAACCAGAGTTCCTCTGCAGATTCTCATTTCTCTCCCACTTAAAAGCTTGACAAGCCAGACTAAATTCTTAGCTTACTCTGCAATTAGAATTTGTTGCTTACCGACGATTCTCGTTCGAGCATTGCAAGTAAATCGGAAGAAGCAGCGAACACAGCCTTCAGGTTCAATTTCTCCTAAAAAAATCCTTTGAATCAGAGTTTCTGCGTGTTCATTTGAATCTTCCTTTTGCTAGAAGAAAGCGACAACCAGTTTCTCTTCGTACTTTAGATTCCCTACTCGTGATAATATGTGAGACAAAATATTTACAATCCGTTTGCTTCTTCTTCATCTTTCTTTTCTGGGTTTTTGTTTGATGGTGATAAATTTGAATTCTGTATGCGTTTTACTGGATAATTAGAATATGTTTTTGCAAAGCACCTGAGTTTCTTTGCATTAAGGTGTTAAGATCACATAATGATCATTGCACCCATGTTGTTCGATGAAATGCCTGAAAGAAAAATTAAAAATGATTCCTTTTATCAAAATTCATTAGTGATGCCTATAAAGTTTTCAAATTTCCTCATTTAGTTGATGATGTCAACACAAAACACAAAAATTCACTGATTAGGCATTGTTGACGAGTTATCTTCTCAAGTAGTGGTCTGTTTTTACCTTAAGTCTGATGTACATTTTTGTTCGTCTCAGATGGGAGATGCAACATTTCTCGATAGAATGCTTCTCCAGCTTCGTTCCACTTGCAAGTAATGAGTTTGAATTTGTATAATTTCTTGATAATAATATTGTGATACCACAGACACAGCCACTCATACTTTTCTGTTGAATGTGAAGGTATTACAGCGGTTACCCTAAGGATCTAGGTCCATCGCGGGTTATCCATTTTACGTCGGAAAGAGAGTTTGTCCAACTCCTTCACCAGGGCTATCCTGTGGTCGTCGCATTCACCATAAAGTAACTTTAACTTTCCACAAAATCCATTGAAACTGCGCTCTCATTTGTACATTTCCATCTCACATGTGTCTCCATTGTACAAATACAGAAGTAACTACACATCACATCTTGATAAGATGCTTGAAGAATCTGCTGCTGAGTTTTATCCCAACATCAAGTTTATGCGTGTGAGTTCCTCAACAATAGTATAAAAGAATACAATGGAAACTTTTATAAACCATGAAGTGAATGTTGTTTTTGTTTGGATTGTTTCAGGTTGAGTGCCCAAAGTATCCTGGATTCTGCATAACTCGCCAAAAGAGTGAATATCCTTTCATTGAAATCTTCCACAGCCCACAGCAAGTATACTTCTCTTTTCTTGTATTTCCGGTGTCTGACATGTTTCTGTGAGCCCTGTAAAATGAAAATCCTTCTGATGCAGGCGGGTAATGAAGGAAAGGTCCAGGATCCGAATATCACCAAGTATTCTGTCAAAGTCGTACCTGTAAGTTGATCCATCACAAAATTGTTTTTTCTATCACCTTTCTGGGAACAAAAATCTTTTTTTTTGTTGAGATAATGCAAAATTACATGTTTTCATATGTTGCGGAGTCTAAAGATCGTTTTTGGTTGTTATTGTTGTTTCTTTTGGCAGTACAACTATGATATGAGTCCCTATGGATTCAGAGAATTCTTCAAGCGCCAGGGTGTTCGTACTTCGGATCCCAAGTGAAGCAGTTTTAAAGTTGGTTGGTATTTGGAAGCTTTTGTGAGTGTGCCAATGGCTTCTGTGAGCTACCAATGACTGTTTGAAGAACTTTTGTAATACTAAATTTCCCTTTTCCAAAGAAAGAAAGAAATAATTTATTTTTGACGTCTGAGAGAGTTCTGCGATTTGCACGAATCAATGCGTAGAATGATAAAGGAAGAAAGGCATTTCTGTGACTTTATACTCTTCAAAAATGTTCCGATCCCCTGACCTTGGCCATGATTGATGATTTGTACCTTTTCTTTCTATAAGCAGATCAACAATTAAATGTTTTCATTTTGTTTACTCGGCCATCTTATAAAATGTATGGTTGAATATGTATGTAACAATAATATTGTTATGTAACTCACTTTTTTTGTTTTGAATTAAAAAAATAAATATATCTAACAATCTTGCAACGATTAAAGCTTTTGTATCGAAAATATCCTGTCAATTTATTTCCTTAAGACAAATAATAAAACACATCGTGTAAATTTACTTGTTCATCGTTCTCTGTTATGAATATTTTTTGTTTGTTTGTGTATTTTAATTTGCAGATATACTGTATATGCTGTACTTTGGTTCTATCAATTTTTTGTATCCAATTTCAAAATAATTATATAAGAACAAAGTTAATAAATTTAGTTGGGAAATGGTGTTTTCTCTAACTTATTAGAATCAGTGATGCATGCAAGTCGAGTATTTGTCTATTTCTATCATTTGGTCAACTATTATCTCTTTCTTTGAATGCCATAAACGACATGCCTAAGAAAAATCCACTTTCCTCGGGTCAATTTTGTTTTTCTCTCATTATCAACTGTTAAAAATGAAAAGAAAATCCAAAATTCAAATAAAATTATTGTTCTGTTACATACTCCATATTTTAAAGATAAGTTCTTCACATTCTGTTTCATAAATGTTGAAATCATATAAACTTTATGTGTACTAACTTCTAACTAAACAATGTGTGATGTATCAAAAATATGATATAACTTTTTTTTTTTTTTTTTTTTTTGTCAACAGCCTAAATTCCTATACCGGTCCGGGAAGCGGAATCGGGGGAACTGAGTTTATGTAATACACATCATGGGGCTGAGCTCGAGCACTCCGTGCTAGCTTGTCTGCCCTTGTGTTCTTCGTTCTGGGAATGTATGTGAGGGAGAACGCCTGGAACATCCCTCTACAATGCTCCACTTCTTCAAGCAAGATCGCAAAAGCTGGCCACTCGGCAGGTTTGGACACCATCTTCACCAACTGAGCGCTATCTGTTTGGAAATTCATCCGTCGTTTGTTATGGACTAGCATACTTTGCATAGCCCAAACCAATGCCTCCAATTCTGTTTGAAGAGGAGATAAACCCCGCCGTAGGTTGCTAGACCCCATCAGGACAGAGCCCGAATCCGGGTCAAAATTGTACCATCCAAGTCCAGCCCGACTGTCTGTCACTTTCCACGCTCCATCAATCTGACACCACTCTCCCGGTGGGACGTGGCCGGAGTTGATGGAGATATTATTGGATACTCCGTCTGCTACCGTTTGTGCTGCTACCCATGCCCGGGATTCCGTTATCGCAGATTCCATTACTTCCTGCGGATTTTGATCATCATTTGAGAAAACTTTGTAATTACGAGCTTTCCAAATAAACCAGAGTAACCATGGATACATCAACATGTCATCATTGTCTGGGAGGTTCCAGAATAGATGTGCCATATTTGAGTACAGTGCTCCCGTAGGAAAAAACTGGGGAGGCGTAGGTATGGGAGAGAGTGCCCAGGCCTGTCGGGCCGGGGGACACTCAAAGAGCATATGATTGATAGTCTCATCTCCCATACCACATCTCACGCACAGTGGGTCCACACGCATTCCCCGACTACATAAACGTGCGCCAACCGATAAACATCCGGTAATAATTTGCCAGAGAAAATGTTGGAGTTTTGTGGTGCATTTAACCTTCCAGGATTGCGCTTGCAATCTCCGAGTGTCCGGTCCAAAGACTGGTAGTGTCCCCTCATCGGAAAGCTCCTGTAGCACAGTATATCCCGATTTAACCGTATACCGACCCGTTGTTGTATAAAACCAGCCCCAGGTATCGGGTTTATATCCAGTAGCCACTGTTATACCCGTAATGCGAGTGATTTCCTCACTCTCAAAAAATTGTTGCAATAGTGGTCGATTCCACGTTGAGGTCTGGGAATTAATTAACTGATTCACCGTGAGGTGTGGGTAGTAATTAATTCCTTTACAGATAGCTGGCCTCGGGCAAGAATCGGAAATCCAGGGGTCATACCATACAGATATAGATGAACCTGAACCAACTCTTTTAATAAGTCCTTTGCATACCAGAGGTCGAGCTGAAACGATACTCTGCCATCCATAAGATGGAGAGTAAGAGCGAATTGGGTCCAAGGGGGTTGAGTTCCGAAAATATCTCCCCTTGAAAACTTTAGCAAACAGGGAATCCGGGTTATCCATTAGGCGCCATAACTGTTTTGCGAGTAGCGCTGTGTTAAAATCTTCTATTACCCTAAATCCCAGTCCCCCGTCAGTTTTATGTCGACACAGCTTCCGCCACGCGAGCCAATGCATACCCCGTGTTTGGGAATTTGTGCTCCACCAAAAATTTGCTACCGCACTTGTTAGTTTATTTGTTACTCCCTTTGGTAATCTAAAACATGACATGACATGTGTCGGCATCGCCGAAAGTACAGACTTGACCATTACTTCTTTTCCCCCTTTAGATAGAACCTTAGATGTCCAGCCGTTTATCCGCTTCTGCTGTCTATCGATCAAGAAACTAAAAATCTTTGTTTTGGCACCCCCCAAGCTCTCTGGGACACCTAAATAGTTACCAACTCCCCCGACCTTATGTATACCGTTTAAGATTTGATATCAAAACTTCTGTACAGAGAATATATATGTAAAAATAAATAAACATATAACTTTACATATTAAATATCATTTTATATCCGATAGAATCATAGAAAATTATCTGTAAAAATAAATAAACATGTGCATGGTTGAGAAAAGAAAATGCATGAACCTTTGCGGCCATTCCCTAAGAGTCTAAATATAAACTCAACCATGATCTAAACGATGGATAACATTAATGATACAAAGAAATTTGCCAAACATTGGATCTGCCTATTAACTATTCATTCGATCTAACAACTACTGCTTCTTCCCCATACCACTATTTACTACTCGAATAATTGAATGGCCTCTTTAGTCTCGACCAAAATGGTTTTTTCTGTTTCCTCGTTTATGGATTTCTTACGTGGTGGACACTTCAAAACGTGGAATAAAACCATAGCAGGTCGTCTAATACTTTCAATTTTATTTGAAGGAAACACTGTGGAATACTGGAAACGAAACACCGAAAATGTTCTAATAGACTTTCATAATTATGATCACTCTAAAACTTTAAATATTTTTAAATGTTTCAAGATTTTTTGAAGATAAGAATTAATTTTATAAAAAGTAATCTTTCTTCTAGATATTGCACTGTTTAAGAGAAAAAAATAGATTATAAAAGTAATTAATGCATAGAGATAAAAGTAATTTTTATTTTGTTAGTATTGTCAGATTTTCTTATGTTACTTTAAAATAAAGAATTGAGAAACAGTGTTTCACAAGAAAATTAATCGTCACTTCACAAATTCCACCCAACTGCTTCACTTATATATACACACACACATTGAGCAATATACTCCATGTGTCTCCTTTCAAACTTCTCCTTCACAAAGATTTTGGGTTATTAGGTGAATCTCCTTAGAGATGTCGTTCTATTAATAGCTTTCACAGGCTAATTTTGATCTACAACCTTTCTAGGTTTTCTCTTTTTTTTCATCATCAGGGTTCGTTTCCCTCTTGCTTCCTACAATCTTTGGAATCGACAACGTCAGAAAGACGTAACAATCGCTTATATTCACTCTTCTTATCATATGGTATGTGTTTCACATTTAATCTTGATATATATATATTATACGTACTCATATATTTATTCATAATATGCAAGGATTAGTGATGTTTGATGTTTCATTGGGTTGCTTTGTGTGCAAAGGCAGAAAAAGAAGAAGAAATGAAAAGGCACGTTGTGTTGGCGAAGCCTTTCTCGTTGGAAGATGAGAAAGATTCTGAAAACACTACTTCAAATCTCATCCAACGGATCTTAAGCCTCTTCAAAAACGTACGGCCAGGATCCGATCTCACTAATTTTCAGGTACGTAAACCCTTGTGTTTAGTATTCAGAATCTTTGAAGATGCACTGTATTTAGTATTTACTTTTTTTTTTGGACCAAAAGTACTTACTTTTTTAGGATATAAGTTTGTACCATCTCAGTGATTCCACGTATCCTAATTACCAAAATCAGGGTTTTGTTTTCCCTCAAATTTTGCATGTTATATAACCTTTAACCTATTTGATGACGAAAAAAGATGTGCTATTTCTGAATTATTTTTTACGTGTAAAAAATAATCTTTATTTGAGTAACTGGTCTGATTTGGTGAACAAAATACTGTATTACTCTCGTTTTTAATATTAATTTATAATTAAATATTTATGTTTTGTTTACTGTGAAAGCTTCCACCTCAAATGAACATACCAAGATCGCAGCTCCAATGCTATGGCGAGATGGTTTACAGTTTCAATGGTCAGGATCTACTCGGAGAGTGTTGTCGCCGTGAACAACCGATCGCACGCCTCAAATCGATGGTAACGTGGAACATCTCAACTCTCCGGCCATTGATCTTTGGTATGGCTCCGTACAATCCTATCATCGGCGAAACTCACCACGTCTCTCATGGTCACATCAACGTTCTCGCAGAGCAAGTAAGTTTTCTTTTTGTTGGGGTTACATACATGTTAAATTAATATTAAGGTAGTAAGTATTTTTCTTATGACATATGTACATTTTCTGTTATAATTTGTACTAATATACCAAAAATCAAAGTATACGACAATTAATTTATTGTATAACATTGAATTTGGTTTTTATATATTCAGATATCGCATCATCCACCAGTGTGTGCTCTTCATGCAACTCACGAGAAAGAAAACATAGACGTAATGTTTTGTCAATACTTCACACCTAAATTTCGTGGTACGTCTACGTACTAAATCACATTTCTCACCTCTGTTTTTTTGTGTGACATAATTTATTTTTTTGTATCTCTCCGTACAACTTTTACAAAATTCAGATGTACTATTAAGACTGTCAAAAATCCTACTTATTATTTAATCCGATTGAGGTGTTTTTTTAAATCCATATATCACTTTGCTTTTGTATGCCAAAATCATCATAATTATCTAAAAACATATTTGAAATATTTCATTCAAATTAAGAAACAATGAAATATTTAGTTATAAATGCATTATTTTCTCATATCAAACACTTTTTTATAACTATAAACCAATAATAATAATTCAGTAAAGTTAAATCGTTTAAATTAATATTTTTTGAAGTTTACAGTTTATTATTATTGATTAATGATAAAGCAAATAGAAAAACTAGAAAATCAATTTTTATGGGACAATAACTCTTTTAAAAGAAAGTTAACCTTTTATGAACATAGAGTAATTGTTACCTTTTGTTCCTAAATAGTTCATTTTTTATGTTTTTTGTTCCATAAAATTGATTTTAAGTGTTTTTATATACTTTTATAAGTCAGTGTTAATAAATTGTAAATTATAAAAATTATTAATTGAGAATGATTTAGTTCTTGAATTATTATTGGTTCATATTTATTTAAACGTGATTAATGCGTAAATTATGTATTTATAACTAAATATTAATTGACTTTTTTAATTTGTGTGAAAATTTTATGAAATTATTCTTTTAAAAGTAGAAATATATAAATTTCTGATTACAAAATTATCGTATAAATATCGCCAGGGTTGGTATTTTAGATTGAGTTTTCTCATTTTTAATGTGAAAATTAAACTAAAGGTGCTTACGTGGAAGTGGAAGTGAAAGGCAAAAGAGTGGTGAAACTTCTAAACCAAGGAGAGACTTACGAAATGAACAACCCGAAACTTCTAATGACGTTTCTGCCGGCGACGGGAGCTCACTGGGCCGGAAAAATCGGGATAAAGTGTCCGGAGACCGGACTCGAAGCTGAACTTCAACTACCTTCCGATTCTTTTTTCAGTCGATTCTCAGGAAACAACAAGAGAGCCATTAAAGGCAAGATCTTTGAATCTTCTTCTAGGAAACAACTCTATGAAATCTTTGGACATTGGGACAGGTAAACCCAAAAAAAAATCCTATCTTTCAAACTGTATTGCAGTTGCAGCACATAATTTACAGTTAAAAGAACGTTTTCAGAACTGTTACCGCGAAAAATCTGAAGACTGGAGAGCTTGAGGTTATATACAATGCGAGCGAAAACATTGCAAAGCTCAAAACTCCTATAGTCAAGAATCTGCAGGTTACTGTTAGAAACTTTCCCTGGATATATGATTCTTGATGGAGTTTCCGGTTACGCAACTCAAGCTATTTTTAATTTGCAGGAGGTGAGTGAGACTGAGTCTGCGATGGTGTGGAGTAAGGCGAGTGAAGGAATTATGAGCACAGATTGGGAGAAAGCAAGAGAAGGCAAGAGATATGTTGAGGAGAGACAGAGAGAGTCTTCGAGGCAAAGAGAGGTTTCTGGACAATCGTGGACTCCAAAGCATTTCTCTGTTGTTCGAGCTGGTAAGGACTGGGACTGTGTTCCTCTACAGCCTTCGGTTCCAAAAGCTCCTATCGTTGTTCCTCTCTGATTCACAGTTAGCTCTCTCTAGAGGTCCTATAAGATGTAAGAAGTTATGAGAAGTACAAACACAAATTTGTAAAAATTGTCAAGCTACGCAAACATAAGAAATGGGATAGGATTTGTAACTTACCAGTTTATCTTACAGCCAAAAGTTGTTCCTCTTCGATGAATGCAACCTAATCACTCAGGTGATTTTTCGCTTTCGCTTTTGGTTGTTTTGAGCAGTCAAGTAAACATACTAACCTATCTTGGCATACAAGAGAGCACAGACATAACAAACTCATTAGCCTGCTTCAGCTTCCCACTGGAGCAGAGTGAGCTTACGGTTGTGTGAAGGCTGTGAAAATCATGAACATAATCTTCCTTCTCCACCTCTTCTACACTAACACATTTCAAGAACTGCAATTTTTGACGAGCACTCGAGTTTTTACCAGACGGATAGAACGCGGAACTTATCTCATCTAGGATTTTAACAGCCTGAGGAACCCTTCCTTGCTCGCACAGCTCCACCAGAAAGTCTCTGATCGATTCGGAGTCAACTAGCTCTGCATCAACTCTGTTGATCAGCTTAACGACACATTCTGCAACAAGCATTTCTCTCAGGACGCTCCTCGCTTCCTCCATTCTTCCTTTCGTGCAGAAGCCTTTAATCAGAGACAGAAAACCCAAGAAGTCGGCTGAGATGTTATTACCCTTGAACTCAGTAAACACTCTGAGAGCTTCTTCCATGTCACCTCTCTTACTGTAACCTTTGATCAAAGAGCTGACTGTGAATGCATCTGGCGTTACCCTTCCTATCATTTTACGAGATAAGATTCTCATGGCTTCCTCTGTTCGCCCGAGCTTGCAATACCCGTCAATCATCGAATTGTAAATGACAATGTTTGGTACAAGTCCCTTAGATACCATCCTGTCCAAAAACTTCTCAGCATCAAGAAACAACCCTTCTTTGCATAAACTGTCAATCAAAATTCCATAAGTGACCTCAGACGGGTTCTCTAGCGAATCAAACAGACGGAGAGCTTCTACAAGACAACCTTGCTGGCAAAGTCCATTTATGAGTGCATTATATGTGATGATATTAAGAGTGACGCCTCTCTGTTTAGCAAAACTGCACAAATCTAATGCCTTTATCAGATACCCTTCCTTGCAGAGATCATCAACGATGATTGTGTAATTGACCACATCCATGAAAGGCAGACCACTTTCTTCATCATTGACAACCAGTGAATAAGCGTCCAATGCTCTGAGATTGTCCACTAGCGCAATCAGAATAGTAGAAGGAAATGTAACTGTTAAACCCTTTCTCCTCATAATCATGTAAACTTCAATCACAGCCTCGAAACAACCTTTCTTGCATAAAAGCAAGATCGCATCATTGAACATCCCCAAACAAACGTCTGAATTCAAATGTTCAAGTCTATAAACCAAATCAAGAATTCCTTTTTCACCTTCGCTACCATAGATTGAATGTAACAAGGTCCGAGATATACGGATGTCCAAATCCAAACCTTTTTCCCACAGCTCGATAAGAACGTCCATGGCTGTTTCCAGCATCCCTTTCTCGCAGAGTGCACCAATGATGCGATTATAACACACAGCTGAAGATACAGAGCTTTTCCTCAACTCATCAAACATTTCAAGTGCCTCTTCGATCTGACCCGTTTTGCAGTATCCCTCAATCAGCGTTGAGTACGTGACTGCGTCTGGAGTCAGATCCATTTCTGGCATTGCCCTGTAGAGTACGTCAGCTTCTCCATAAGCACCCACCAACAGAAACGCTTTCAGGAGAATGTTGCACATAACCAAGTCCATAGGGATTTCAGCTTCTACAAATCTACGCCTAATTTCTAAAACAGCATCAACATTCTCTTCCTTGATATAACCATCTAACAAAGTACTATACGTCACAACATCCCCCATCACTCCTTTCGAGATCTCATCCGCCTCTGACACTCTCCCTGCCCTGCATAACCCATTAATCACAGTGTTATAAGTAAGAACGCTTGGTTTAATCCCTCTCTCCTCCATATCTCCCAACATAGAGAAAGCTAGATTCAAGTTTCCTTTCCTACACATTCCATCAATCAATGTCGCATACACAAACTCATCCACTTCGATTCCCATTCTTAAAACTCTTTCGAACAACGCAAACGCCTCTTCCGGTTTACCCTTCTTGCAGAGTCCTCTCATAATAGCAGTAAAAGTGATCAAATTCGGCTCTGTTCCCTCCTTCATCATCTTCCCCAATAACCCAAAAGCCTTTTCGATGTTTCCTTCTTTCGACAACCCATCTATGAGTATCGAATAACTCACAGCATCTCTACTTATCCCCTTTTCCACCATTTCCCTATCCTGCATAAGTGCATCCATCAATGCACCTCCTTTAAGGTACCCATGAATCCAGTTACTGTAGAAAACGCAGTCAAATTCAACTCCTTCATCTTCCAGTTTCCTAACCAAATCCCTAACTTCATCAACCTTACCCAATTGACAAAGAGCATTCACAAGCGTAGTGTAAGTCACAATGTTGGGCTCTAACGCTCCTGAATCAACAGCAGTCTCGAAAAACCCTAACGCGAGCTCCGGTTTACCAATCTTACAAAACCCAGAAATCACAGCACTGCAAACGAAATTATCAAACGGATAGTTTACTTTCTTGTTCGTCATCATCTCTAAAACCTCGATGGCTTTATCCATCTCTCCTTTCGCAACGAACCGATAAATCAGTGAACAGAACGTCAAGGAAGAGGGAAACGCACCGTGACTCCGTAAGCAATCCCGGAGAATCGAAAGGGCCTTATTGGGATCATCCCGTGCGACGCTGAATCCATTAATTAGAGAATCCAACATGTGCGTCCTGGGGAAAATCGAGGCTTTTGAAATCTGGGTGTTGATAAACTTCTCTGCGTCTTCGTATCTGTTCAAATTGAGAAATGCCCACGAAACGATCGAGTAGATACGGTGATTGATGTCGATTTGCTTCGAATCTAGCTGAGAGTAGAAGTGGAGAATGCAGTTAAACTTCTGGCGACGGTAAAGATAGCGAAGAAATCTGTCGATGGAGGTTAAAGTCGGAGAGAAGCCGCTTTTGAGCAGCGATTGCAGAGAGAAGAGTCCCGAAGAAGCACGAGGATGAAGCTTCATCGAAAATTCGCAAAATGATTCTTCTTCACTCTTTGGCGTTTAAGCTAATTCGTCATTTCAGAATCATCAATGGCAAAAGAAATATCACAGTGACTCGCATTAAATTTGGACCGGTTTGGTTCTGCTCGAACCGGTTTATTTGGTTTAATTTATTAAGGTTAAACCAACAATAAGCCAAATATTAAGGTTACACTTTGGTGGTGTATAAAATGTAGTGTTACACAGTACACTTTATTTCGTAATACACACTAAAGTATAAACTTATTATGAAGATCAAAGGTCTGAATAATTCACAGGAGCAAGTAGAAGATCATGTTTCTTATGGGAAGTGAGTCCAGAGCCTTCGTCCATGTCAATATCTTCAACACCTTGTGGTAACTTCCAGTCAAAATGGTACAAGAGATTCGCAAGAGCAAACTCGACGTTTGTTGTCCCCATGTACACTGCTGGACAGATTCTCCGACCACCCCCAAACGGCAACAACTCAAAGTGTTGCCCTTTGACATCAATGTCACAATCCATAAACCTCTCTGGGATAAACTCTTCTGGATCTTTCCACACTTCCGGATCTCGTCCAATAGCCCATACGTTGACATGAAGCCTTGTCTTGGGTTGGATCGTGTAGCCGTTGATCTTGAACTCAGATGTTACTTCTCTTGGAACTAAGAGAGGTGACACTGGATGTGACCTCCATGTTTCTTTGATCACCATTTTCAGGTAATGAAGTTGGTCTGTCTCATCTAAGCTTATGATTCTTGATTTGTTGTAGTTTCCACCTATTTTGTCTCTGATTTCGGATTGTACTTTCTTCATCACTCTCGGATTTCTTGCGAGCTCCGCCATTGCCCATGTCATGCTTATAGCAGAAGTATTGATTCCTCCAAGAAGAATGTTCTAAAGGAAAAATACATAAAACGGTCTACTTAGTGCTAATTAGTTTTGAGATAATATATAAAACCTTTGCACTAATCTTAAGGGTTATATGAGTTTAGTCTTACCATCAAGACACCTTTGATATGGTTTCTTGTGAGTTTGCCATAACCAAGAACAGCTTCTTCCTTTTCCAACCTCAAGAGCAAGTCCACAAAATCATCTTCACCTCTTCCTTCTCTGTTTTTCTGTACATGCAAACCAATCATTTGTTCATAGAAGGCATCAAGATCTCTCACGCTTCTCTCTCTCCGCGCGTGTAAACCCGTGAACCAGTCGACGATCCAACCGATGTAGGGGAAGAAATCCGAAGCAGAGAAGCTCCCCAACATTTCAAGTGCCTCGTGGACTAAATCTGGAAACTTTTCATTGTCAAGCACACTTCCTTGGAAACTCACACCAAAAGCTGCCTTGCAAATCACACCAACGTTTAAAGAAAGAAACTTCTCGCTCAAGTTAACCGGAGTTTTCTCAAAAGCAGATTCAGTGATTGAATTAATCAGTTTCTTCATCTCCATCTCCTTTATGGGCTGCATCGAATGAACTCGTTTGGTATTAAATATTTCTTTAACACATAGCTTCCTTAATTCTTTCCAATAATCGTCAAATTTAGAGAAAGCAATGTCGCAATAGTTATAAGAAAGCTTTCTTGTGCCTGAAAACACACAAAACCAAACAAAAGAAATAAAGATCTTGACAAATAATTTTTTAAAAGTTATGAAAATGTTTATATATGGATATACCTTCCACGCTTGGACGGCTACAACAATGGAGATCATAGTCTTTAAGAACTTGCTTTGCTGTTTCAGGGGTAGAAACTACAACCGTTGAGGCTCGTCCAAGTTTCAGTAACATTACAGGACCATACTTCTTTGAGAGTTTCCATAGAGACTGATGTGGCAACTCTCCGAGCTGGTGCAAGTTTCCGATGATCGGTAAGCCGGGAGGAGACGGTGGTAGCCGCCACCGCTTAGTGTGTTTGACGACGGCGGCAAGAAGGATAAAGATGAGGAAGGAAAGTGAAAGAAGCCAAATCACAGCCATATTTTTACACGTCGCACGTTTGTGAGTGATGATGAAGCAAGACTCTTGTTTTTATATACACATTTTGTCACCGATCGGTTATATTAAAAGATCTTAGTAAATCGGGAAGAATGGTCAACTTTAGCCGAATAACAAAAACAAAAAAAGTGGACCATTCTCTCATGCTGTTCTAAAATCTATGTCATTTTCACTTAATACGTAATTATACACTCTGAGGCTCTGAGCTGTGGTTGTTAGAGCAAAGGCATTGCACAGCCCCATTACAAGCTCTTTAAATTTTTTTAATGATAAAAATAATAATTTTTTAAATTTAGAGTTTACCCTTTCCATTGCACAGCTCGGTTTTGGTTCTTTAAAATTAACTTTTTTTTTAAAAAAATTATAAAATGAAAGAAAATAATAATATTCATAATAACTAAAATAGATTATTACATAAAACACAAATCAAACATCTATTACACATAAGTCTTAAGATACATAAAAGTATAAAACTGACAATGTTTAGAAATTATATGTATAAAACAAAATAAAAGCTGAGTTTGGAAATGTCTCAACAACACTGTCCAGAATGCAGCAGAAAGAAACAAAGCAAGGAGCGTCACCAAGTGAGAAACCATAGCAAATTTTGGTATTTTCTTCTAAAAATTAGAAATTTCAACACCACTCAACTTTATTTACAACTGCCATTTACTGTTTGACAGGATATTATAATATACTTTCTTGTATTTATATATGAGAACGAAAAAATTATGTTCGGAGCATATTATATGGCAAAGAAGTCAGAACATAGTAAAAAATCTAAACTCTTTGTACTAAACTATGAAATAGCTCAAATTACAACAACACAAACCGGTTCACACTAACCAAACTATGGCGAAAATCACAATAACCAATTCTCCTTGACCAAAAATCTCTGCTTCTAAACTTTTTTCTTATACTAAAAGCTTAAAAAACAGAGTAACCTGTCCCATCAAAGAGACATAAAGAAGAAGCATTTTCAGATTCTTCAGAAAATTTACAGTAATCTGCGATCCAATCCAACCCAATCTTGAGATATCTGGAAGTGTTCTGTTCGGGTTTCAAGAATCGTATGGTTCGGTTTCAAGAATTTGTGTCTGGCTTGATCTCTCTCTCTCAGACTCTCAGACCACTGTGCTCGTGTAGTTTGGGAAGAGTCTGAGCAGTTTGTTAGCAGAATCAGAGTGAAACTTCCTTGCGAATAGATAACACGGACGTCTAATTCCGTTCCATGTACAAGGCCAATGCAGCTCTTCTCCACGCTAACAGAAAAATATCATAAAGAAAAATGAGAAAAACAATTCACATTTTCAGTGGTTTCGATGCGGTGGACTAGTAATGTACCTTCCCAACGCTTGTTACGTGTACACTCATGTCATCGGACTGCAAGAAACAGAGGAATGAAAGTATTATATTAAAGGAAGAAACATATGTGTATTTGATGTGTTGTGTTGAAAGGAATTTGGTAACGTTACCGTGATGTTTTTCAAGAACTTGAGTGAGACCTCACGAGCTCTGTATGTCTTTGGATGCCATCTACGCTCTGACCAATCGACATATGTGACTGACCAGTTCGATATTCCTCCAGGATCAAGCATCTTTCAAGAATACGAACAAGAACAAAAGATTTCATTAAGGGTCAAGAATCAATCTTGTATAAGAGAGAAAGAGAGAGTTGTTGTTTTAACTGTTCCACTCACATGGAAGAATGTAGGCAGGTAATGTTCATCCGCTATGCAGTTCTTATTTGCTTCTACCCCAGGCTGAAATTTTTTGTGAGAAGTTTCAGATCAGAATCATAGTAAGACAAAACTGAAAATTTTCTCGAGTTTAAGAGATCAGGCTCAAGAGCAACTTACTCTGCAAAACTCCCGGAATTTGGAGTAGTAGAGATTATCAGCCATTACTATCAAAGCGTGTTGACGCTTCATTGTGAACCACTGCACCAAACAAGAAAAGCCACAATTACAAACTATCTATCTTTCTCGCAGACATCATTTCCATTAGCAAACAAACTCAGGATTGAGTTAAGACTTAGGAGTAGTTTACCTGAGCACCTTTTCTGAAATCTTGCCTTGGGATTTCAGGTAACATGTGATCCATGTGTCTGCCTGTCCCATGTGGACCACGATCCTCAAAACTTGAGAGACAAAAACAGTCATTGGTGAGATCAAATTTTGTGATATTAAGGTTTCTGAGAGTCATTTATTCACCTGTCAATGAAGCTGACATTTCCTTGCATCAGATATCTATACGTGTAGTCAAACGTATGCAACGGTATGCAGCTGCAAAGTTTAAAGAGACACACCACATAAACAGAATGTAACCGGAAAAATAAGCAAAATTCAATAAGGTTTATTGAATCACCTTTCTGAAAGAAGAACAAAGTGTTGGTTATCAGGATCTTCAAGAGCATTAGCTAGAAGCCGTCTCTCTGCATCAACCATAGAGATCCTTCCCCAAGTGACCTGATCACTATGAATCTCACGGTCTGAGAAGTGACGGCTAATGTGAACCGGTCTTAACCTTGATGGATGGATGTAAATAGAGAATCTCCCTTCTTGACCCTTTCACAATATGTCACAAAACCGGTCAATACCATATCCCAAGGAAATCAAGAATGTTTCAGGAATCTTTCTAACCTGCAAGAACTTATCCCAGAGCTTCTCAAACGGCAAAGTACCAGGAGTCAAGAACATGAAAGCGATCTTCGATTTAGCTGTCAGAGCAGGAGGTGTTCTGAGAATGTCTCTGATCACAACTCGAGCTGCGACTTCTTCGTCTGTGTACTTCCTCACATGAACAGGAAGCCATCCGGAGAGGGAAGCTTCACAGGCTCTGATAGATAATCCTTTACAAGCAGAGCTCTTAGCGTTGTGTTGTGGATACATGTAAGTGCAGACCAAGATCACACTTGTGATGCAGACTAGTAAAACAATCGATAACGGCTTCTTTAGAGAAGATCTGTTTCGCAGAGGCGAATGCAGGTTCTGTGTTTCACCCATTGGAGAAAAAGTTTGAATCTTTTTAACTTCTTCACATTTGAGCAAAACCTAAAGAAGTTTCAATCAAAATGGAAAGGATGAAACTTTATCACTTTACCAAACGTTAAAAGCAATCTAACGCAAACTCACTTCAGGAACAAGCAATTAGAACATGAATTTTAATTCAAAGTCCCACACGTTTGGTGTTGATTTTAAGAAAAAGAAACCCTAATTTGACGGAGCAAAATGCACGTTGTTCTTGTGATTGAGATTGAGATTGAGATTCTCACCCGCACGTACGACGCAGTGAAGAGGAAGTCTCGTGATTTTGCTTCACCAAGAATCCAAAGCTACACAGAGTAGAATTAATTTGCAAAACTATCAGATTCGATTTTACAGAAATTGTAAAGAGAGCTATATGGAGAGACAGTGGACCAGAGCATTTAATCAGTAAAGCGAATTATAGAGTTATTACAGTATACCTGAGAGAATTCGAGCAGAAATTTCGATAGTGGTAATAAAAATGGGGAAGACAAAAATAGAATCTTTTTGTCCGAACCCAGATCTCAAAAATGAAAGCTTGATGATCTACTTTACTTGCTTAAAGATCTAGGGCCACGAAGAAAAAGAATCAGAAGGACAAGTCAAGAAGAGAGAGGGAGATAACGAGAGTGAGAGAATAAATGTTTAAATATTAAATCTGAGTGTCCAGTGAAGAACATACAAGTAGTAGTAGTATTTGTTTATCGGAAGACGATTCAGATCCTCGATTTGTTTTCTCTCTCTTCTCTTTGAATTAAAGAATAAATCGACCAAATGTTTTGACTTTATACTTTTCTTTCTGGTATAAACACCACCACCAGTCGATTTTTTCCAATGATGGTTGAACTAAAAGAAACTAAAGATAAAATGCACAAGCAATCTATTTTTCTTTCTAAAAAATCAGTTGTGTAAAACAATTCTTCAAAAATTAGTTGCAACTTTTTTTCAAAAATATATTTTCTTTGAAATACTCTACTTTTTATAAAAACGGAAATTACTATGAGCTAAACCCTTTCTCAAAAAAAAAAAAAAAATCTTCTAGTTGAAAATGATGATCTTAAATTCTTAGGGGAGAATTAGGTGAATAGCAATATTGAGTATCAATATTAAGTTTATAGTCATCATAAATGGGAAATTAAGTCAATAGCAATGAGAATTAATTTTGGACGGGTTTGTCCTTCTCTACAGAAATTGATATTATTGAATTTCTATTTGTTGATATTATTGAATTTCTATTTGTTTGTAAAAATTTAAAAACAGACTATTATGTTTTTGATGAAATTTCTAATGATAAGATTTTGACTCGATGATGAAGAGTTTTGAGGATGATTTAGTGACGATGACACAAAGATTCCACTCGAGTATCTTTCTTGAAGCTTCAAGTGACGAGCTGGGTTTGTCTTTGCCACCACCGCAACTATATACAATTCTTTATGGAAATAATCGGAGGCCATCTAAAAGACGAATTAGGGAAGAAGGATTCTCTTTGTTTACACCAAAAAATCATAGAACAACTTAGATATAATCAAAGCAGAAAAATAGTTTAAAAAGAAGGTAAAAGTTTCGTGAGAGAAAGAGTTGGAGAATACAAGAAAATCTCATTGTTTTCTCTTTTCTCATGTAGGATTATTTTAGTATTATTATAGAAAATATATGATATATTCTAGCCATATCCAACTAATGGTCATTTATTTAATTAATTATATGTTTTTTTATTGTCATATCTACTGCCTATTTCCCAATTCTTAATATGTACATGCCAACAGATAAGAAATTCTACTAAAAACAAAAAAAGGTTAAACTTTTTAGGCCCTATTATACTTTTAAGCTTAGGCCCGTATACTACTAAACAATTTGGAAAAACTGGAGCAAATGACCAAACCGGAAAGTCTGCAAAACCCCAATGATTTAGTTGGTTAACCGGTTCGACCAAGACAATCAAGCTGATTTTGCAAATACCAAAATGAAAAATCGGATTTTTGTTTCTCCCTAAACCCTAAAAAGGATTCAACACCGTTCGTCTATTGTTCTTCTTCTTCATCTTCCTCCCTCTGCCGCGTTTATCTCTCTCTCTCACAAACTCAGTCCCCAGGTAAGAACGTTCTTCGATTTCCCGCTCAAATCAGTAATAATATCTGTATCCTTCCTGTGATTTGGTTTGTGAACGTTTCAATGGTTTTGAATTGATTTCATAGTTCAGAGATTGTCTTAAATTATTATTGAACCAAAGGATTAATCTGAATCCAATTGTTTCGTCAAGCTTTGATTTGATATTTCGTTGGCGCTGAGTTTTGCAGAGCTTCGGAATCGGCACTGCTCTAAACGCTTTACAATGTCAAGTCGTCCTGAGCTTCTCGCGCCGCCGGAGATATTCTATGACGAATCCGAGGCTCGCAAGTACACATCCTCATCGCGAATCGTTCAAATTCAGGTTTTTAATTTGATAATTCTCTCCTAAAATTCACCAATTGTGCTCTCTTATTATCTTACATGTAATTCCTCTGTTTCAACATTTATGGCTATTAGGCTGAGCTCTCAGAGAGAGCTTTGGAGATGCTTGCTTTGCCCGAGGATGGAGTTCCTAGGTTCTTGCTCGACATTGGTAAAAAAATCCTTTTTGATCAACTGATGATGAGCTTGATTCTTTATCTCAAGTTGAAATCTTTGATGGAAATTCTATTAGCTGGTTTCTTGGTAGTCAATAGATGTATTCATATCCAAAGATTTCGTCTTTTTAGATTATCAATTATGTTAACCTTATCTTGCTCCGGAGTGTGCAAACTTCTCTGCTTGGCTTTGTTGCAAAACCGGAGAAATGACTGATCTCTGCTTGTGGTTCAGGTTGTGGATCAGGCTTGAGTGGAGAAACAATCTCTGAAAACGGGCATCAATGGATTGGTCTTGACATTTCAGCCTCAATGCTTAGTAAGTTAATCATTAGTCTCACAACTCCCTATTTACTGCCTGTCTAAGATCTCTAAGCCTGTTTTATCTTATAATGAACAATGTAGACGTTGCTGTGGAACGAGAAGTTGAGGGTGATCTCTTACTTGGTGACATGGGACAGGTATATATATGCCTTCACACTTCTTTATCCTTCTTTCCCTTTAGGATTTGTCTGTGGCTTTTTGTTGCTAATCAAAGTATTACCATGTCTCAGGGCTTAGGTCTTCGTCCAGGAGTTATAGACGGAGCCATCAGTATCTCGGCTGTTCAGGTCTTACTTCTCTCAAGCTACCTTATCATTCTCTTGCTCATCCAAAAGATATGATTTCTTTGTAATGTGAATGTTTATTGTTAACCACTTCTTCTTCCTTGTATCCTGATTTCAGTGGTTATGCAATGCGGACAAGTCATCGCATGAACCTCGTTTGAGGCTTAAGTATGTGTAAATCATATTTACTGTAGGCTGAATGAATAAGATAGTGTGTGCTACAGAACAAAACTGATCTTTTGACCTCTCATATTTGTAAAAGGGCTTTCTTTGGGTCACTATACCGATGCTTATCAAGAGGAGCAAGAGCAGTTTTCCAAGTTTACCCTGAGAACGATGCGCAGCGTCAATTGATTGTTAAATCGGCCTTACAAGCTGGATTCAGCGGTGGGCTTGTTGTTGACTTCCCTCGCAGGTACGTTCTTGTGAGAAGCTGTTTGTGGTTTTTGGTTTCACATTTTTGATTAACAACTTTGTGGGATGTTTCTTTAAACTGTGCAGTACTAAGAAAAGAAAAGAGTTCTTGGTCCTCACATGTGGTTCTGCTCCAACAAGTAGTAAGAAACGAAAAAATAGTAGCTTGGAAGTTGATGATGATGATGATGATGATGATGATGATAATGATGATGATGATGATGAGGAGGAGGATGATAGCGAAGACGAAGAGAATCGAACGGTAAATATGAAGTCTCGTTTACTGTATTATTACCATTGTTATATAGCGGAGTTTTTATTTACCATTCTTGGTCTTGTTTTGGGAAAAAAGGTTGGTGTGGCAGAAAGGAATAGGCCGAGAAAAAAGCAGAGAACGAACGGGAAAGGGAAAGGAAGAGAATGGGTTATGAGGAAGAAAGAGCAAAGTCGAAGAAGAGGAAACGATGTTCCTCATGATTCCAAGTACACCGCCAGAAAACGCAAGTCGCATTTCTGATTTTTTTTTCTGTTATGGTTTCTTAAAACGCTAATTTACAGCGTTTTGTCACTAAAAGTACTGAAAACAACATCCTACTGTTTCGACATGTTGTCTGTTACTCTTTAACTTTTAAATTAATTAATTTTGTCAGCCAATTTTCATGAATATCCAGAGGTTTCAGGTGATAATTACTTGAATTGTTGAGATGCATTTCAATTTTCAACAATTATCTAGTACGCACCAAATAAGTGCAGAATAATAATGTGTGGCTTGACCAAGATAACTCTACAAACGCAATATCTTGAAAAACTTAATGGAAAATTACAAAAATCAAAATATTAAATATTGCTGCAATATCTTGAAGATAAGTTTACAACTGTCAGTTAATGAAAAAAAAACTAATAAATCTACGATAATGCGCAAAACTCTGAGACTGTTTTTAAGAAATATGAAAAATCCTCTAAAAATCTAGTAAATTATATAAATTTTAGATTCAGTAAAATTAGTTAAGGTTTGAGAAAACGGACAAGGAGATGGCAGCGAATGAAGTAAAATCAGAAACATCATTTGGTGTTGCAGCTTGTGACCAGACCGATAACAATGATGATTTGTCAAAGATATATCAAATCTTGTATCTTCCTCGTCAAGAACCACCTAAGAAGAAAGTGACTTGCGTCATATGTTTCGACGGCATGGACTCCGATCTCATGTTTTACGTTGTTAGATGCGGTCATCGATTTTGCAACAACTGTGTGAAACAGCACATAGAAGTGAAGCTGTTCGATCAACAACTACCAAACTGTCTTCAACATCGATGCAAATCCAACCTTTCTATCGATAGCTGTGAAGAGCTTTTGACTCACAAGCTGAGTTTGATGTGGGAAGAGAGGATCGAAGAGTGCTCCATTCCTTTCGCAGAGAGAGTTTATTGTCCGCATCGAAACTGCTCTCATGTAATGTCCAAAACCGACCTCTCTCGCTCTAAATGTCGTCATTATTCATCTGGACGTAGGAGATGCTTCAAGTGCCGTGGCTCCTTCTGTGTCAACTGCAATGTCCCATGGCATTGTACGCGATCTTGCAAAGATTACAAGTTTTTGTATCCTGATAGTAATACTAATAATGATGCAAAATCTTATTATCATCTTTTTTTTTTTTTTTTTTTTTTTGATAAAGAATATCTTATTATCGTCTTATGCAATGTATATCTAGAAAAGCTTAATAGATAATTACAACAAACACACTACAGAATATTGTTGCAAAAACCTTGAAAATAACTCTACAAAAGTTTATAATTTACCTTTTAAAAATAATTTTAAAATCTAATAATCTTGCGATACTGCGCAAAACCCTGAGACAGTTTATAAGAAAAATATGAAAATCTCCCAAAATCCAGTAAACTAAATAATTTTTAGAGTCAGTAAAATCTTTTAATATGAACTCGTAATCTCGAGTTTTGTTTTAAATTTGCAAAGGTTTGATAAAAAAAAAAGGAGAAGGAGATGGCAGCGAATAGCAAACCAGGATTTGGTGACCAGACTCGTATTTTCTATCTTCCTCGTCAAGGCAAACCAGCCAAGAAGAAAGAGACATGCGTTATATGTTTCGACGACATGGATTCCGATCTCATGTTCTACGTTGTGAAATGCGGTCATCGGTTTTGCCGCAACTGTGTGAAACAGCACATAGAGCACATAGAGGTGAAGCTGCTCGACCAAAAGCTACCAAACTGTCTTCACCACCGATGCAACACTAATCTTTCCATCGACAGCTGTGGAGAGCTTTTGACGCGCAAGCTGAGTCTGATGTGGGAAGAGATGATTAGAGGGAGCTCAATACCTTACGCAGAGAGAGTTTACTGTCCGAACGAAAACTGCTCTTACGTAATGTCCAAAACCGAGCTCTCACGTTCTAAATCTCCTCGTGGTGACCCATCTGGACTTAAGAGATGCGTCAAGTGCCGTGGCTCCTTCTGCGTCAGCTGCAACGTTCCGTGGCACTATATGCGATCTTGCAAAGACTACATAAATTCGTGTCCTAACAATGACGCGAGGCTAAAATCTTTGGCGAATCTTTGTGGTTGGCGTCAATGTCCCAACTGCCATCACATGGTTGAACGTTCTTCCGGATGCAACCGCATCACTTGCAGGTTTATACTTATATTAGTTCACCTCTTACTAAATTTTGTCGAATTTTGATTATATTTTTTCGTAAAGATTTTGATGCTTCACATTTTTTAGGTGTGGAAATGCGTTTTGCTACAAGTGTGGTTCCGGATGGAACAACCATTTGTTAGACTGCTATGCTCGGTACGATGACGTTGCTATTATGGGATTTCTTCTTCTTCTGCTTATTTTGGTTGTTCTTGCACCATTTCTCCTAGCTAAATGAAACTTTAAACTTCAATTTTATTGCTTGAGGATAATCTTTTTCATTAGAAAAAATAAGTTTGGATAATACGAGCTGAAATCAGAAACAAACATATATTTCTGAGAATACATTATAAGTCTCTTGACACAAAGTTTCATCTCAAAAAAGATTTAACCCCCACAAAAAAAAAAAAAACTAAGCTTCAAAAGAGTTTTTGGTTTGTCACTTAACCAAAGAGATCAAATCCAAAGTCTCCTTCTTCCTCTTCGGATTCTTCCTTCTTCTTCTCCTCCTCCTTTGTGGCTGCGGCGGCCTCACCTCCACCACCGCCTCCAGCCGCTGCACCTCCTCCGGCAGCAAATCCTCCTCCAGAACCACCACCGACGATCACCTGCTCCGTAACCATTTTCAATTAACACAAAGATTCCAATACGCACTTTCAAAATGAATTATTGTTCGGTAGAGAATAGCAAACACAAACAATAAATCAGAAACTGATTCGAAGAAATGACCATTGGATCCAATTATCTAATGTAGCTACGAAGCAATGTATATTGAAGCAAACAAAAATTCAGATTAACAGATTGTTTTTAACCAACGGAGTCACATTTGACGATTTAATCACAAGCAAGTATCAAAAAGCCGTAATACAACAATGAAGCACAAACAAACTACGATCGGAGATTGGATCATGAACAACGAGAACAAGCTGAACAGATCTAGCTATCTACATTAATCCATTTCGCCGATTCAACAAATCAAAAAAAAAAATCGAGCAATTTCAAAGCACAAAGGCGAGATCCAGCAATCAAAGAGCTGAGAGGAAGCAATTGAGAAACCTGGCAGACGGCGGAGGTAGGGGAGACGAGAGAGAAAGAAGACTGAACGCCGCCGGAAGAATCAGCGGACAGAGCAGTCTGAACAAGCTTGCGCTGGAGCTCGTAAGTGGAAGAAGCGGAGGCTTCAAGCTCTCCCTCGTATTGCTTCGCGGTCCATTCTCCGCCTTTGCTCTTGCACACGAAAGTGTAAACTCCCATCTTTCTTCTTCTTCTTCTAACGGCGGCGAGATTTCTCAGCTGTGTGAAGAGTGAAGACTAGTCTGACGGGAAATGTGATTATTGCTCTTATATATGAATCCATTTCACGACGCAGTGAGAGAAGAAACCTACAACCCTAGAAGATGACCGGGCTTACAGAAAACTTACTAATGGGCCATTTAAATTATTAGAGCCCATTAAGAGCTGTATTATCATTTGAAGCAAAAAGGTCAACGATAATGGAGCAAATTCGTTCTTGAGCAGAGCTCTATAATCTAAGAACTTTGACATTACTGAAACTCTGTATCAATCTTATTCAGTTGACAAAGAAAATTGATGATTGAAACTAAATGTAATCAACAAAATTTCCCAAAACTCGAGGGAAATGGACAATTGTAAAGTAAATTATCTCTTAACAGAGAGCTTTATAACTTTTAGCGACTTTGGATTTGAAAAGAGTGAAACAAGAAGCAGAAGCAAAGAGACGAAGAAGATGAAAAAAGGTCAGAGCTTTATGGCAGAGTGGATGGCCACAACTCCACCAACAAGGTTCTCGTACTCCACTTTCTCAAATCCTGCGTCTGCGATCATCGACGCAAATCGCTCCTGCATTCATTTTTGCATTTTACCACATTACAAAACGTTACACAAACCTTCAACAACAGATTTTGATATTTGACCTATTGTTCTTGAAGAAACACACAAGTTAAAACATCATGATGACTACAAGAAAGGGAACAAAAAGTTGAATGTTTGAACCTGAGGAGGAAACTTTCGAACGCTCTCGACCAAGTACTGATAAGATTCCCGGTCACCGGCAATTAGTTCCCCTAAGTTTGGAATGACTTGGAACGAATACAGATCGTATCTGCAAACCAAGAAACAAAATGAGATTATCAAAGAAACAAAAAAAAAGTCATGGACTTATTTCCACAACATGTCTAATCATCAAGACTTACATATCTTTGAAGATTGGAATGTCTACATGGCTGAGCTCAAGGCACAAGAACCTTCCTCCTCGTTTTAGTACCCTGACAATGTCAAGAGCTTAATAAGTTTAAACATGAACACTGAAATCAAGACCAAGGCATTGAAGAAGGTGTAAATATGTGTACCTATAAGCCTCTGCTAGAGCCTTTTCGATGTGTGTGACATTCCTTATTCCAAATGCAATGGTGTATCCATCCATTGAATTGTCATCGAAACTCAAGGCCTCTGCATCTCCTTCGACCCATACGAGTGACTTGTTATCTCTTAGACCTGTTCATTCAAGATAGTAAAGGAAGCCTGAGCTCACACATATGAAGGAACAGAAAGAGGATAGAAATTTTATACACAAACAAAAACATCTGAAGTTTCACCTCTCTCAGCAGCTCGTTGTTTCCCAACGTTCAACATGTTGGGATTGATGTCACAGACGTATATCTGAGTTTCTTCAAGTGAAGCCTCATCGACTTTATTTAATGCTCTTCGTTTGACGCTGTAAACAGCATCATAGATCCTAAACGCAACATCACCTGCATTTTAAAAACAATCTCTTGAGTCTTAACAGTTGAAAATTTGCAAGAGTAAAAAGAAGGTCAATTGTAGTGTCGACTAACCTGTTCCACCGGCCACATCAAGATGCTTCATCCCTGGAAATGGACTCAGCTTCCCAACGAGTCTGATATCACAAGACCACCAAAAGTGTCATTTTTTTATACAAGAGCAGATTATAACACTTGTGATAAAATAAAAGTGTCACAGAGTCTAACCTTTCCTTCCATAGCCTATGCAAGCCACCGCTCATCACATCATTCATAATATCATAACTCGAAGCTACATTCGTGAAAACGTTACCAACCAGTTTGCTTTTCTCTTCTTCCTTTACTTCTTGAAACCCTGATATCAAGCATTTAAGTCGTAATCTGAATACCAAATGATCTTAAATTGTAAGGCATCCACTAGAATACTGAACAACCAAATCAAAGAGCGAGAAAAGGATAGATTTTGAGAGTAATACCGAAACTTGTGGCATGAGAATGAAGCGAAGCAACAGAGGAACGGTAACTCAAAATTCTGCTCCCAAGCCTCCTGCTTAGTGATCGAAGTGCCATAGCTTCTATTGAAATTATAGTCCTCTACTTCAATTTTTGTTCCTGCAACCAAATCCCAAAATTTTAAACTGATGAGATCATTTCACCTACAAATTATCAAAGCAGAGAAGAAGAAAATACACAAGTTGCTCAATTTTCAGAAACACTGAATAATAAAATATAATTTGAGCTGAACAAGAAGCTGCAAAATCAGTTCCGAAACGGAACTGAGAACAAAAATGCTTCACCGACACACCGGAACGAAACTCTAAACCCTAATTTGAAATCTACTAACCCTTGATAGCTAAGCTCGAGGAAGATGGGGCGTTCTAAGCTCGAGAACTAACGACGAATCACGAGCAATAAATCGATAATAACAATGAAATCTTATTTTAAGAAAATCCCAAATTTCGTCGACTCACAGCTACGAGATCAAGTGTTGTGTGTTGCTTGAGCAATGCACGTGTTATTGTTGCAGTACATATCGGTGCCGGTGCCGGTACCGGACCAAAAGTTTGACCGAGGAACAACGGCGAGTTTTGGTTTGCCTCTCTAAATCTCGACGGCGTACAGATTGGGCTTTCTGTAATTCAGTATAGGCCCATTATGTTTTGATCTCGGCCCATATAACTTCTTAAATTACTTAACACTAATTCAAGCTGTGAGAGCAAAATATTCGATCAGTCGAGTGAAATATGCAGAATCCACTTGAATGTCGCTTAGTATTGCCGCCGGAAATTTTTTGTCAAATCGGCCGGTCAAGGCGACGGACGGATAAGGCCGATATTGATTGACGATTATCCAAAATTGTTTGGATCAGCGATGGGGGAAGAAGAAGAGGAAGACGAGATCGACGAAGGGAGAGAAAGAGAAAGACTGACCTGCGACGGAGGTTATTGTCCGGCGAGAAGACGAGGGAAAAGTGGCGAACCCGTTAGTGCATTTTTACCTTTTTCTAATTTTATTTTGGCTTTCGTTTTCGTGCGTTAATTAAGCTTTCGGAGTGGGACATTTACTTATTTTTACTCGTCATCCACAAAAATCGAAAACTCTATCCTACGAATTTAATTTATTTTTTTCTTTCCTCCAACGAACTTTTTAATTATTGCTAGCTTAATCTAAAAGAAAACTAATATTGGATTAACCATTTCATTATTTTTTTTGCCAAGTGACTCTCTCTCCATTTGTTTTACGAAGTGTAAAGCTGAAAAAGCGGGAAGTCTCACCACAAAGTTCGTTTTGTTTTCTCGGATCATCACATTTTCTTTTCCTCCTTTTTACCAATTTTTTCATTTCTCCGTATCTAAGAGAATTTTACAACTATGAACGTTGTTCTTGACAAAATTCTGTAAAAAGGTATCCCTCCTTTAATTCCTGTTGTTTTCAAATTTTGTTGTTGTTGTAAATTTATCCATGTGACAACAACAAAAAAAACTGATCTATAATCTGTTATGCATCAGCCTCATGCATGTAGTTTATAATCGTCCAGCTCGTTCATGCATATAGGTTTCATCGCCTCGAAAAGCAATCATTTTTCTTAATCAGGCTGAAATTTTCATCTCTGATGTAAATCTGGCTCGATTTGAATTATGCTAGGAATTTCGCTTCTTGTTGTTGTTAGCTGGCGAATATCCTCTGTTATTGTGGATTTTTTCCTGAAATTTGCGGCTCTTTGGAGGATCAATGTACCTTTTATCATGTTTTGGCTGAGTAAATGATAGAGAAGCTTTGGGAATTTTCAGTGAAATATGAATCAATAGAAGCTTCATATCTCATTTACACTGTTTGTCTCAGCGATTCTAGTACTTACATTGTAGCATGCACGTTTTAAGAGAATTCTCCAACTACATTGAGCTGATTAGAATAAGTCTTTGTTTGCTTGTCACACGCGTTGAGATATCGAGAAGAAGCTCTTGTTTCCTTTTTTCTTGAAATCTGCGTTTACAACGTCCTCCGAGTTTGAATTTCTTTGGAAAATACAGTCAATTCATACTCGTTATCTTTGCAGGTGTGGTTTGGTTCTTGAAAATCTAAGAAGCTAAAGAGAGTTTAAGCTTTTGCAAAAAACCAGAATGACGTTTTCCATGAGAGATTTAGATCAGGCTCTCCAAGGATGTGGCCAGAAATCGTAAACCTTCTCTTACTCTTAATGTTTTTAATTTACTCCTTTTAATTCATCTGCGTATTTGACATTTCCTGGTTGCGTTTTAAAGGGGGATTGAAATATGGCGCATCGAGAGCTTCAAACCTGTAGCTGTTCCAAAAGAGTCTCATGGTAAATTTTTCACCGGGGATTCCTATATAGTCTTAAAGGTTGGTACTCTTTCGTTGTTTCTTCTTTCGTTCATGATAATATATAGTTCTTGATAGTATCTAAGAAACCTTCTTATCTAACTATCTCATGCCAGACCACATCGTCAAGAAACGGTTCCCTGCATCACGATATTCACTACTGGCTCGGTAAAGATTCAAGTCAGGTAAGAGTCTCTTATAATGCTCTTCTTTTTCTGGCATGTTCTTCAAGAGATAAGAATCATTGGTGGTGTGTTGATGAAAACAGGATGAAGCTGGTGCTGTAGCGGTTATGACAGTTGAGTTAGATTCAGCGTTAGGTGGGCGTGCTGTTCAGTACCGGGAAGTGCAGGGTCACGAGACCGAGAAGTTCCTTTCCTACTTCAAACCTTGCATAATTCCTCAAGAAGGTGGAGTTGCTTCCGGTTTCAACCATGTAAAGCCTGAGGAGCATCAGACGCGTCTCTATGTCTGCAAAGGCAAACATGTCGTCCGTGTTAAAGAGGCGAGTCAATTAACAATGTCCTGAACTTCTTTTTTTATCTCAACTGTTTCTTTTGTGTTTCATCTTTTTTTTTTTCTCATTTACAGGTTCCATTTGCTCGTTCGACTCTCAACCATGAAGATGTTTTCATTCTTGATACAGAGTCGAAAATCTTTCAGTTCAGTGGTTCCAACTCGAGTATTCAAGAAAGAGCAAAAGCTCTTGAGGTTGTTCAGTACATTAAAGACACTTACCATGATGGAAAGTGCGATATCGCAGCTGTTGGTAAGCGAACTAAACCGTCAAAAGCCTTGAAGAGTTAAAGCTTTTGAGAAACTTTATTGAGTTTAATGTGTTTTCCTTTTCTTGTAGAGGATGGGAGGATGATGGCTGATGCTGAAGCTGGAGAGTTTTGGGGTTTGTTTGGTGGGTTTGCTCCGCTTCCTAAGAAACCAGCATTCAAAAACGATGACACTAGCGCTGAATCTGATGGGATCAAACTCTTCAGGTAGAACACCTTTTTGCCTCTTGATTTACTTATTACAGAAACTGATGATAATGTTCTGACTTGAGACATGTTTTGTATTTCAAGTGCTGAGAAGGGGAAGACGGAACCCGTAGAGTTTGAGACTTTGGAGAAAGAGCTTCTGGACACTAACAAATGTTACATCCTCGATTGCGGCCTCGAATTGTTCGTTTGGAAGGGAAGAAGTACTTCAATCGACCAAAGAAAGAGCGCAAGTGAAGCTGCAGAGGTACATTTCTTCTCATGCACCAAATGAATAAATCTTGCTTTGATTGGTTTTGTTCATTGTCATATTGTTATTCTTCATTCTTTTCAGGAGTTTTTCCGTTCGTCTGATCGTCCAAAATCAAATCTGGTCAGTTTGATGGAAGGGTTTGAAACAGTGATGTTCCGATCTAAGTTTGACTCATGGCCGGCTACAAGTACAGTAGCTGAGCCCCAGCAAGGCAGAGGCAAAGTTGCAGGTGTAGTAGTCTAGTTCTAATACTATTCACCTTGAGCAAATTGCTGAAGTTTTTAACCCTCAATTAGTAGATACTTATTCTCTGTTTTTTTTTCTTTCACCAGCTCTTTTGCAACGGCAAGGAGTTAACGTTCAAGGCCTCGTTAAGACTTCTGCTGCTTCCAAAGACGAGCCTAAGCCATACATTGATGGCACAGGAAATCTCCAGGTAGCGACTATATCTTTTTTGATACCTGCACTGATAAGTGAACATAACCAAAACATAGTCTTTTGATTGTTAACTATGAAATCCTTCAGGTCTGGCGACTCAATGGCGAGGAAAAGATCCTTCTCGAAGCAGCTGATCAATCGAAGTTTTACAGCGGAGATTGTTATATATTCCAGTACTCATATCCCGGAGAAGACAGAGAGGAACATCTAGTGGGTACTTGGTTAGGAAAGGAAAGCGTCGAGGTAAATTTCATCACATATAGATATGTATATGAAGCTTCTTGCTCTCTGTGTGTGCTTATCTGGTAATGATATTTATATATAGGAAGACCGAGAATCTGCTATTTCCATGGCAAGCAAGATGGTTGAATCCATGAAGTTTATGCCTGCTCAGGTGCTTCTTCCCATTGTTTCCCTTATAGATTCTAAGGTCAATATACATTAGGATATGGATTCATTAGTCTTAATCCGTGCAGGCTCGAATTTACGAGGGAAAAGAACCGATTCAGTTTTTCGTGATCATGCAAAGCTTCATCACCTTTAAGGTCTAATATCCTAGTTTTTTCTTCAACGTATTCTTCAGTTTTGTTATTTTGAAGAATCCCTACAAGATCGTTTATCTTTGTCTCAGGGTGGTCGAAGTGATGCTTTCAAAAAGTACATAGCAGAGAACGAAGTCCCTGATACTACTTACGATGCAGAAGGTGTTGCGCTGTTTCGGGTTCAAGGTTCTGGACCCGAGAACATGCAAGCCATACAGATAGACGCGGTACGTGTACTGAAAAAAACATAATCAAACAGCTTCGTTATTCAACAGTTTGATACAGGTAATTCAATTAGTATCTGGTTCCAACAGGTTTCCACAGGGTTAAATTCTTCACACTGTTATATATTGCATGGTGGTTCTACTGTTTTCACTTGGTGTGGCAATCTAACTTCCTCGGATGATCAAGCACTTATGGAGAGAATGCTGGATCTGATTAAGGTAATATGTGTTAGATGAGCTTCGTTTCTGCAGTTGGGAGCTTACCTCCTCAGGTCTCTCATATGGTTCTTGTGTTTTTCTGTTATATACAGCCAAATGAACACACCAGGGCACACAAGGAAGGTTCAGAGACTGACCAGTTTTGGGAATTATTAGGAGGAAAATTAGAATATCCGAGCCAAAAGATCAAAAAGGATGGAGAGAGTGATCCTCATCTCTTCTCTTGCACATTCTCAAACGGTAAAACCATTTGGCAACATTTCATTACCTTTTTTTTTCTCAATCCAAGAATTGGTCTAAATTATCATTTACCTTTACTGGTGGGTTTTGTCCTCCGGTGATGCTCTTTTGGATGTTGCTATCTTACCAGAAAATCTGAAGGTAACGTATGGTTTTTCATTTCTATAAGCCATGTTTATGTTATGATCCGACATCTTATCGAGACTCTTCTTTCGTTCTTTTTTTATTCCAATATAGGCTACAGAGATCTTTAACTTCGTTCAAGATGATTTGATGACGGAAGATATCTTCATTCTTGATTGTCACACTGAGATCTTTGTCTGGGTGGGGCAACAAGTCGACCCCAAGAAGAAACCTCAAGTTTTAGCCATTGGAGAGGTACTTGAGATTTCATTTAACTAGATTAACGTACAAAGCTGCCAACTGGTCTTATAGATCCTTGACCTCGTTGTCTTAATCAACAGAAATTCCTTAAACAAGATTTCCTACTAGAGAATCTAGCAAGCGAAACACCGATATACATTGTAACGGAAGGAAACGAACCTCCATTTTTCACTCGGTTCTTCACCTGGGACTCTTCTAAATCTGCAGTAAGTGACTTCTCTCTCTAAACTTGCTTGAATTTCGCTCCCTGGAATCTAATTTGTATTTCTCCATAAAACCTCTTCTTTCAGATGCATGGAAACTCTTATCAGAGAAAGCTTGCACTCCTAACAAACAAAGGAAAGCCGCTTCTAGACGTAAACTCCTGACAAACCTCATTTGGTTACATTTGTGCAAACTCAATCTCTCCATTTCTGTCTTACGTGTTGTAACCTTGTTTTTGCTCAGAAACCTAAAAGGAGAGTACCAGTGTACAGCAGCCGGTCCAGCGTTCCAGACAAGTCGCAGCCGCGGTCAAGAAGTATGACCTTTAGTCCAGACAGAGCCCGTGTGAGAGGACGGTCTCCAGCTTTCAACGCACTCGCTGCAAACTTTGAGAACATAAACACAAGAAACCAATCAACTCCACCACCTATGGTTAGCCCATTGGTCAGGAAGCTTTACCCGAAATCTCTTGCACCAGACCTCACAAAGCTCGCCCCCAAATCCGCAGCTATTGCTGCCCGCACAGCGCTTTTCGAGCAATCTCGGCCTACTCCTCAAGAAACACCAACTAGCCCCGGTTCATCTGAAGGTATGCAGCAAAACAGTTTCACATTTGTACACGCCCAAATGTTAGATCTTTAGCTTAACCGTCTTTGATATTTTTGATGTATGAAGCTACAAACGAAGCGGAGGCATCAAAGCCGACGACAGAGGAAGAATCAATGAGCAGCATTCATGAAGATTCAAAAGAAGAAGATGGAGAAGAAGACAGCAACCTCCCTACTTTCCCATACGAACGCCTCAAGATCGACGCAGAGGATCCTCCTTCAGATATCGACCTCACTAAAAGAGAGGTCAGATTCTTCAAATCACTTGAAACGCATAATACATTTGTTTGCAGATTTTGTGTTTAACGAGGTCGACTTCTTTGCAGGCATACATGACTTCAGCAGATTTCAAGGAGAAATTTGAAATGACAAAGAGTGAGTTCTATAAACTGCCCAAGTGGAAACAAAACAAGCTTAAAATGGCTATTCAGTTATTCTGAACACTCTTCTTCTATCAAGAACTCAGTATTCTTCATCTCTCAACTCAAAACCCGTAAGTTGATATCTCAGATTCTTGATCATGTTTTGATGCAATGTTTATTTATTTGATAGAACAAGAAATTCGGCTAAGTAAGAGTCCATTTTGTTAATCTTTCTCCCTCATTCTCTTTTGCAGTTCAAGAAAACACAAAGAGGGCATCCATCATACATTACAGCTGCATTTTTTGAGCTGCTTGCAAATAATCAAATTTATAAATCAAAAACTCGTATATTCTCTATTTATTATATTCAATTTTTTTAAAATGAAACTTAGGATTTTTGTATTTGTTTGGTTTTATGATCTCACTGATCTGTATGGTTGTGAGATTTTCTGTTTCTTTTCCTGACCTTAACTTTTTTTCTGTGGCTTAATATTACTGAAGAAACGATGTAAATTAAATCTTATCTTTAATCAGGTTATATATTCTATGGTCGTCAACTCGTCAGTAATCTTTCGTTAACCCATGTTTTAAATTTCTTATCAGTTTATCTTATTACAACCAAATATAAAATGAAATAACGAAAGAAAAACGGAGTAAATAAGTCCACTCAAAAGAAAATAAACAGCACGCAGCCATAAGAGCGAAACGGTTCGAACAAAAACGGCAAAGAGAAGTGGCAGATACCTTTTTCCCCTTTTGCGTGAAGAAACAGTGAAGTAAAAGGGGGAAAAAAAAGGGAGTGAGAGAGAGAAGGAGAAGAAGAAGAAGAGTAGAAACGACGGAAAGTAGAGGGAATTTTGGGATTTGGATCTTCTTATTGCTTCTGATAGTTTCTGCACTATCATCCATGGCGACGGAGCGTCCTCCTTTTGAGCTCGCCAAAGGCCTCAATGGCCTCGACAAAATCGTCCTCCGCGAGTCTCGCAGCCGCTCCGCCGAGGTATTCTCCCCCTATTACGCCGCGGCTTTACCTCCTTTTTCACTCTTGCTCCGCCGAGATTGATCTGAGATTTAGATCTTTTGTTTTGTTTGAGATCGGATATTGTAGTTTGATTACGATTGTGAATCTATAAGATCCTTGGTGTTTATTTGAGCTGTGGTGATTGAATTGGAAGAATTAGATCTGCGAATTTATCTTATTGAATCCTCCGCGAGTAGTGTGTAAATGTTTACTGTAATCTATGAATCTATTGCGTTAGATGCATGCTTAAAACCATTGATGATGGATCTATTGCTTATCTTACGAAGGTGAATTGATTTTGAGTGATTGATTTGATCATCAAATGAAGAGTGTGCTCTCTGCGTATATGTAATTTTAGGCTTCCTTTAATTTGTATTCATTTTTGACAAATGCAGGTATACTTGTATGGTGCTCATGTCACTTCTTGGAAGAATGAGAACGGAGAGGAGTTACTTTACCTCAGTAGCAAGGTATAGATCTCTACTATCTTCCACCTGATTTAAGATCGAGTTTCGTGTTGACGAAATGGGACATTTCAAACTCCATTAGATACAGAATAATGAGCTCAAGATACTATCCCTTATAACTTGGATCTGTGATGAATGGTGCCTAAAGAGTACCATTTATAGTTAGACGTAAATCATTTTGTTTCTCTGTTTGGTTGTGTCCAATGCTAAAGAGTACTTATCTTGATGAAAGATTTGGGAAATCTTTGCCAAAATTTCATTCTTTACATTCTCTAAAGGAAAGGATCTTCACTTCAAGTTTAGCTTCATTTCCTAAAGAAGCATGTGAAAGAATATAGGACTTTTGATTTTTCAGTCTAGTAATTTGCTCATACTAGAGTAGTTCTATTTTTTGCGAAAGTGGTTACGAGAATGTATGACCTCTAAGCAATAGAGATCTGAAACCATGTGCTATGCAATGTGCAGGCTATATTCAAGCCTCCAAAACCAATCCGGGGAGGGATTCCACTATGCTTTCCACAAGTAAGTGTTTATTTCTTCCTTCCTTCCTCCAAAACCATGTGGTATGCATTTTTACTATCTAAAATGCTCATGAAACTCTGATTTTGTACGTGCAGTTCAGTAACCTTGGTGCACTAGAATCACATGGATTCGCTAGAAACAGGTTCTGGGAAGTCGATGCTAGCCCACCTCCTTTGCCAACGAATTCTGCTTCAAATGCTTTCGTTGACCTGATCCTAAGGCCAACTGAAGACGATCTAAAGACATGGCCTTACAAGTCAGATTCTTTAGAACTCGCTCTTTCTATTTTCTTACAACAGTATGCACGTTTTAACCTAGATTCATCTACAACACTGCTAACTTTCACCTGGTTGTATCCAATTCAGTTTTGAGTACCGGCTGAGGGTAGCCTTGGGATCTGAAGGAGAATTGACACTGACTTCTCGCATCAGGAACACCAACTCTGATGGGAAGCCGTTTACATTCACTTTTGCTTATCACACCTATTTCTCTGTCTCGGACATCAGGTAATCTCATTGCAGTTTTGTATTTTTCATGCCCATTTTTTAATGTTCCTCGGTATCTATAGAGCCAATCACTATCCATTGCCTTCCTCATTCCAATACTGAAATGCATCGGGTTGCTTGTGTTCAGTGAAGTAAGGGTTGAAGGATTGGAAACGCTGGATTATCTAGACAACTTAAAGAACAGAGAACGTTTTACGGAACAAGGCGATGCTATAACTTTTGAATCCGAAGTAAGTCTGCGACTCCAATCCTTCCTTTCTTTCTCTGAAATTATATAATCATCACTCTAAATAAATAAAATAAATCTTATTAACTTGTTCAAAAAACAGATTGACAAGATTTACCTAAGCACTCCTACGAAGATCGCTATTCTGGACCACGAGAAGAAGAGGACATTCGTTGTTCGCAAGGACGGTCTTGCTGATGCAGGTAAAAACCCAAAACCCCTGTTTTTATCAGAATCCAAGTTCGATACAAAACAAAAACTTGAATCATTTTGATCATATGATCATGTTTCAGTGGTGTGGAATCCTTGGGATAAGAAATCGAAGACGATCTCCGACTTGGGAGATGAGGACTATAAGCATATGCTCTGTGTTGAAGCTGCGGCTGTGGAAAGACCGATCACGTTGAAACCCGGTGAAGAGTGGAAAGGAAGACTCGAACTCTCTGCGGTTCCTTCTAGTTACTCCAGTGGACAGCTTGACCCCAGGAGAGTCCTCGAGTGAATCTTTCCCAACTTCAAAACAAAAATCATCCTTCTCTCTCTCTATTATTTAATTGCAGGTAACTTCAGTTTACTCTTTTACCATTTTATATTCTTCATGAACAATTTTGTGTGTTTCAAAAACTTCAAAACTTACAGATCTATTTTATTCAAAGGTGTGTATTAGCCTTGAATTCTTTTTTTTCTTTTCCAAAATATTAAAAAATATATATAATTTAGATCTGAAATCCAAAGCTAGAGACATTGAATTTCTCATAATTATCATTTGCTGCGTGTGTGTGAAGAAACAGTATGAAAGAACGAAAAAGAAACTAGAGTAGTAGTCCACCACTTGCAAATAATATTTAAAAGCAACAAATGCAATATCTAAAACCTTCGTATCAGAGAGTGCATTTTGAAGTTTTTTTGGATTCTCTAACTAACGATTTGCGGATCAAGACAAGCGACTTTGCACCGGATTATTCCCACTCGTTAAAATGTCACTTATTTAATATGGTAGATTCGATGTGGCTAGACAAACCAGTGCGTGCATGTGTCTAGCCTATGTCGGTATGTCCGGTCGAGTTCAAAAGGTAGGTAATTCAACTTTTACAAAGTTTTTGGGTTAATGGCTAATGATCTCTGCTCGATATACTAGGTTTAAGGTGAATTGTGAGACAACAAAGTATAATGAAATTATTAAATAAACTGTACTGAATATGTTAGAGAAAATGTAAAATACATCATAATTCCATATTTTATACTAACAAATACAGTAAAAATGGTTATTCATTAACAACGAAGTATGAAGAAAAAATATTAATTATGTTCTATTACTCTAAAACGTTACTTTAAATTATAAAAACAAAATAGAAGATGAAAAAACGAATTATCGTTTATCAAAAAGGGCGAAAAAGGACAAGAAAATCATTTATAAAGAAAGTAAAAACGAACAGAACATAAAATATTAGGAACCAAAACTAGTCCCACAAGTCCAACAATCTAATCGGGATCTAAGAAACCTTGATATTTCGGATCTGATCATCTGACCCTTTCTCGAGTATTATATGGTGTGTTAGTTATAGTTGACGTCTCTGTCCTGAGTCGATACATCCACTTTGTCTAAATGACATCAAATGAGCATTAACTTCAAAATTAGCATTAACAAAATATAATTACAAAAGTGATTCGATATGGACATCAATTATTGAAGTGGAATAATTGATAAGTAACTCGAGATCAAGTACAGGATAAAAAGGACGATTATAGATCAACGTGGGATATTTACAACTACCATAGATACTGTTCTGCGAAAACGAAAATTCATAAGAAAATAGTATTTGCAGAGAGAAAAATAAATAACGCATTTTTTGGATCCACACAGGATTACATCTGGCTCGAACATCAAGAGATTCCCTAGCTTTGGCATAAAATATTTCATATAAAATTAATTTAATGGTGTTTTGTCGTTAATGCTTTTCATTGGTTACAAAGTCATATTCTGAATCTGATTCATTGTATGTGGGAGCTAAGGTTGTCCTTAGTTGGCCCATTTTATAAAACTACAGAAACAGTATTAAACAGCTCCATAGTAAACACTGTAGTAATATATTTTACAAATTGTACTAATATCCAAATGGTTTAACAAAAATGTGATATAAAGTTAATCTTTATAAAGTTTGAACTGTGGTGTAACCAAGGTTTTTAGTAAGTAACATTATGGAATAACTCATACCAAAAAAAAAAAAAAATGGAATAACATAACCGCAAAAATAAATAAACATACAAAAGATGAGGAAATTATATAGATATAAATTAATCTAATTGCAAGACTACTCATCATTGATTTTGTCAATAAAACTAAAGGATTGCGGATTAATTTTGCAAAAATTGTACTTTTTATCTTATTTAGAAAATATATTTTTAATCTTAAGTTTTCTTTTATTGTTATTTCAGGATTCGTTATCAGATGAACTAATTATATATTCCCTTCGTTTTTTTAAGATGGATTTTCTAGATATTAGTTGTTGTTTTATAAAGATAAATTTTCTATTTTTTGATACATTTTTCCTTAATATGTGTGAAAATTCTAGAAAATTAAAAAAAAAAAAACGGAGGGAGTATATGTAATATAAATAATCACCAAAGCAGAAAGTATCTAGTGAAGCTAATCTAATAGTCGAGTGACAAGTGGAGAAACTGCACTTGAAGAAATCACCCACATGAGGAAGGCCCACTTTTCTTGTCTAGGTGTGCGACGCGTGTCTTTTAGGACCCACAAATCGCTTGAGAAAACCTTAATGATGTCGTAATTATCTGAATTATTGTAAGTTTGTTTTTATTTTCAACAAAAACGTTATTTTCTTTATTTTTGTTTTTGATAAAGTATTTTCTTTATTTTAAGTATCTGAAAAATGGTTAGCTTTCCTGACTTCACTGAATATGACAACTTTCGGTCTGATCTTCTTTTACACTGATCTTTGGTCGGATATTATCCATTTTATAAATATTAATACCACCAAAATCTATTGGTCGAGTTTCTTTGCTACGCAAAGTCGCAAACGCACCCAATTCTATAATCTATATACAAGTACAATAACTGGTGATCTAAATAATTTTAATGCAAAACAAAATAATGTAAATGCAGCTCTAACAATGTATAAGCTAATTTACAAAAAAAAAGCTAGGAACTAATAAAGAAAGTGATATTTACTAATTTATAAACACCAGTATGTATATTTATATACACGCAAATTCGTGGTTTATAATTAACACTGTTATGACCATAATTAATAAGAGTCATTGTTAGTTTATGTAAATAATCTACAAAAACAAACTCGTTACAAAAAAAAATGTTTTTCAAAAATCTACAAAAATAGGTGGATGTGTGTATAGTCACTATAGTGGGGTAGTAGTAGGACCCACAGTGTATGTTAGAAAGGCTACAACGCGTGCTTACTCTTTTTATTATTAAATTAATAATCCCAAATCTATTAACTCTCTCTCTTTGCTTCCACATGCCGTCACTTCACTTTACGTCCCTAATTATTAATTTTATTCATTTCTCTTTACATTATTCACATCTAATCATGCAATGACCAAATCACCCCTTGTTTTCACCATTTATATATTTTGGGAATAGTATACGAACAAGAAGATTCGTAACTTTCTAGCGACTAAACTAATAGTGGTAATAGGGTTTTACTAGGGAGATCATTAAGTCACTATATGAATAATTGAATATAGTTATATAGATGATCGAAAATTTTCTAGAAAGGTTAGTCCATATGCACCTTTTCTGCCGTTTTTAAATAAAATTACTTGTTATTGTTAGATTTCTAAGTTTGATTTTCGTTTTTTAAATGGTTATTTCTGTAGGAATAACAACAATTAAACAATTGTTATATATAGTACGACCAAAAGCTAAGTGTTATTCATGTATAGCACTCATGTCGATTATTATTCGTCTGTTCTTATAATAGTATATTGTTATCTAATATGCGGCGGACAAATATAAATTGATTTCTTTCGTTCATTTTCTCCCGTTAATTTCACGTAATAGTTATACAATGAATCAAATTGTTAGGTAAAGCTAAAAAGGACGTATAGAATCAAAAGTTGTTCGTATATATATCAACATTTACCTCACACAAGTTGTTTTATGTTTTGCGCACAGAACATTGTAAGTATCGGTCTATATGTTTACAGAATCAACAGAGAATAATTCATGTGATGTACTATACTATTACCAAAGCCTCGGGGCCCATGGGTCACAGCTGTGACTTCTATCTGGGTTTGAATTCCCTTAGTCACCGGAGTTGTTATTAGTCACCGGAGTTGTTATGAGGACTGCCGTAGACTTTGTGGGATTAGTCTTTGAGTTTAGAAAGCCTTTAGGATCATCCACGATTATCAAAAAAAACAAAAAAAAAAAAAGTAATGTACTATACTATTCGAAATTTAGATGTTGACCTGCAGATTCAAACTTTGGAACTCTAAAACAAATCTGATTTGATTTGAGCCAATAGAAGCAATTATCGTGTCTCTATTTACAGTTTAAGTATTGTACTTGTCACTTGATATCATGTTTGGTTTGGGTTTAGGATATAATATAATTAACTATTTTAGATTACTTTAAATAATCCTTCGAGTTTCCTCCTTGCTTCTCGTCTCACATGGCTCCGCCTAATCCAGCCAGCTCCTTTTCTCTATAATATTCACGTTAAATTTGTTTTAAATTTAATAACCTACGCATGCATCCGCGGAAGGAATCATTTGATTTTTCTATTACAAGACATTGGAGTTTAATATTAAGCGCAGATCAATATAGTCTTTTTTAATTGTTTGAATTGTTTAATATTGATACACATTAATCATTTTGGGATCTGGATTCAAGGATGGTATAACAAACCACGATGAGATGTGTTTCTTATTGCACCGGCAATTAGTTGAAACTTGAAAGATTGGTTAGATCTATGAACTCTAAAATAAAATACTATACTTCACTTATCCGATCGTTGTTAATTAGTTTTACGATTAAGAAGCATATCATCAATTTTGCATTTTAGCGATGGTGTATAGAGATAATTAATAACTAAAAATACAATTATATATATATATATATATAAGTAACTGATGTAAACAGCGAGTACTAATCAGTACTACTATCATATTTTAGTCTATTGATTGAAGTATAATTAACTTAAGTCGGTGCGTAATCGAAGCCCCATGTTCGCAAGAGATTTCTTTGAGAGGAGAAAACGAAACAAGTAGAAGACAAGCCACATTAAACATATAGTTGTATTTTGATAAGAACTGAAAATGTGTCACTTAAATTATGTGCCGATAATTAGCTTTTTTTTTTTTTAAATTCCTTAGGGTTGTTTAATTTGGAATCTTATGAAGAAACTTAAATTCTGTTTTAGGATTTTGTTATACACCTCTGTCATTGGCCATATGTGTTTTTAATGATTAATTTAGTTAATTTACTTTATATATCATCATAATTGATCATTACTTTAGATGACTACCACTTGGGAATTTAAACAAGCATCTGGTGATCATAGATTCATAGACTAAAGATCACCGAGATTTTTTTCCAGAAACTATTGATTAAAAAAAACAAGAACATTGAAAAAAGATAAGCAAACCATTTTAAAAAAGTAGTTCCAGAGAAGGAATCTCTACTTGTTGATGAAATATGAAGAAACATGAGATTTAATAAGAAATCTGGGAATACATAATTAAGAACACAACAACCAAAACAAAACCAAACCAAACCCTTTTGATAATGCAATGAACAGAATATAATTTGAATCATATGGACCCTGAAGACAGCACGTAAGTTGAAACACTTTGCTTGGCAATCGGTAGCAGGATGTGTTCCAACTCGCTGTCGTCTAGCGGAGAGGCACTGTGGCACAGATTGGAAATGCCCACGGTGTGGCGCTGAGTCGGAGACCATTAATCATTTGCTTTTTGAATGTCCAATAGCGCTGCAAGTATGGGGTCTCTCGAATATCCCAACAAATCCGGAAGTTTTTCCGAGACCCTCTCTGTTCTATAACATGGACTATCTCCTCTGGCGTGCGAGAGAGATGGGAGCTACTGAATAAATCCTTGAGAATTTCCCTTGGATCTTGTGGTATCTATGGAAAGCTTGCAACGATAAGGTATTTAACAACAAAGATATTATGCCGTTAGATACCTTTCAGTTTGCTAGGGCTGAAGCGGAAGCATGGAAGCTAGCACAGCTCGGTCCAAATCCGATGGAGAGCAATGTATCCGTTGAACAAGCGCCCAATGAAGCTGAAACTGTTATACGTCCCCGGTGCCAGGTAGATGCATCATGGACGTATAATAGCAGTTTCTTTGGAGGCGGCCTTGTTATTGAAGCTGAAGAAAATGTCACTTTCAAAGGAGCACTTACGAGTGCTCAAGTGGCGTCCCCTCTTCAGGCGGAATTTCGCTCTCTGATTTGGGCGATGAAGATGACCAGACGGCTTGGATTGAATTCTATGTGTTTTGAGTCAAACTGTCTTGAGTTGGTGAGACTGATCGAAAAAGATGAAGATTGGCCCTCGTTGGCACTTGAATTGGAAGAGTTTTATGCAACCTTTAGTTCCTTTCATTTGTGCTCCTTAGTTTACATTCCACGTGTTCTTAATGTCCGTGCCGTCCGTGCCGATGCTCTTGCAAAAGAGGCTCGAGCCCGAGATTGTTTCTCTTCCCATGTAAATCTTATTTCGCCAAGTGAATTAGCTATTACAGCTAATTCAAACGGCATTGTTTAATAAGTAATATGGAGCTTTCAACGTCAAAAAAAAAGATGACTCCCAGATCATCTACGGTTATCGATCGGCCTATATTTTTTCAAGTCATCGCCAATAAACCAAGAAATACTATAGTTACTTTATTTTTAACATGACAAACATGTCTTCATGGAAATGTTACGCAAATGTATCAGTAGCAGGAGGTATTCGGTATTATGATTTATTATAGGCTAATACTCGTATTCCGTGTTATGTCGCCACCTTAAATTTCAATACTGTTAACAAGCTTTAAAATCTTAGTTGAAATAGAATTATGGGTGTGAATGGTATGTATTAGAGTAAATTAGAGTAACTAAGAGAAGAGTAATTGGGTAGAAAGAAAAAATAAATAACTAGAGTAAAAGAGTAGGAAATGCAAAAAAAAAGTTCTAACAAAAATTAGAGGAACAAAATACCTCTATTTTCAGTGTCAATTGACAGAATATTATCTATCACTTCTCCATTTGTTATTCATTAGTTAAAATAGTATAACTAATGATATACTATAAGAGGATCTATCTGGTTAAAACTTGGTGTCAGAATAAATGATAACCGTGGGATTTTTGGGTATGGTTAATAACCCAGTAGTGCAGTACGGATGACGATGATGATAGAGAATATATACGTTTTTCATATAAATTGATAGAAAGGGGAATCATTTGAATTTCTAAAAATAATACAGGAAACATCACGACATTATTTTGTTCCAAAAAAAAAGATAGAAGCTTTGTCTTCAATTGGTTGTTATTATATTATTTCTTTTATATTTTTATGTAATTACATGCATATCTTGATCGTGTCCAGTTTGGAGTTACGACTTGTCTGGAATATATTGGCTAAAATAATCACATTTAATTTTCTGCATGATTTTTGTTCATCATTTGTCTAAATCCTCTTGATCTCCTTGATTTTATATTATATCAACAACACATCCAATTATTGCATACCCCCACTTATAAGAACATTATATACACAGAATCTACTTTCAATTAGGATCCTATATATTTCATCGGTAACACTAAATTTTTGGATATTATCCATCTTTTATGTTAAAACTCATGGTGAAAAGTCTTCTTTCAAAGATTTACAAAGTGGCATTTAAATTAAGGAATATAAATTCATCTTCTCAGAGAACAAAGGACTCTCAAGTAGGAGATTAGAATAATATATACCAGTAAATCCACCAAGATTTATATGAAAAGTAGCTATAGTTTCGTCTGTCTGTTAGAGAGAAAATAATTAGATGGACATAATAAAAGGCAGCATATGTAGACTATCAGCTTTTTCCTTGCCTCCTTCCTTCACAAATATCACAGCCTGTCAAAATTAGCCTTTTAATACTATTTAACTTCCATCTCTATATATTATTTTTTTATTAATCTTTTATTTAATTTAAGCCTTTCCTTCGCTGTGAATTCCTATTATCCCTATCTCTCTCTCCCCGGGAACTCTTTCTCTGTATCTCTATCTCTGCACACAGCTTTAGTCATATATTGATCAATTGTTGACGAAAAGGTGATCTCTCAGCTTTTGGAATATTTGTTCTGTGATGCTTTGGGGAAAATTGGTAAAGAAGCATATAGTAAGGTAAGTGTTCGTCGTGAAGAGCTTAACTAAGTGAGTTTTGTGGCATGAGCTTCGAACATGTGATCAATGAGCTTCTTTGGAAAGAATCACAGCTTGGGCACCCTTCTTTTCAGGTAACTTTTCCAGAATTTATCTTATCATATACACACATATATAAGCATTTATATGGGTATCTTACTGATCCGATTGATGAAGGTGATGAAGTATATATATAGAAAGGGTTGCTATATATGTATATGTCCATGGAACGGATTCTCTATACTAGTGCTACTTTCTACTCACTATAACACACACACACACATATATACATATTCGTGTGTTTATCTATATATAGCTATATACCATCTGTGACTGTGTGTGTGTGCAAAAAAAGTCACACATCTTTTTAAGTTTGGTTTAAAACTCAAACCCTCCGTGAAGAGAATAGTTATTAATCAAATTTTTAAAAGCGAAATAGATATTTTGTTTATAAATATATACTCATATATATATTGGAAAAAAGAACAATTAATCGTTATCTCGCAACCAGTTGGTTTTCCTTGCCTTATCCTATTGGATATCTAATTTGGTTCTCTACAAATATAGATACATAGACATGATCTTCTCATGTCTTTTATGTCCTTGTGTGCGTGTGTATAGATGTCATGTAAGTACATGTGTCATATATATTTTTATTATTTATATGATTTTTGTGTAGACAACTTTTAAAAACATTGTAGGAAACAAGTAGAAGTGGAAACTTAGGTGATACAGTCCTCTTAGCATGAATGCAAGAACATAATGAGCGATGTGACCAGTTTGTAAACATTATGTGTATAAACTCAGATTTGAATAGAAAAACATAGGTGATATTCGCATGATCATCAATTTACACTAAAATAGTAAAAATTCGTAAAAGTTGATTTTAATTTGACTGCTCCCGCTAGTTTTTATTGTTGCTATTTTTTTTTCCAATGTCTCTGTCTATTTTATTATAATCATTCTCATATTCCAAGTCATGCTTATCCAAAATGAAAAGGAGAAAAAAATCAGCAACTTGCTCTCTTTTTCCTTCGTCCTTTGCTAATCTCTTCACCACATATATATTTTATATATTCATGGCAATTTTTACGACTCGAATCATTCTATTTTAAACTTTAGTAGTGAAAATGATATTATTGTACCATTTCCATCAATTATTTGACCATCTTAAAAAATGAAAATTTTATATTCGTGTCGTTTACTACATAAGATATCCTATTTCCACACATAATTGATTTTTTTCACAGATAATATATATAGTGGTATATAAAAGGGATACAATCTAATTCAGATGTTTGCATTGGTTAAGATAAATGAGATTATGTTAATGGTAGGACAAGTCGTGTCTAATGCTGTCACGAGGGCACTACTTAGATACTCATGACTAGTGAAGTATCCAGCTCATTATTTGTTCAATGGTTATTATCACACACAAATTATCAAACAAACAAAATTGAGTTGAAATCAGTTAAAATAATTAGCTTGGTCATTTACAATCGGTGGTCTGACATGTTCTATCCATTTGGTTAGAAAGACATTTTGATTCGCTTTCTAAAAATACTTGGTTTTGAGACAAAACACCATGAGAAAGAATCTAATCAAATTCAAAAGTGTGTCCCACCAGTCAACCTTCTTTTGTCTATAAACCCTTCACTTCAAGAACTAGTGGCTTCTGACGATTTCTCCATCAACATCATAATCACATGTATATACACACACACACACAAACACACACACACACACACACACACACACACACACTCACTCGCATATACAACTTAAGTGGAATTAGGGTTCTGTTTCTCGTGTGTTCTATCAAATCATCAAATGGGTATGAAGTGTGTGACTCTACGTTTCAGGCATGGGAACAAAAACCGTTGAGCGAATTCCGACAACCTCACTTGGCTTAAAGAGTGTTGATCGTAGTGGATTAATCAGATTTGGTGTTAATGGTCGACGAAAATCGTCAAAGGAGACGATGACCGACGACAAAGAGAAGAAGGAACAAGAAGCGTCTTTTGTTACAAGGTCGATGGATAGGTTTCTTGAAAAGCAAACTGCTGAATCAATCAGACAAACAATGCAAGCCCAAGAAGATATTTTTAAGCAACAGGTACATACATATACAACATGTATATATGAACTTGGTCTTTCATCAATCCGGTTTCGTATTCAGTTTTACTGTTTTGGTTCCATTTTCGTTTTTTTTTAAAGCAACCAACCTAAAAGGTAAATCTAGTATATATATATTAAGATATATATATATATATATATATATATATATTAAGATATGGATCAGTTTGGAATACTTCAAACTCGATTTAGTGTGAATTTATTCTTAATCTGAAAATTTTAAATTATTTTCATTTTACTCGGTTTTCTAGCTTGGTATGAAGTGGATGGACTGATTTGGTTGATGATCAACATCTACAACCGTAGAATAATATAAGATGTTGAATGTTGATGATAACGACATAACAAAGTGATAATCGCAGGTACGAGAGCTGCATAGAGTATATAATACACAGAAAATGATGATGGACCAACTCAAACACAGAAGCCAATATTGGACTAATAGCAACAAAGACCAAACCGGCACAAGAGAGAGAACCGGGAGCTGTTCAGGCGTAGACCTCGAGAATATGGTTAGAGCCGCAAAAGCCACGACGACGGATCATATCGACGAGAGCGAACTAGAATTGACATTGAGCATTGGAATGTCTTCTTCATCAACAAACAAGGACATGGACTACTCGTCCACGACGTCGTTGAGATCATCATCGGATAATTGTAATAATCAGAGCAATAATAATAACAATAATAACAGTAATAACCAAGAGAGTAGCGGTCCAAACACGCCAATGAGTAGCTCAAGTACGACGTCGTTGGATCGAGAGAAGAAGAGACCTCATTGGCTCTTTCAAGGACTTAGTATTAACCGAACCTCTTGATTTTTGTTCATTCGCTGACTATTTCCTTCTTTTTCTTCTTCTTCTTCTTGATTTCTTCATCTGAATTTCATTGTTATTTACACATTTACTGATCTCAGTTTTAATTAGCTCAAACTAACTAACTGTCTTTCTTCGTTAACACATGATGATAACTCAAAATACAATATAAACCATTTAGTTATATGTTTTCTTTAAATTTGTTTGCATAAAGAATTTAAGTATAAAAAAGTTTATGTTAAATTTGATGTTTTGAGGTATTTTGAGTTTGAGTTTATAAATTCTAAATTTGGTCACTTAGATACTAATCTCAAGGTTCATAAACTGTCTTCTTCCACCATTATTTTTTTATACAAAATCGTATATCTGACTATGTTATGAAAGATATTACAACATATATAAGCCTCTTTGTTTATTCCCCTAATAGTCATCTCCGTCATCTTCTTCATTTGTTGATCGGAAAAAGTTTCTAGCGACGGCTGAAGCAGCTCCAAAAAACATGAAGAGAACGAGGATATCAAAGCCACCACCGCCACCAACTGCCACTGCAGGACCGGGGGCAAAAAATGAAAATGGTGACCATCCATAACCGCCATAACCACCATATCCATAGCCACCGATCAAAGGTGGTGCAACCTGAGGATTCACGTAGATGTTGGTCCTGTGAAGAGAAAGCTGCGTTTAGGATGATATAAAAGGACTAATGTATTGATTTTCTCAAACGCCAATTTCTGCGTTTGCTTTTTACATAGAAACACACACACTTTTATGAATACGAAACACTTTCACTATTTTTCGTTTGCGTTAAGATTAACATATACTACAAATTTGGCTCATACAAGAAGCTTCATGTATTAAAGGTAAATATATTTACGACGAAAATAAACCAAAATTAGTATGCTTAAGATTGCGTAACCAAATAATTAAGAGCTTCAAGTAAAAAAAAAATAGTTACCTCGATCGGTTGTTAATTCTAGGAGGAGGCCGAGGAGCTGAAGGCCGAGGAGCTGAAGAACGAAACGCTTGACCGCCGACTCTGCCGCCGCTTTTGGCCGCAGACGCATCACCAACGGATCCCAAAGCCAAAACGCCAACCGCTAGCGTCGCGATTGCCAATTTCGCCAGCTGATTCTCATTTTTCCTAATAAACAAAATCATTTGAATAAGAGCAAACTCCAAAACCGGAACAAAAGAAAGTCTTTAACAGTAAAGAAACTTACCGCGAAGAATCAGTTTTGTCCTCGTCGTGTTGAGATTTGCAACAGATTGAATTGGGACGAGTGAGGTAATTAACATTGGATTTGGGTTTGAAACAGTGTCGGAAGCTGAAAGAGTCTGATAAAAAGCTTTGTCGTGAAGAAGCTATGGCGGCGAAATACATTTTTGGTTGCTGTGTCTGTAAATTTGTTCTACGCTCTTCTTCTCTGTTCTAAATGATCTTTCACGTCTTCTGGTTTTTGTTCTTTCTTTTCTAGTTTTGGTTTGTGATAAAGCGATTGCCACGTGGATTACAACTAGTGGTCTGATCAAGAACACATGTATCCACATTCCACACACGGATTAACATATCCGGTTTACGTATCAAGTCGGTCGGTCTGAAGAAATAACTAAACCGCTACTCATCAAACCGGACCCAATATGCTCTTGGACCACGATAAAATATATGGGAATATTGTTCCACACTTTATAGATACCGAAAAATCGTATAAATTACTTTTATAAGTAAAAAAATCAAAATAACGAAAATCAAAATTTAATTTGTAAGAAATTTGGCCGTGAGTGCCTTATATAAACTTTTGAAAAACGTAATTTTATAATGAGTAAATACCTACGAAATTTTGACCCAAGAAAGAAACAATTAGTAAAATGTAACCTATGATATTTAAAGTCGATGAATTATTGATTCAAAGTATAACCATCTCTATAGAACTTTATAAAACAACATTGTATAAACCTATGGCATTTATCTTTTTTTTGTCTCCAACACAGAGCAAACTCAAAACGCATTAAGTCTAAAATCAGGAAGAAGAAACAAAACATAAAAAAAAACCGGAGTTTAGAGGAATTTAACACACATTATTAAAAAAAAAAGTTATTCCTTCTCCTCTTAGAAAGTCATCATCATTATCATCCATTAAAGAAACGATCTTCTTCTTCCTGAATCATCTTCTGGTTAAAATTGAGTCATCAAACGGTGTAGTGACCAGGTGTCTCAATGTCTAGTCCCTTGAGCTTCACCACTGACTCTACATGTCCTTTAAGCGTATGAAGTTCCCTTAGCCTACAAGCACAAAAGCAACACACAAAAAGTTAAAACCCTAATGTTAACTTGGCTAACAAGAAACCTTAGTTTATTTTGTTGTTGTTGTAATCGATGCTTAATTAGAAATTTAGAAAGAATACCTGGCCATCTCTGCTCTTCTCTTGGCTTGCTCAGCGATCTCAGACAGTTCTCTGTAACCACCTTTCTCCGGGAAAGCATTATTACCCGTCTCGTTGTTGTGAAGACCGTGTAAAGTCCTCTGTGCGTGAGCCCATTGTGCCTCTCTCTCCTCTATTCCATAGTTCGGCTTAGTCGTAAACGCAGTCTGTTTTTTTCCATTCAGACAAAAACAAACAAGATTTGTCTTAAGAAACCACATTTCAGGAGTAAACACGTAAAATAAGAAAAGTATAACGTACCTTGTTGTCAATGAGATTGTTCCATGCGTTTCCGGATAGAGCGTAACGGATTGTGAATTTGAGCACATCTAGTGGGATGTAAAAGACAAAACTGTAAAGCCAGATAACTGCAGCCCATCCCCATCCTATTCCTTTCACTCTCGCAAATTCCCAATTTGCATAAACCGCAATCAACGTCGCAATCTGCAAGATCAAGTTTGATAAACATCATTCAAGACAGTTTACGACCAAGAAGAAGAAGAAAAGGAATCATGTTTTGAATTCTTACGAGTTGTGCTATCCAGAAAGCGATGAGCAACCACCATCCAGGTCGTTCTGTGAAAGACCAGCTTCTAGATCGTGTGACGAAGATAAGAGCTTGGCTCACAATACTGACTTGCAAGTACAAAGCAGACATCATCTCATGCTCGTTTCCTCTCAAGTCTTTCACGTGGAAAGTTCTCTACGGAAAAACAAAAAAAGAAGCAGAGTTATGATATGATTGTGTGAATGTGATGGAGAGTTTTATTCAAGTGTGTTTATATACCGGGAAGAAATCAGTTCCGTATGCAGCCCAGAAGAAAACGACGGTCATTAAAGCCATGTAGCCTCCGAGGACAATCCCGGTTGCGAAGATCTCGTTGAGTTTCCAGCTGTCTGGTGTAGGAGATGGCTTGACCTTGTCCTTTGAGATAGTCATGATTGTTCCATCGTTTAAGATTGCAATGATCAAAACCATGAACGGCGAAAAGTCGAACTTCCATATTAGAGCAATCAACATGAACCCAAACTGTAACAAAAATACAACAAGAAACATTATATTTGATGATATTCAAGATTGATCAAGAACATATATATTTACAAGAATGCCAACTTACCACAATACGAATGGTGATTGAGACTGCATAAATCTGTTAGAAAAGAGGCATCAGAAAAATATCAGAACAAGTGAAAATTGGTGAAACAAGAATTAGGGTTCTATAAAAAAAACTATACACAATACTACTCACAGTGTAGTTCTTCATTCTTTGGAAAATAGCACGACTGGTCAAAACGGCGCTGATGATAACACTAAGACCAGGCTCGGTGAGAACAATATCAGAGGCTCCTCTTGCAGCGTCTGTAGCATCAGCAACAGCGATACCAATATCTGCCTTCTTCAAAGCAGGAGCATCGTTCACTCCATCACCAGTCATTCCACATATATGCTTCAACTCTTGCAGCTTCTTCACAATCTCGTACTTGTGCTCTATACAACAGAAGAACATTAAATCATTAATTTCAGAGAGCAAGATTATGAAGAAAAATAAATGTTATGTATATTCATAACACAAACCTGGGAAGACTCCAGCAAAACCATCAGCTTTCTCAATCAACTCTTCAACAGGAATCGCAGCGAGGCTTTCGTCTTTGTGGTTACCAAGTAGTGAAGCTGATGGATACATGTTTGCTCCCATCCCAAGCCTACGTCCAGTTTCTTTCGCTATAGCAAGTTGGTCACCGGTGATCATCTTGACGTTGACACCGAGGTCTAATGCTCTTCTAATGGTTTCTGCACTATCATGTCTTGGAGGATCAAACAATGGCAACACACCGACGAATTCCCATGGACCACCAGAGCTTTCTTTTGCTTTCTCAGGTACAATCTGATGCAAAATTTAAATAACATCAAATCTTTTTTCTTACAAAGATTCGTTACAAGATGTGAGATTTTTGGTTTTTGATCTTACCTGTCTTGCAACAGCCAATGACCTGAGTCCACGCTCAGCGTACTTATCGATTGCAGAGTGGACTCTCTTCCTCAGATCAGCTCTTGCGTTGCAGAGATCAAGAATCTGAAAGAAAAAAAATCATCACCAAAAGAGTCATTGAAGAGAAAGAAACAAGACAGAAACCTAACTTGTATTAGAAGTAACTCAAAAATCAGTTTAGTTACCTGCTCAGGAGCTCCTTTGCTTACTCTGTGCCATGTTCCATCACTATCGATGTAAGTTAGTGCTGTTCTCTTATCAACTGGATTGAATGGTAAGAAGTGAATCTCTCTAATACCAGCTCTTGCCTGAAAAACAATCAAACAAACAATGAGAAACAAAAACGGAGGAAAAAACAGAGGAATTTGTATATATACCTCTTTAGGATCAGCAAGCATTCCAACCATAGCAGCATCAATAGCATCTTGATTCTCAACTCTTGAAGCCCTAGCAGCTAAAAGCAAGACCTCGTCTTTCTCAACGCCTCTACAACAAACCTCAATGAGGTTCCTGTCAACGCTAAGCTTGTTCAACGTCAACGTCCCGGTTTTGTCGCTGCACAGAACATCCATACCAGCCATCTCTTCAATGGCGGTCATACGTTTCGTGATAGCTCCTTGTTGAGACAGCTTGTGCGAGCCTATAGCCATCGTCACGGACAGAACAGTAGGCATGGCAATGGGGATCCCACCGATCAAAAGCACTAAAAGGTTGTCGATTCCGTCTCTGTATCTCCTCCTCTGGATCGGGTACATGACCACGAGCTCTATCAAGATACCGACGGCGATGGAGATGATGCAGAAGTTTCCGATGGCGGTCAGGACTTTCTGGAAATGTCCGACGTTGTTCGTGTTGTCCACAAGATGAGCCGCTTTGCCGAAGAACGTGTGGACTCCGGTGGCGATCACAACCGCTTCGATCTCACCTTGCTTGCAAGTGGAGCCGGAGTAGACTTCTTCTCCTGGACCTTTCGTCGCCGGGAGGGATTCTCCGGTTAGAGCGGATTGGTCGACTTTGAGAGCGTCTCCTTCGAGAAGACGTGCGTCGGCGGGGATGATGTCACCGAGCTTGATGCTGACGATGTCTCCAGGGACGAGAATCGAAGCTTCTTGCTCACTCCATTTGCCGTCTCTGAGGACCTTTGTTTTGGGAGCAAGACCGGCCATGAGAGCAGCGGCGGCGTTCCCGGCGTTGTTTTCTTCGATGAAACTGATGGTTGAGTTGATGACCAGAAGACAAACAACACCGACGAAATCTTGCCAGTCCGGTGGCCTTCCGTCGCCGTTAGCCAGCGCAATGGCCATGATCGCAGCTGCTTCCATGACCCATGAGAGAGGGTTCCACATAAAGCCCAAGAACTTGAGTATCTTGCTTTCCTGTTTTTTTTTTTTTAATGAAGGAGAAAGAATTATTTAGTCACTTCACTAGTATAATATATAGTTCGTTAATGAGTTTATTGTGAAAACAAAACCATGAAGAAGTTAATTACTAGTTTATTACCTTCTTCTCCTCCAGTTTGTTGAGGCCAAAGATTTGGAGTCTGGCTTCTCCTTCTGCTCCAGATAATCCTTCTCTGTCACATTTCAACTGCTGGAACACTTCTTCAATTGGGATTTTCTCCTGCAATAGTATGAACAAATGATCCAATTTTCTCAAAAAAAGAGGGTATAAATAGAATGATTATTCTGTTAATCAAATAACATTAATTATGCAATTCTTATTCAGTAAAAAAAATAAAAAATAAAAAATAAAAAAGGTTAATAAATAAATAACAAAAACAAAATTATAAAGAAAATATATATTTTAAAGTTAAAAAGGTGGAATATATATTTTAGTGTAAAAGGCCCAATTGTATCTAAGGCCCAGATGTAACGGAAGATAACGATAGTGGCAAATCAGTCAATAAAACATGGGATAATTGAGCCCAGAAAATCAGGTGGGAGATTGGAATTTAGGTTCATCTAGGGAAGTGGTTAAACGGATGATAATGCGATTTTCCGTGAGTATGAAAAATTCCAAAACGTACTAACTAACTCTAAATATTTTGACTGAAACTTCTCTATGAATACTCCAAAACGCATTAACTAACTCCAAAAATTTGACTAACCCAAAAAAATATATGTGAAAATAAAATTGCTTTATTTGGTAACTAAATAACATTATTGTAGCTAAATTTCCGTGATTCTGGAATAACAAAATCTAGTAGAAAAACAAAAAGCTGGAAAAACGCCAGAAAATCTGAAATAACTAATATTAATATTAACAGTTTTTCTCAGATATTTATCCCTGTGATAGCTAAACATGAAATAAAATTAAAATTCAACGATCTAAGCGATGGAAAGAGAACACCACAAGCTAAACACAATAATGTGTAGTAGAACCTTAATTTGATAAAAGCGTTTGGTAAAACCATAATCAAACTCAAGAGGAATTATGTTAACTAAATTACGTTTTGGAAAATTCACCAAACAGCTCAAACAAACGCAACGAAACTCAGGGAACAAAACTACGTAATTATACAGAGTAAAACAAAGAAGAATAAATCATACCAAATCAACATTCTCGTTCTTAATATCCTCGAGAGAACCACCAGGCGCCATGCTTCCTTCCCTCTGCCTTGGTCAAATCAAAATACAAAAGATCATTCACTAAAACTGCGGAAAAGTTAAGCAAAATAAAGCAGCGATGATGAAGATATATTCGAGGTTACAAAAGAGAGAAAAAGAATGGAGAGAGGAAATTCAAAATTGAAACGAACCAGATTCTTCCGAAAAAAAGAGAGCAAGTGAAGGTGGACTACGTTGGCTATTTGGTGGCTCTATTTATATGCCTCGTGTTGTTAAACGAGACCGTTTAGGTCTACCATATTTATTATGAGGAGGAATGATAAATTTTTATTATTTTTATTAACCAAATAATCATCAATGAATAATTATCATCTTCTGACCAAAAAGGAAAAAAAAAAGAATCTTTATCATCTTTTTTTATTAAACAAATAATCATCGCATTTTCAAAGAGATTTAAATAAGAGGATAAATATTACACTTTGACAACAACAACAAAAAATATATCTTTGATTCGGTTATTGTCTTTGACGTATTTGACATTTGACTATTTGATAGACCATGTCCAAAGTTATTTTGTTGAAACTAAACAGGGAGGACACTATTGTCTTATCGAGTTCCCATGGACTATGGTATAGATATCTATCACAAATTATGGTAAAAGGTTTCTTCTGAGAATTGTCAATATAACATCTTATTAAGTTGACAAATAAAAAGAATAAAAGCTTTTTAAAAGTTTTATCGATGAGAAACTAATCGAGATAAAAATAATTGATTTTCTGTGGACATGTAAATCACTTATATATCTTTCAAAAAAATTATATAACATGAATAATATATTTAATTTCTTTCAAGAATATCATAAACATATTACTATCCTCCTTAATTTGGATGATAATGTAATTTCTGGAATTTTTTTTGATAATTTTTAGAGCGTCTTTATATTATCTTGAGACTAAAAAATAAAAGAATACTACAATATGTTACACAACATAAGCTTTTTTTGCAAAATTTATAGAAAACTAAAAAATCTAAACGGTATGTAGAATATTAGATGGTTGTTGTTGAAACAGTGGCGGCGTTATTTTCTGTTACAGATGAGAGACATTTGGCGATAGTTTCAATTACTATCGATCGATGGCAAAACAGCTGATGATTTCGTGAGTCATTGACCCGCGATAATTTCCTTAGCTAGCATCACGGAAGACCGATTCTTGCAATAAGATTGTATCTAAAGCTTTTGGTAATTTTTCTTTGCTCTCACGTGTATCAGAAAGAAAAAAAGGTAGTTAGTGATTTTTAAAAATGTCAATAGTGTGAATGATAATATTAACCACTTACAAATTAATATATGCTTTCATGTTTTTTTTTGGGTTAACCTTTAAATCAGCAAAATTCAAACAACAAACAAATTGAAATTCAGAAAGAATAAAATGACCTTGCGATTGGGTGGTTTGGATGTGTACAGTGTTTTCAGAAGTTGCAATTATGGAAGTCACAGTTGTAAGGGAAAGAAGGTTCTAGAGTGACCACCCATATGGCCAAATCACTATAGAACATCGAGTATCTTTTTGGGCTCGAGAACATGACCTTGCAAATCACAATCATAAAGTCTACATGTTTACATATATACTCAAACTCTTACGGCTAATTAATACTATCCTGCATGTTTATATCGATGTAACCAAGTTTAGGTACGTGCCGATGTCTTTTACTCTAACAATTTTATTTTGATGATTGAAATAGTAAGATATGATGTGTGGGATTAGTATATGATATATATATATATATATATATATATATATATATACGTGTGTGTATCAGTGTATGGTTAACGCAGTTAGTAAAAGCAGTAAGATGAAAGTGCTGTATTTGTAAAAATATCCATTGTTGTTCCTAACAAGTCCTTTTTTTTTTACAATTCAAATTCTGTTGAAAAAAGAACTAGGCATAGTTTAAAGTTGGATTGTAGGGGCAAATTACGCAGCGTCGCAAACATGTGTAACGTGGAAATTGGAATTATGGTTCGTACAACTTCACGTACAAATTAATTCCATTAACAATGACGTAGTTTCTTTGGACTTTGCTATCGATGCATCTCATGTTCTTCGGGTCCACACGATCCAACTTCAGTTTTAGCTCTCAAACTAATCCTATGATCCTAATGGCTTTCATAAAGGTTATTAGTCTTTTTTGTAAACACACTCAAAAGTATTTTGTTCCGATATGTGAATAATAAAATCTTGTTATACTGTTTTGTTCTTCTTTAACTATACGCCACATATAACAAATCTGTATGAATAAAACATGTTTCGCAAAAGTAAACAAGTCAAACTGCTTTGACATTCGACCTTTTTTTGTTAAAACACAATATACATACTATACTATGGTTAACCACAGATTGATTATAAATCACAGTTTCAAATTTGTCAGGGCCATCTCTACACATATGTTGCATTGTTTTGACAATTACTAGAATATAATATTACAATCGTTATACTCTATGGACGATGGCCAAAGAGAAAGACCAGCAACTTTATTCGAAACAAACGTAACATAGTGTGACGACGGGATTTTTATCTACATCCTTTCCTTTTAGTAAATTTAGGTTCATCATGAATCACTTTCTTTTTACTTTTATTCAGTTTTCTTGATATCAGATTCTTATGAACAAACAAGGTACATCTCGCCTTCTAATTGAACCCGACTAATAACGATAAAAGTGATATATAATATCGTCATACATTTTAAAATACTTATGAAAACTACTTATAAGAGATGTAAACTCTTCAAAACGTCCCTTAAAAATAGGGCAGAATTGTTTTTCGTTTGGCCAAATTTGTAATTTTGTGTTTCCCTTTTAATTCTGCCACCTTTGCCATTTTCTTATATATATATTCGAAGGTCGAAACAAAACACAACAATAGTAATCAATAGAAAGAAGGTGAAGTAATAAATAAACGTGAGGTGATGAATAATTGATGAAGTCGAATCATACAATACAAGGTGCTTGTTGGAAGATCGTTGGACCAACGATGATTGGGATTTCATGTTCGTATTCTCAATAGTAATCATATGTACATATATATTTGTTTTTGTAAAAGAAAGTTACATTACGTGAAATTTTGAAACTTTCAAGATTTTATGGAATATTTTTCACATTTTAAATAAAGAGAAAGAATAATACAGTGGGGTATTTTAGCATATCGTGGAAGATATGAATGAATAGAGAATGTTGCAAAGGTGTAAAGAAACGACCGACCAAACCCACTTGTTCTCTCACGTCCTTTTTTTCATTTTTTAGACATTGTAATAGAAATAAATATTGATCAAAAACTAATTCTTTGCAACATATAGTTTCCATAAGTATTTTAAATGAAAAACTATGTTTTTTTTCTCTCTAAGATACAGCCTGGAAATTAAAATTTCTGAAAAGGATCAGTATTTGTTATTCGTTTCAAAAATATCATCGCTTATACTTTTTAAAAAATAAATATTTACTTGAATAAATCTGTTAATTTAAACGTATAATAAACTGGGCTACTCTGGGCTTTTATTGTATCAAGACACAAGCCCATAATTTAAGGATGTAGTCTTCAAACTTCCTATGGAAAGTTGTATTAAGTTACATAAGTTACATATGTCGGTTGGTTAACTTAAAAATTATGGTAAAATTGCCAGAAAGAGAGCCACTTGTTGAATTTGTAAAATCATAAATAGAAATTTACAGAAAATATGAACACAAATGCATTCCTCAAAACTCAAAAGCATCAATTTTTTCTCACTAACAGAGCCTTAGCCAGTGAACCCCCAAAGATCAAGATTCTGCCTCCGCGAAGGTAAACTGCTACATGATCTAATCTCGATGGTGGTGCTACTCCTACAAGCATTCCGCTACCGCTCACACACCTCCAACAAGGCTCCTCTCCACTTAAATTAAATCCATTGTGGAGAATCATTGAAGACTACATCCTTTGGGGTTTCGTTCAAGCGATGTCTCCAGAGTCCACAATGGATTTAATTTAAGTGGAGAGGAGCCTTGTTGGAGGTGTGTGAGCGGTAGCGGAATGCTTGTAGGAGTAGCACCACCACCGAGGTTGGATCATGTAGCAGTTTACCTTCGCGGAGGCAGAATCTTGATCTTTGGGGGTTCACTGGCTAAGGCTCTGTTAGTGAGAAAAAATTGATGCTTTTGAGTTTTGAGGAATGCATTTGTGTTCATATTTTCTGTAAATTTCTATTTATGATTTTACAAATTCAACAAGTGGCTCTCTTTCTGGCAATTTTACCATAATTTTTAAGTTAACCAACCGACATATGTAACTTATGTAACTTAATACAACTTTCCATAGGAAGTCTCCCTCTCGGTGGAAATTGGTTAAAACTTAAAAGTTAAAACCCTCTGATACAACCACCGTCCTCATTCGCACCACCACCATGTCAGAGCGCGACCGACGCGAACGAGAGAGGGATAGGGACCGTGACCGCGACCGGGATAGACGCCGAGATAGAGACGACCGTGACCGTGACCGCGACCGTGATCGAGACCGGGATAGAGATAGAGAGCGGGACCGTGAGCGAGGAATAAGGAGCAAAAAGTCCCGATCTCGGACTCCAGATCTCCACGCTCGTCCTCCTCGCCACGCGCGCTCTCCGGAGAGGTACCGGTCTCGTTCCCGCTCGATTGACCGTGACCGTGACCGTCATCGACACCACAGGCGCAGGACTCCCTCTCCCGATGCGTCGTCGCGGAAACGGCCTCGCCAGAGCTCAGTGGACGACGAAAAGGAAAGGAATCGCAAACGAGCTGCGTCCGATTCCGTCGACGAGATTGCCAAAGAGCCTGCTAAGACGAAGGATAAACAACCAAGCGGCGGAAACGAAGCTGATAATGGCGGCGGAGGCGGAGGCGATGCTGAGGATGGAACGGATGCTAATGAGATAGAGATGATGAAGATGTTAGGGATTCCAACTGGATTCGACTCGACGAAAGGCAAACCCGTTGAAGGTGCTGATGTGAGTGGGATTAGGGCTGTAACCAAGCGACAGCCGAGGCAGTACATGAACCGCCGTGGAGGATTTAACCGTCCTTTGCCGGCAGAGCGTAACCGCTAGTTTCCTCAAGGTTAGGCTTCTCACAAAGCTTCTCCAAGTTAATGCTTCTGTGATTATTGATATCTCCTTGGTTTTTGCAATTTTAGAGATACAAACTTGGTGATAATCGAACTGGAAGATTGGTTTAGCTGTTTGGTGTAGGTTGTAGTAGTATGATTGAATTAGCCAGGACTTGAGCTTTTAGACTTGTTGGCTGCATTGAAGATGAATTCATCAACATCTTTTCAGATAATGGAATTTAAGAACTCATCAGGTTCAGCATTTTGAATGTTCTCTTGCCGCATTACTCTACTCTGAGAATGTTCTCTTGCTTGTTTTCATGATTATTTGCTAGAATGTTGCCGTGATTCTTTGCATGTTTTCTCATTGATCACTTTTTCCTCACCAATTTCCCTATCCTTTGATCATATCTTGCAGATCCTTCTTACGATGTCTTGAACACCGAGTCAAAAGTTCGAGCTGTATTTCCCAGGTAGTATCTACTGCAGTTCTTCCCCAGACGCTGTTCTAATGTCCTTAGAGATACAAACATGTACTCTGAAATTTTAGAAACCGTTTTTTTCTAGATTTGTTAATGTTTTGTGTAATCTCCCGGCTGTAACTCTCAGATCATGATTCATTTGACATCAAGCCTGTTCATTTCGAGTTTTTTTTTTCACTGGACATGAGAAGTAAATTGGAGCTTGCGATACTAGCAAAATTTCATTCCAAAATATAGTAATGGTTTAGACTTTATAATATCAAACATATTGATAAAAAAAAAAAACGATTACGCAAGCGTTAATGCCAGAGCTTGAGGCAGATTCCACCAGGTCCAACACCAGTCGTTGATGTTCTCTTGCTCAGTATGCATTCTGAGAATGTATCCACGAGCTGTTGTCCCAAAGAGGACAGATCCTCTATAAACGTCTCAACAAAGAGCTTCACAACTCTAACTTCTCGGTGAGTAGCTCTCAAGCTGTACCATGTCAAAAACCTTTCCCTAAAACTCTTGTCTATATGACCACCTTCCTCCAAACACCTAATCGTCTTCACGATACGACCCAAGTCTTTGTCCACCACTCCTCCATTTGCTGCAATCATATCAGGTTTCTCTGTTCTTGATTTGGTGGATCTTTTGCTCCCTCCTTGCTTTCCCTTGAAAGTATCTCTCTTGCAGGGCGTTGCAACCACGTCACTGTTGACTTTCCTTTTCACGAGCCTCTCGTCTTCAAGCTCAGATTCTACTTCCCCTACACTACAGTGTTCAGTGTTGTCCTTGTCGTCACCATTTGCCTTGCAGCAGCTTTTACGGACGTTGTTAGATTCATCTTCTTCGGGCAAAGATGGAGTACTGCTAGAGTTTGTCAAAAGGCTTTGCCGGTTCCGAGCTTCATCTCCATCATCCTTCAACGTTGAGAAACAAAGCTCAGACTCCTCTAAGTCACTCTCCTCGTTAAAGGCCACGACTCTGAGACAGAACTCGGTCTCCGCTTCGAGTCCTTGTATGGTAGAACTCGTCTCCGGTAGATAAACAACACGATTCACCTGAGACGAGCACTCTCCTCCGTCCTTCTTCCTTCGACAAAACAATCTGAAACCTATGATGCTGTTTTCCGAAGAAGACAACTCCTCGGAGTCTAATCTCACAGTGACCGTTCTTGCTTGAATGCCTTCTACTCTCACGCTCTTCTTGTCACCTAACAAGAACTAAACTCAAGAAAACATCTTCGAAACTTCAAAACAAAAGTACATGCTGTGAACAGAAAGCTAACCTTGTCCTGAACCAGACTCCGATGATGATGGAACCAGTTTGTCCAGAGCTTCAATTGCCAGAGAACAAAGCTTCTGAACTTGTGATCCTGAAGATAATCTGTTTACGATACCTCGAGCCATCTTCATCGCCCAACCCGATAACGGACCCACATCACCTTCCAGCTTCCTCACCGCCTCATCCATGAGTTCCAACAGATTCCGATACTTCCTCGTTCCTTTCAACAGCTTCTGCGCTAAAGAAAGACGGTAACAAAGTACATCCACACGCCTAGTCTCTTTCGCCACCTTCACTTGTTTCCTCCAACATCTACAAGCACACACACACATATATATTATTACACTACATTCTCTTTTCATTCTATATCCAAGATTCATCATCATGCATATGAATAGATTCTTCTTCTTACCCGAGCAAATCATTATCTTTGCCGCAAAACATGCAATTGAACCTACCATCAAGACACGTTCCTGCTTCATCATTATCATCACTCCCAATCCCAAAACTCTCTTGCTTCAAACCACATTCCAAATGACAACACAGCCCACAAGCCTCACAAGCCAGCCATAGGCTCGGATCCTTGTTATCATCAAACTTTTGACAAATGGAGCAAGAACATCTTTTGCAGAAGGTGTCTCCCGTTCCGAGGGCAGCTCTACAAGCCAGATTCTCGCAGCAAATGACGTAACTGGTCGTCTTCTGTTTCCTCTTGGAGTTTCGTCGGTCAGAACAAGACGTCTCTCCGAGAGGACGAGACACGAGATTGAGTAGGTTTTCAATGAGTTTCGGTTTGGACAGACCAGTGTACTTCCTCTCTTTCCCCATCTCTGCACATATGATCTTCATTATCTCATTTCGGCTCCACGAGTTTAAAAGCTCCGAAGCTTCTTCTGGCTGCTTCGACAATGCGTGGATCAGTTCTCTCTTCTCACTTACATTAAAACGGTTTCGTTTCGGAGACTCCATGTATTCAACACCTGCAAAACACAAAGAACGTTCCTTTTTAACCCTAGAATCTCCTATCGCGAGAGAATACAATGCTGAATCGAGCAAAAAAGTGAATAAATATTTTGGGTGAATTTTTTTTTTTCAAAGTGTCAAACTTTATCGACGAAAGCTTTGAATCTCAACAACCCAGAAGCTAAATGTCCACAATGACGACGAATCCAATGCAAGAAATAAGCGTTTGTTCATATTCTAACTGTGGATTAACAAAAAACGACGTCGTCGTGTGTATGCCGACCTAAATGCATCAGATAAAACGCATGAAAAACAGTGAGAAGTAAACGACGTACACGTCGACAAAATATCGTACCTTGATACGAAGAACAATCCATGCCTTCTGGACCCACATTTCTATCAAAACGCCAGATCTTTGAGAGCTGCAGATCGGATTTCACACAAAAGAAGCAAACAAAAGTTCAATGATGTAAAGTTGCTTAAAAAGGAAAGATAAAAAAACCCATCACACAACAATCAGAGACAATAGACAACAAAATATTACAGAAACAGCTTTATCGAATAAATATTACTCACGATGCGGAAGAACAGAAGAGATCGGAAAAGGTTTGAGTTTTTTTTCGATTTCCTTAAATTAAATCTTTATAAGCAACCAGAGTGAAGCTCTCCTTCTCTTAAGAACATATATAATGCATATTTCTACGTATCGACGGAGATTAGAGGATGACTCGGTCTTCCAGCTCTATATAAGAACGAAGCATTTGTGAATTTTGTTGAATTAAAAAAATTAACTCATATGATAAATAAAATATATCTATATATATTTATAAATAAAAAGCGAGGATTGGTTCGTTGTGAAGCCTATTTCACCGAATGAATAGCTTCCAACAAAGCAAGAACAAGAAAAAAATAAAGATATTTACCGAAGCAGCTTGCATTTTTTCCTCTTGGTGTTCTTGGTTTTTTTTTTCTCTGGTTTTTTTCTTTCTAGGTTTTTTACAGATTTTTTTTGGGGATTCTTGTAAAAAAGAAACTCCTTGGGTTCTTCTGACCTCCTTTATTTTTTCTAGATGTTTCTAATCACAAACCCTCTGTTGAAGTTTCTGCTCAGAAAGCTTTTTTTTTTTTTTTCTGAAGTTCCTCAGAATTTGGTTTATTTATTTAAATGTTAAAACGAAACGAAAAGGTTGTAAATATCAAATATCTACACGTGCTTTCGAAGATATTATATATACACAAATGCTTTGATTTGACTGGTAACCAATGCTGGACTTATATTTATTCTTTTTTGACGATATATATATTATTATCCCCAAGATATTTATGGAAAACTTATAAGAGTATTTAAATCCAACCCATGCAATAAAAGAAGTGACTACTTGTCGAACGATCCGAGTCGGAATAGTGTAACAAAGTACAAGCTTGCAATTTTTTAAAGACCGATTTGAGTCGAAATAGTGTAACACACAATATGGAAATCCATTTCAGTATATATACAATGAAAATTCGAAAATGAAAATGGAACATAACAGAATGGGACGATAATTTAACCGACCTCTAGTTATCAATATAAATTACACATGTGTAACACAATTATTTTCATTCAAACCTTCTTAGCAAAACTTTTAACAAACCAAAAAAACAATCTCACTTCTCCCTACATCCCAAATTAATCATCTAATTGTACAGAAAATAATCAGCCATTAAACGTAAAACAGTTAAAACTTTTTGTGGATGGGGGCTATCACATGAAATCAAGAAGTCCAGTTAGAAAACTGAAAATACAATTTCACGAAAAAAGAAGAAGGAAAATTTGTATTTCATGAACCAACTGCGAACGATACAGATTTTCTTTGCTAAAGGTTAATATCAGTTTACTAACATATGCTACTGCCTTAATCTAACAAGTCAATTCACTAAAACTAGATCGATTATATTCTTTGAACAGCGAAAAAAAGATCGATTATATTCATTCTACAAATATACTAATATACTGTAGATGTTAATATTTTAACTTGCCCATACAGATAGATGGTCGGTCCAAAAACCGAGAAAGGTATTTGCCTACAATTTATAGCAGTAAATATCTTCCCATCTTTGTACTAAACTACCACTAATTAACGATAAACTAGACCAAAGCAAACTACATTGCTACAACAAATCGGATCGAGGTTGTTCAGAAAAAGAAAAAACACACACAAATCGGATCGAGTCAAACTAATTTCGGTTTGAGTTGAGCTAATGTTCTAGTAAAACCAAACTACTTGAATCAAACCCAACTCAAACAAAACCTAAAAGTAAACCTAAACTCCCACTCCTAATATAACTTATTAACAATAACAAAAAGAATAAACAATGATATACACATATATATATGTGTGGTATACCGTATACATACAAACGCATAGTGAAGAAAAGACAAATCATTTTCTTTGGGCCATTAAGACTTTTGGGTTTGGTCTAGATGTCTAATTTATGGTGGGTTTGAAGGAAACTCATGTCAAGAATATGGCCTTCCTCGAGAATAGTTGGTGCTGGCTTCTAGTTTCGACTGAATAGACTGTTAGAATATCAATCCAAATTATATATCGAAAACTTAGAGAAAGATAATCTTATAATAGTTCAAGGTCAACTTCAATTAGTATAAGATTTTTTGGAAATGAGCTTAACAATTTTGTGTGAGTTTGCCCATTTTATCTAAAGCCGACACAATATTGTGTAGAGTTGGAGTGGATTTGTAAAACCTTAATTGGTATCGAAACGAGATTTAGAAGATGTGGACTTGGAAAAACGAACATAGATTATACATGCTTGCTGTAGGAGGAGCACTTAATGTGATCACGATATTAAAGGGATGTTAGTGTTTTGTGTCGGAAATCATTCTAACTATGTGGAAAGTTTGATGAAGAGTTTATTATTATGATAGATTCATATTTCGTTGGAGAAAAGGCAAAGGTTTGTATGGTTTTTGCTATGAAGAGATTATTGTTGGGATATCGATCAAAATTCCACATAAAAAGATCGACAAAAGTACTAGTGAAATAGGAAGGATGTTGTTTACCGACTTTAGCCGATTGAAAAGGTGAATATTAGGGAGAAAGTGAAAAGACTGTACTTATAAAATAGGTTGTGTAGTTGTCGTAGTTTGTTGACTACTTCGTGGAGCGTCTTATCCATATATTTTTTTTTTTTTTTGAATGAATGTAAAATTTTATTCAACCAAAAAAAAACCTTTGTACAGAGCATTGTTTTGAAATTGGAGATTGAAAAGAAGAAGCAGAGAGGTCTGAAAATTGAGTTAACTTCTCACGAGAAGCTTATTGTCCCTAAGGTCTCGTAGCGAACCACCGCTGCATCCCCTCTTCGTAGGTGTGGTCCCCAAGAATACGAATGGAGCTAAGTCGATTGCGAATGTTTTTATCGATGAGTTTGATGAGTTGTGACGCTGGTATTGGAGGATCTCCGTGCCGACGGCTGTTTCGTTCTCTCCAGATATGGTAGAGTGCTTATCCATATTTGATGGACCCGGTATATTCATTTCCTTGATTAGTATTCAACATATATACATCACATTCTTAATGTAATTTTTTCGTCTGAAATACGGGCTTATATAAATTTGTATAGTCTTCAATTTATCACACATAGGCGAAGTAATAATTTTGAATTTCTATCTTGAGTAGCATTTTTTTTTAAATGTCAAAATAGTTGTTCAATATACATTATTTTCTAATATATTCCACTAATACATTTATTCAACTAGTAGACTTTTTAGAATGCGACATGTTTTTTTAATAAAGATGAGTCACTTGCTCACTTTTATGCTGACGCGACAAAAATTCACTTATTGTGAAGCCATGATCGTAATGACATATCTTATACCATGGCATCGAGTGTTTGAAACCAGTATTTATATGTGTTGTGTTAACATGTGAAACAATAATTTTCACCATCTTTTTTAAAGTATATCTCCGTTTGCGCTCGAGCCACGACGTTTACATCTAGAAATTAGAACTAACAAACAATTTTGTGGGATATTTGGGAAAATATACACGTTCATATAAAAATAAACACAAACGTAAATGCAAATCGGAGCCTAAAAGAAAGGGACCAGTTTAAAATATTATCCTAGAACATCTTAAATTTTATCCAAAAAGTGAACTTAGTTCTAACTTCTAACTACTTAAATAAAAGAAGTTGGTCTTTCTCGAGCACAATGACAACATTGAGTGAATGAACCGTATTTTTACCATAGTAACCCACATTTCAACAACCACACAACCATCCGAGAACTTTTATTTACTGCCAACTACTTGGTAAAGAAATATATCAGACATAATGCTCTACATTTGCATCAGAAGAAAACCGATGATGAAGGACTTAGTTATGGACCAACTCACTTACGAATATGTATAGACTTACAAATAGTAACGATGACAACCGTAATGAACAAACTCAAGTAAATTACGACACAGCTTTTCAAAGAGATGCTTTTTGGTCCACATTTGGTCGTGAAGCCTTTTAGCCTTTAGGTATCTGTATCTAACTAATATTCAGGTCGTATACATTACCCACTATAAGTCTATAATATTAGCATCAAATATAACAACTTAAGTATCTGAAATCCGTTGACCAAAAAAAAAGTATTGGGAATCCTTTGAATTATCTCCCTCTACATGCTAAGTGGTTCTATATTTGAGGCAGAGATCAGTTCGTTGAGTTTCAAATTTCAAAGCCACTTATGCCTATGGCTCCTCTGTAACGTAGAAAGATCCCAGTGCAGTTTCTTATCCGCTCACGTTGCAACGAATATATAAATAAAAAGAGTTTATAGCATTCATGCCATGCAGCCGACATACTATAAATTACCGAAGATGGTTTGTTTTTCATTTATTCACATATCGTTCCATCTTCAGTCATTCATATTGTCCACACACAAAAAAAATTGAAAACACCGAGTACTAAATAAAAAGTAAATAAAAGTTCTGAAAAGAGGAAAAGGAACCCATATGGCCATTAAACACAAAGAGTTAGTACTGTCAGATTCCGCTAAATTCTTTGGTCAGTAGACAAAACATAAAAGTGAAAAACTTAAAACTACTTAAATAATCTAAAGAGAAAATAACCAATTTCAAACAACCCTTTTTATTTGTTCCTACATTTTCTTTTCGTCTCCCTAAGACAAGTTCGAGAGCTCACTCCAATCCAAAAACCGGTGTCTGTAAAACAGAGAGGTTTGACTTTGCGGTTTGGTAAGAACTTGAAATGTTGTTGTTCATCCAGTTCATGTTCCCACCAAACCCTTCGTTACCGTTACCTATTGTCCCTGTCGAAGAAAGCGGAATTGCCGAGACAGGACTCGATGCAGAGGAATGACTGTTATACCCTTCTGCTTCGACAAAACCACCACCAAAGTTGTTTCCTCCGTCTTGCATCACCGGCATTAGAGCAAAACCTGGAGAAGGGTTGTGAAGATCGGACCCAAAGGTTGCTACTGGTCGGATCTCAGCTTTCTGGTTTGGCTGGAACCCGAAAACATTAGACCAGTAATGATCAGCCGGGTCTGGTTTGATCGGTATTCCAGTGTGGAAAAATGCTCCTCCGTGGTCATGGACCGGTGTTGCTACATTGAAGGTGAGCGACGGTGTGGTCAGTGACGGAGGCTCGGTTGGAGACTGATCAACGTTTTTGTCGGAAGCTACGGTTGCTGGCGACGGTTTAGGCATTAGTCCTCCCACGGGGAGATTACAAGTAGCGATGGATTTGACATCGTACCGGCTGATATCAAAGTTTGTTACCGCATTAAGTCCACGGAACTTAATCGCTGCTATATCATAAGCCTCTGCTGCCTCCTCTTGAGTGCCTAAAAGTTTAATATCCCACTGAGCGTTAAATCATTATTATAACAAATATTTAAATCTGGATTAATATAAAATATTGAAATAGGACTCACTAAATGTGCCAAGGTAAAGGTCTTTGTTCCCTGCGACTCTTCCGATTCGTGCCTGCCATCGACCATGCTGATGATGTCTGCATTGTTATTATAATAGCGTTTAAACATATCATTAGGAGCATGTAATAGATTGTTTCATGGAAGTAGATGAATTTGATGAATAAAAATCTACTGGTATAAAACCAAAAAAAAAAAAATCTACTGGTAAGAGTGTAAACGAACCTGGTGACACCTCTGTACATGGAGGCACCCCTAGAGAATCCACTGCTTTTCCTTTAGTAAAACAAATAAAAATGTATGTGATTTGGTTAGAAACGAATGTTATTTTCTAATAATTAAGAAAAACAGATCGCAGATAAAATTATTACCGTCTTAGAGAAGCAACGAACTCTTGTCGAGTCATGTGCTTCATCTCCTCAAGTTCAGATTCGTAATTTGATATCTAATTACAAGTGTTCCTCCGGAAATTAAAAACCAATAAACAAAAATCTTGAAAAGATTCTAACAAAAAAAAAAAAGAACAGGTTTACCGGGAAGTTAGTCGTGGTTGTAGGACCCCAATACTTGAGAGCTGCAAGATCGTAAGCTCTAGCTGCTTTGTCTTCCTTGTCATAACCACCTGAACAAAACAAATAATATATCTCAAATTTATACTGAACTTTAAATTTGAATGAAAATGATAACGTTTCATAGGAGAATTAAATTGACAAGGAGTATATATAGTGATGATGAACTAAATTGTTTGGGAGAATTTATTGGTACTCACCTAAATAAACTGCAGACCAATTAAAATCATTATAAATTTCAGATCGTCCACGGTTGGGTAATGATTTCACGTCACAGAGCCAAAACAACAACATAAAAAGCGACGTTAGATTTTGGCCATGACCACCTCATAAGTAAAAAGTGAAAAACAAAAGTGAAAAGAAGGCGCATTATAGTAAGACATAAACTTGATATCACTAACACGCGCATTATAAGACAAAAGTGTACCTTGTCTTCCTTTTCTGCTTTGACCTTCTCTTCGGCAACTATTATCCCATAGATGAGCTTCGTATCTTCCAGTCCATCTATGCCTGTTCAATTGTAGTAATCTATATTGTCACTTAAGAAAAACACATGCAATTACAACATATAGACACATGCAATTACGTACCAAAATTGTTATACTATTGTCTGAATATTTGTAAGTATGTGATTCATTGATTAAACGCACCTTGTGACACCTCTATATATTGAAGTGCGTTGACCGAAGCTCTCTACATTCTTCTTTGGAGGCGAAACTTCTGGGACAACTAGAGGGTTATGTTGTAGCTTTTGTCCGCTACAGACTTCGGATGAGTGTCCACCGGAGTAGTTTCCGAGGAAGCTAGCGGCTATTGATTTAAGCTCAGAGTCATAGATCTCAGCGGCGGACGGAGGATGAGTTGGTGTTTGAAGGTCGGAAGAGAAGACAACGCCGCCGAGAGATTGCACTTGTTGCATTGGTCTTGTTGTCGTCGTGGTCGTTGTGGCTCCGCCGCCGAGAAAATTTTCGAGTTTTGGACCGCCGGGGTAATTGGAAAGAACTGCCGTCGCATCGTCGGTGGAAACTCCGGGTGACTCATCTTGTCGTTGGACTGAAAATTTGGATCATAAACGAGGGTATTGTTGTAAATAATGTTTACTCTAGAGGAAACAGTATCTAGTGAAAGATTCTATGGGAATAAATATCTATTAATTTGTTTTCCTTTTTTTAAGTAGATCTAATACAGATTAGATTTGGAGGAATACTCTGGAGGAATGATTAGATTAGATTTGACTAGTTCAAAATACAGAACAATTAAGGTAAAAAGGATAAATAAAAGCAATGAGTTAAATACGCAACTAAAATCCGAATAAGCAAAAGTTTAATTAAACCAAATTGGGTAAGAAACTAGTCTAAGTGCAACAGAACACAAAGTTGGTCTGTCTAAATTCATACAATCTTTAAAAAGAGAAAACACGAACTAAACCCTAATTAGATGAAAGATAGAGAGTGAGCGAGAGAGGACCTGGGGATGTGGAGAAAGCTTGGAAGAGAGAAAGGTGTGAAGGGTGAGGATGATGATGATCTGATGTGGAGGAAGTGAGATTAGGGTTTGAGGAGGAAGAGTTAAAGTTGGTGTTGTTGGAGAGAGAAAAGGAGAGCCAGTTCTGGTGGGAAGAAGATGAAGAAGAAGGAGACAAAGAAGAATCATAGCTAGAAGAAGAAGAAGATTTGTTGTTATTGTTCTTCATCTTTGGGAATAGGGTATTTTTCTTTCTTTGGGGACTCGTGAAGTCTTTTGGATGTGAGATGAGAGAGAGAGAGAGAGGGATTTATCTCTGGTGATTTCACGACTTTGGAAATAGTGGAAGGTATCGTCTTTTAACTCTTACTCTAGGGTTTGAGAGATAGATAGAGAGAGAAAGAGAGAGGACACGACACAGATATAGAGGTCAAGATGAGAGAGACGAGTGAGGAAAATGCAATGAGAGAGAGAGAGTAGGAGCACGAGGGTCGAGACTCTGTAGTCTATATTTTGAAGCTAAAATAAAATTATTTTGGTTAGAAAATCACATGCAGAGACCACGTATCATAATAAACAATTAGAATGTCGGATGTGTATAATACATATACAATAAGCTAATGATAGATTATAATTTACTAGTTAAAGTATTAACAAAAAAAATTACTTATTCTGACCACTACATAGTCTACATTCCCACAATTTATCAAAGTTGGTGTGAGATTTTTATTTTAGGCTGCTACCATCACAAAGTCATCTTTTATGCATAATGTAATGATGGAAATTAAAATGTTTTAAGAAAAAAACAGTAAAAATCAAAGAAAATAGTAAGAGGCAAAGAGAGAGAAAGGAAGACAGCAAAAGGGCAAGTGGAAGCTTTTGATGGGACGAACTGGGCGGCGACTGATCTCACGTCACTTTCTTTTCATTTATTTTGATAATTTTTATTATTTTTTCATTATATTTAATGTCTATTTGTTTTGTTTCTTGTGACGTGGTAGGACGAACGGTCTACGTATTAACATACACATACGGTTAATGTTTATTGAGAAAAATATAATATTTTACATATTAATAAAAGGGTGAATTAGGTGTATAGGTATATTGAGAGTCCAAATTAAGCTTATAGCCATATGAAAATCAAAATTAAAAAAGTAACCAATTGTATTGTTTCTGGACGAAAATGCCCCTGCAGAGAGAAGATATGATCTATGTATACAGTATACTATACTATATATATGACACATATGGAATAGTATTGGAGTAGGTGTTTCTATCAGCTGAGTTCGAGCGATTGATCACACACACATCAAAACCAAAAGAAAAAAATAATAGAATGGGGGTCGAAACATTTATAAGACAATCTATGATCACACTTGAAATTGCCACAAAGTAGTTCATCATTATCCCATTACAGGTGTTTCTAAGATTTTAAATAACCGTGAATCGAGTTGATAGAATCAAATAATGTATGGAAACTAATTATTATAATTTGTTAAACATAAAGGTTTTGGTTAATCTCGGTGTTGTTGATGATGGAATCAAATCATATCGAATCAAAAATTATGGGAGACTGGGAAGAGTTTTCGCGAGAGAGGGTTCAAGATCGCGGCGCCGGCGGCGGCAAGGAATCCGAGGAAAGAAACGGTTCATGCTCTGAAATCTGAAACCATGGCTCTTTGTTCTACTGTCCGGTGATATTTTAATCGCAAATTAATATTGGGAATGTGTGAAAGACAGAGATCGGCTGTTAGTTTTTTACCGATCATGTTTTCAAAAACAGAAACAAAAGTTATAAAAGAACAAAGAGAGAAAGTGACGAGGGCAAATTTGCCATTAATACATAATTTATAAACTATATCCTAGCCACACACTTATTATGGCTATTCACTTAATTTCACTTTTTTTTATTGTTATTCATTCATATTTCCCTTAATAAAATGTGTGCAAGTTGAGAAGCACTTCCAAAATAGAATTCAGATGTTATTTATTTACAAACGGAGCATTATTACTGTCGTCTACAGATCTATTTTCGTAAATGCATTCTTAAGAAGCCAAGTTATAATTTATAAAGCAACGAATTATATTAAAGGATAAATTAGCTGTTTGTTGATTTACTAAAAGGAAAACCAAAACCAGTAATCTCAATTAAGAGTCTGATTGATCACCTTCGCTCGTTAATGTCGATGTGGATTAGCAATCTTAAAATTTTGTTGATAGTTTTGAAAATTTGGATTGTGGTGCAAAGGAAGTGGAATAATTGGAGATGGTCCAAAAAGGTGACGCGTGTCTCCTCTGTTCTGTACCCAATTATTACAAATTTTGGCCAATTTCCTAATCTTTTTCGTCATTCTTTGACCACTCCAATACCATTTGATATTTTTGATTTTCCATCTCTTTTCTAAAACTATTTATTTCTTTAAATTTTCCATATCTTTTTACTATTTATTTCATTAAATTGGAGTATAATTTAGTCTCTTTATAAGAAAATTAAAATGTACACAAAAGTAAAAGCGAAAAAGTATATGGAGACTGTTCGTATCAAATATTTGGCGCCATTTTCATCCTTTTGGTTACCACCTGCTTTCTTCTTTTCAGTCGTAATGTAATATTGTTAGCATTTCGATGATACGTATATGTCAAAGTTTAGGAAATTTCCATTATAGTATTAAGACAAATTACATCAAAATCGTTACCTTGCTTACCTTTGTGTATGTGAGATCTGCTAGAACCGTTTAAGCCTTTTTAGAAAGAAATTATTTACATGTGAAGATAAATAGATTAGGTTTATGTGGTAACGGCGAGCACATGGTTTCATGTAAACCGCCCACACGTGTCATCCATATGCACACGTGTCTTCTGCATGCTGCGTTATCCCATTGTCTATCTCTTCACCCTGCACCATTATCGTGTTTTTCTTAGCAATTATATGTTTCCTTCCAATTATTGTTTTCAACGTTTTATACATAAGGAAAAAGTGTAAAAACAATATGTTCTGTTAGTGTCCGTATACAATGATATTTGCAAATTGCTTGTTTTAGATCATTGACATAATAAAACTCACTATAGTCACATATTCACATATTTACTTGGATTCGGATATTGATGCACATACACTAGATCGGTTAATATATGGTTAATATATGCATTAACGGTACTCAAGTTCCATTAGTATATTCATATATGCGTTTAGTTATTGTGATTGTAGAATTGCAGCAATTTAAATCTCTAATGGTGAAGACTTTGAAATGTATATATATGCCAGCTTTGGAAGCACGTACCAGGTGATGTCATAAATTCGGTGAATCACGTGTTAATAATTAGCCTTTTCCTTTCATATATTAGCCTGATATAGAAAAAAATACATCACTATCTTGTTCTATTATCTCATAGTAGTATATGCCTGCCTTTTCCACTGAAAGCGGTTAAAAGGAAGAAATATCTAATGAATTGTGCGGTCAGAGAATGTGAAACCACAAGTTTATTATTAAAAAAAAAATGAAGGACAGAAATTTCATATATATATATAAGGACTAAGTAATTATTTTTCTGCACATTTGCACCGCAAAAAAAACTAACTTGATTAAAAAGAGATTCCGAAAAAAGAGGGTCACGGTGGATCGATTGAAAGTGGAGGCATCAAAACCGGAGTGGGCGTAGTTTACTTTTGGACTAAGCCATCTCACCTTATGTTAACTTATTATTTGTTCTTTCACGAATTTGTTTTAATTCAAATGCAAGATAGAGGGAACGAATTTTATAAACCAAGTATGTGATGATTCAACAATCAATCATCAAACTGAGCTTAAATTCTAGTTTCCATTTGATATCTAATCTCTGTACTCATAATCTTTTTTGCACAGATAGTCGGAGATGCAAATACTAAACTGATCATGTACAAATGAGTTCATGATATTACATATATACTGGAGTACATGTTAAGGTCTCAAATGACGCTAGAAGCCTGTGCATTTTTAGCATAAAGTTTATTTATTTCCCGTAATTTTAGATAATTAGCAGAAAAAAATTGTGATAATTTTTTTTTTTTTTCAGTTTCTGATAGTTTTAAAACCAAAAAAATTGGAAGGAAAAAAAGGTATACAGGAGTCGGGGTGTGACAAAAGCAATTAAAATGCCGAAAGTTCACTGATAAAAAAGAAACTGAAGAAAGAGACAAACTTTTATGCCAAAGAGTTTGGCGCCGAAATATACTTTTTATCTTATTATCATATGTTTCTAAATTTTATCAGTTAAATTAAATTTGTAGAAACAATTCAATACTAAATTCAAGCAGTTCAAAATATAACAAATTTAATAAAACAATAAATTTTTAAACTTCCATCTATCTATATAGTCTTACTTATATTACAAAATAATCTTTATATTATTAATTGAGAAGTACATTCTAATGTTTGGATACAAGAATTAGAGAAACATCTATTTGGATAGAAGAATAAATGGAAACAAAAGTTGTTTGGATATAAGAATAAGAGAAAAATCTATTTGGATAGAAGAATAAATGGAAAAAATTGTTTGGATACAAGAATAATAACTTAAAATAAACCGATGGTTTAGAAAACTTCCGTTTTCCATCTCTTAAAAATCTGCAAAAAAAAAACTTAACATAATCTAACGATAATTCCAAATCAATAGAATATGCTTTTTGGATTTTCGGGTTTTTATAGACAAGTTCGGGTTTGGGTGAAAATCTGAGACATAATTTTATAGAGATATAGAAATTGTTCGGGTTTCTTTGAAAATTTCTGTTCGGGTTAGGTTCAATTTTTTTTTTCAGTTTAGGGTTTTCCGGATTTTTTAGATTTCTGGTTTTCGGGTTTAGATATATTAAAAAAATTGAGTATTTTAAAATTTTGATTAGGTATTGGGGTCGGGTTCCGGGTGAAAAAGTTTCCAGATTTTTTTTGTTCAGTCAGGGTTTTCGGGATTTTTTTGATTTCGGATTTTCATGTTTAGACCTATTAAAAAAGTTTGGGTTTTTAAATTTTTTGATTAGGTTTTTTGTCGGGTTCGGATTTAGGGTTTAAATTTTCTACACAAAACAACAACGTCACACCGCACAAACGTGCGGGTACTCTACTAGTATTGTAATATACTGTAGAAAATAACTAAATATGTAGCTAATCTAATAGTCAAAATATGGAAAAACAAAATTGATAGACTCATAGATTGATAAAAAGCTTCGGGTTTTGAATAACTACAGCAAATTCTTCCCCACGTACCCTTCGCTATACTACTATTTTGCTATAATGGCAAATTATGAATTATCGCATGACACTTTCACTTTTTCCTTTTGATAAAAAACAGTTTATACTTAAACACACAACACGTTCAGTTTTGTCTTTTTTGACTCAATAATATTTTTATAATACATTCAGTTTTGCTGCTTATTGGACAATAAAATAGGCGTTTGTTTTATTTTGTTTATTTGAAATAGGAGTTCGTTCACAAAAAAAAAAAAAAAAATGACAAAACAATTTGATAGAAGAATATCCGACGGCCATTATCATGTATGTTTGGTCCACCGTATCACGACATGGATGAGCCGATGCAAATAAAAAAACGCTACAGCGTTCAGTAGTCGATAAATATTACCCCGTACATCTATTTGTTTCTAATAACCAGCTGATCGAGAAGCTTAAGTTTTTTTTCCACAATTATAAGCTTATTTATACATTAATAAATTGAACGTTTTGCTACTCATAAAGTACTTCCAAAGTATCACTGTGAGAAGCGTAGAAATATCTTTTGTATTTAAGTCCTCTTGTGATTGTCTTTGAGAAAAAAAAAAAACGAAACAGAAGAAGGAAATGCAAGATATTTTCTGGATAAAGTGAAAAACAAAAACGAGGACAAACAAAATACATTTGTAATGAAATTTATAGCAATTATTACACACAAAAAAAAATTTATAGCAATTATTACTGATTTTAATGATTTACAAAGCGAGGAGCTGCCACATCACCCATCCATACTTGAATCCGCCCAACTAGAGATCTACATGGGCCTAAATATTAAATAACCGGCCCATTTTTATAATACCAGTAGATTCAATATCAACGTTCCTCGCCAAGACTCCAAGATTGAGAATACGTACAAATTGCTCATCTACGTGTTCGTCGTCTACTCGTCTGTGGTCCAAGATAACACACTGATGGTCCAAATAAGATTAGGGTTACTATCTATAAACTGCATAAACACTGATTCGTCTTTATTTTACATTGTATACGTTAGCAACGAAAAACAAAGACGAATCAAATCACACTACAGCCCAAAAGACATATCTGCAACAAGTATAAGTGTATAACACACAACAGACGAGTGTCGATACCGAATCTGAATTCGTTTATACAGAAGAAATAGACGTTTTTATATTACTTTATAAACCTTTTCTTACATCGTATGTTTAGTATGCATGTAACATGTAAATTTCAAACATGCGTAACTATTGAACTGAAATATAGGAAGCATGTAGAAGAAAATAAATGTAATAACTTGAATGATGTAAAAAGCTAATATTAAGCAGTTCATGTTCACCCATCAAGTAAACATAAAAAAAAATTTGCTAAACATAATTTAAAATTTTGAAAGAGAAAATTACGCAGACGTAGTACAATATGAATGTTAATACAATAAAGTCTGATAATCGTAAACGTAGTCTATCTAATACTAATTTGGTACAAGACGATAAATTAAGAGAAGAACTTTAACGAAAGCCGGTGTGATTGTTCCTTAAGGTCCGAGATGGAAAACCGCCAAACCATTGACGTTGTGAAGCTTTTATCAATCTCCGATCTTTTGAGGAAGATGACGACGAAGAAGAAGAGCTCGACCTGCAATCCTCAGGCTCTTCAAATCTCCCCAATTCACCACAAGAATTAGACTCACCGTCACGAGCAATTTTATAACCTGATATAAGAGAATTTAACTTTTTGAAACATTTGTCTATAAAAGAAAATAACAATAACATAGGTTATACTAGTAAAAGTAACTTACATTATGATTTGCATAAGGACGTTAGATGTCCAATTTGTATGCAAAGACTAATGAAAAAAATACAGTGATTTCGCAGTTTAAATAGATTAATGAAAAAATGCGACCAAATGTTTTTTTTTCATGAGTACGCTTTAACATTTTGTTCGTCACAATTCCTTCATGTTATATTTCTATCAATAAAAAAAAAACCTAAAATAAATCATAAACATTTTATTTGTACTTGATCGGGAGATAAATATCGCCAGTGAATTCTCCATAGAAAATAATACTAACCAATATATGAAAAAATTTCATGAACGTATCGCTTAATTACCTCTACTAAGCATGCTTTGGCTCGACGATCTAGAGAAATATCGCTTACGAATATTCTTCCATTTCCAAAGCTTAAGATTCGCCGGAATAAGAGAATGTTTATTAGATTCTCCGACGACGGATATTGAGGGTTTAGGGAGGCTAAGGCTCAGAGTCGCCGGAGGAGGTGTAATCGGACGAACAATCTCTTCCTGCGGAGGATTGATCGGAGTTCCCGGCTGCATCTCCCACTTGAAAGGAACTCCGTTGTCGAGACTCCGATGAAAATAATAGAAGACTCGAGTAGAAATTCCGACCGATGAGTTTCTTGAGATCTCTGAGTCTCTCTTGCATAGATCATCTTCCTTCAGCAATAATGAAGCTTTTGGTGTTGGAGTTGTGTTCTCCTGTTTCATCATGACGATGTTCGTTTCTAGAGAGAGAAGACAGAGGGAAGATGTGTGAGATTTATGGAGATGATATTATTGATATACAATGCACGTAAGCATGTGTATATATATGGAAAGTGAGATTCTTGCCCGATAAAATGGGCGTAAGAATGGATATAAATTGATCTTAATATTCGCAGAGTTGACAAATGTGAATCTTAGACGCATATATTACATGTAACAAGTTCAATTATAAAGTATTATCAGTATAATACTATAATAGTTTAAGAGTTTGACTTTGGTGATTCAGTTGCTTACTTGCTTTGTGCATAGGCAATTATGTAACTGAAATTAATTCAATAAAAATAGTTTGTAGTCTAGAGGTTTCAACATCGATTTAGTCGAAGGATAAGACTTATTTTCATTTGCATATTTGGTTGTTGCAAGCATTTACATAGCAAAATCCGATATTTATTCTAAACTACGATTACAGAAACTCAATTATCCAAAAGTAGTAGGGAATAAACCATAAGGATCAATAACATCGATTGTATATCGTTTCCCACCGAGGTAATAAATACGGCGGTAAATTTTTTCGTAAAGAAAGTTTTTTTTCATTTTGGAACCATTCATAGAAAGAAAAAAAAAGCTATCCAAAGAAAATATTTGGTTTCCTTAAATACATGTAGCTAGATATTAAAATCTATGTTTACTTTAATAAGAAGCGCACGTTAATGTAGTCCACGTTAATATAGTCCAAGGACGGTTGAATTGAATTCATATGCGCATGTGAGGCAGTGACCAATTCCTTGAGAGACGCCAACCTTTGCGTACTCCTCAAATTCATAGCGTTGGATCTTAAACTCTCTTTTTGTATGCATCATTGCACCTATCACGCAAAGACATTAATTAAAGCCATTTTCACGATAATAGACAAACTATTTCTAGTGTAAAACAAGTTTATACGAAATTACGATAATTACGAAATTTATACCACGCAACCGATAAGGTTCTGTTAACGGAATATAACTACAGCAAGAACTTGTTATGGTTGCAAGAAATGGCTGGTATTCAGTGAACCTGTACTACGTTGGTTTAATATTCTTTCTTAGCTAATATTACGCTGGTTTCTTTTAAAGCTCATGTTCTCTGTTCCAAAGGTCCAACCAAACCAATCAAGAAAGAAGAACATAATAAAATCTTGTATGGTTTCAAAGTGATTTGATTGGTTTGGTTGGACCTTTGGAACAGAGAACATGGTCTCTGTAGGACTGTGTGATTACTGATTAGTAGATTTTATAATATAACAGAGACTAGTAATCTTGAATTTTTTTCTTTGACACCAAAGAAAACCAATATCGAGCCTTGATTTGTCGCACAAACCGATATATAATCTCGCATTATTGAGAAGTAGAGCCTTTTTCTCGTTGCACTTGGCATCTATTTGCAGTTTTTTTTTATCACCAGAGGACCAACACTTAAACCACATTGCTACTGATCTGACTTGTCAACTCGAAAATCAAAACAAATATCATTGAGCTTTGATCTTGTTGTACCACACTAGCCTCGAACATATATTAATAAGATTTCGATATCCCAAGGAGACAAGGATCTTCCATTACACAACTGAAAGTTGAATATACATAACTTTGACATTCTAGGAGAGGTTTTGGTGATGGTGAATACTCTACTAAGACTAAACTTTTGCAGCATAACTTCACTTGAATCCATAAATCTTGAGTTCCAACATGTTCATTTTCCCTGTGGATACAATATACACATACAAGCAAGAATACACATTAAGCAACAGTCTAATTTTGTAAACCAAAAGCGATGTAGAAACCTCCAAAAACCTTTTAAGAAGAAATAACGTAAAGGAGATTTGAAAGAGAGAAGTCAAAAATTATACCTCAGCTGCTGATGGAAGAGCAGATTCCCTGCAACAAGTTTGGTTTTCGTTAATTGTTTCGCACAATCATATCCGTGCTTATGCCAAAATTACAGAATTACATACCTTCGCTTCTCTGATTTTGGGAGATGTTTTGACATTATGCACTCCTGCAATAGATTTGGATATTATCATATATCTTGTCAAATTCTAAACAGAAGCCAAAGACATCCCGAAACAACATAAATGTAGGAAGAAAACAGAGGTAAAAACAAAAATACCTGTTCTTGGATTATGCTTCTTGCTTCAACGAGCTGAGCTTCAAGTTCAAGCTCTCTCTCTGTTGCTTCAGAGGTAACAGATGCTCCTTTAGGTGCATCTTGTAACTGGACCATCCGTTCCTTTATTTTTTATATAAATAAGAAGAAACAGCAAAAAATGTTAACCAACGGATAAAAGATGGATTTTTGCGTAAACGCAAACTGTTGATGATAAAAACCTTTATGGAAGCCATCTTAGTGCGCAAACTTTCTTCTATCTGACCTCTAGCCATACGGAAAGGTAGATCAAACACGTCCTGTGTAATAACTAGTTAGATACTGAGCAATCAATCTACTAACTATGATTATCGATACAAAACATTTGATTATCTAAGGTTTACGCATACCGTCTTCCCACCGAGTGGAGATTGTGAAGGATCAGCCTCACGTTTATAATTGCCAGCCAATGAAGGATTAGCTGACCCGTTTGGAGCATTTAAGAAATCACGCATATCCGTCTGCGATGGAACAAAGAGAAAACTTTGCTTATGAATACACATGTCAATCTACCTTCTGCCACAGTTAAACAATGTGTGAAGAAAGAGCTTACCTGCATGGATCGAAGCAATGCTCTAAGATTAGTGTTCTCAGCCATTAATTCTTGGTTTTTCGCTTCGTATGCATCCACCTGCAGGGATGATATTAATCAGAGAAATGCCTTTTGAAACTCTGCATAATGTGAATGTTTTGTTGTAGTTAAGACTCGTACTATCTTTTTGTAGAAGTCAGTATCAGTCTTCTTGCCATTCCAGGTCCCACGCTGCCTCCCTTCTTTCTGTTTAAGTACATCAGATTATCAGTCAAGTGGAAAGTTCCACATTCATCACGAATGATTGCATTATTTAAAATTCAAGAAGCTGGTAAAGGACCTGTAGCAAATTCATAATCTCCATTCCTGATTTTGATTCTTTCTTTTTCTCCATTAACACTTGATTCAACCGCTCCTGCAAGAGAATAAAAGAAGAAGAAGTTAGCGTTCATGATGCAGAATCAAACAGGATACAGCTCTTCAAGGATATAAGAAACACAACCTGCAACTTTATGTAATCCTTTTCCTTTTTCTTCATTTCATGTATCTGTTGAGCTTTGACTTGCTATTCAGAGATTAGAGAGACAAAAAATGCAGACAATCCATCAGTACAATTTCCTCAAGATGAAGAAGTTTATCAGAGCAGCATAGCCATAAACTATCAGACCTGGTTACCAATCACCATCCTTTGAAACTCATCCCTCTCCTGCTGTAGCTTTTCAATCTGTGACTTCAAAGCTGCTGTGTTTTTTGCTTCCTGTTTCAAAAAGTTTATTTCGTCAATCCACAGTCTAAGCAAAAACTCCATTTCAGCTGAAACTTGACAAGACTCACTGTTCGAGTAATCGTTGCAATTTCCCTGTCCTTCTGTTGGAGTAGCGCTTCAAGCCTCTCAACTTTAGCTTCGAGTCTAGTTATATCCGATTGTTGTCTACACACAGTAAGCGAATGCAAATAAACCATAAGAAAACCCTTCAGCAAATCAGAGTAGAAATGCTCAAACATCCAACTAGATTAAAGCAAGTTTTTTTAGCCAATGCACTACATTATATAAGTAAACAGTGACTCATATCAAGTGGCTTTCAACGAAAATTATAGCCAAGCTCCAGACCAATTGTCAATCCTCTAAGTACGATTCAATAGCCAATTGAAAGAAGGAAGAACAAAAAAATTCACCTCTGCCTCTGCTCGTTAGCAGATTCTCTAAACTCTAAGTCACGCTGTCGCTGCTGGAGCAACGTGTACATGCAATTGCAGGTCCTTGAGATGGAAACCTAATCAACAAAAGCCTAATCAAAGCCCAGAATCGTCCCCAAAATTTTCAGGGTTAAGAGGAATCAAAAATAAAACCCACCGGATCATTCGAAAAGAGATCGAGCGAGGCGGGAAATCCAAATGTAACCATCGTCTGATTCAGGTACTTTGTACAATGCTCCAAATTATCCACATTTGCGAACGTGTAATCCCTTCTCAAAGCCAAACAAAAAATAAGAAACCCTATCGATACTCATCATCGGATAATTAAAAACCCTAAGGGGGAAGAAGAAAACTAACCCGGTCGCAGACTGAGATAGAACCTGTGAAGCAGAAACCAGATAATCAATCATCGGAACTTGAATTTCGAGAGAAATATACAGAAAAACTCATCGGATAAAGAGTAATCTTACTTTGAGATCGAGCTCAGAATCAGTCGCCGGCATTTTCGTACGGCAACGAAAACTCCTCCTCTTCCGGGAAAACGACGGCGTGAATACACAAAACACACAATCAATTAGAGGAGCAGATCTAATCGAGCAGAGTGAGAGAGAGAGAGAGCGAAAACAAATTCAAAAATCAAAATGCTGAAACGGAATGTTTGTTTCTGGAGAAAAGAGCGAAAAAAGTTTTAAAACCTCTCTTTTTCCTCTTTGCTTTTAATTTCAGTAATAATCAAATGGATTTTTTTTGCATTCGGTGGTGATTCGGGTCCAGTGCGGACATACCCACTGGTTATAGTGCTCCTCAACGTGAATATGACGCGCCAACTTTTTTAGCACGAGATTCAGAACTCACCTTAAAAGTAATTAAGGAGAAACTTGGGTCCACACCGTTTATTGGGCCTCATAAGCGTAATAAACCTAAATGGGCCCAAATGATTTTCTGTTTTAGAGTTGTGCTAGTACAGAGATGAACATGACAAAATGATTATCATTGTTTCATTTGTTTGGTTAGAAACAGACCACAACAGCGGGCAATAGTATGATTGTTATTTAAAACTTTAATTATTATCGGGGAGTGAAATAAGCAAACATTAACGTATGTCTGTAGAATCGAAAAAACAAAAATCGAGACAAATTAATTAGCTGATATAAATAAAAATGAAATGTGTTAAACTAAGGAGATTCTTTGAAACCGAGGTAAAGTTTTAAACATTTCCTTGCCTCCCATGTCGGATCTTCGAGTCTTCTTCTTTGAATCCCAAGTTTAAAATTAAATGAATTTTGGACCTGATTGGTTGTGTCTGTAGCTTTTGATTTTTTTGCTGTAGAATTTAGGCTGTAGACTTTTTTGAATTTTTTGAATTAAGAAGAGAGAGAATTCTGAGAGCTCTTAAATTTGTGCTCTGAAAAATCTTCTCTGCAGAGCCAAAATATTTCCATATTTAAAATTATGTCTCTGAACTTAAGAAATGAAATCAAAGCATGATTGGTTTAATATTAGTGCTCTAGAAATAATTATTGCTCTGCAGAGCACTCAGAGCACTTACCAATCACGCCCTTTATATCTACACTTATCACCATGATTATTATAAAATGTTTGCTTCAAACCTAAGAAAATATGCTTCTTGTGCTTCGTCTTATGTCTTCTTGGGTTTGCTGAATTAGCTCATTCACCTCTTGCTTGTTGGATCCACCGTTATATTTCATTCACCAGACAAATAATATCCTAAGAAAATCAACGTTTCAGTACAATATATTAATGACTACGTAGTACGTACTGCTTGTTAACTATTCCTCCTACAAACATATAAATTCACATATTCAGTTTATCATAATCCGGCTTGTAAAAAGTGTGTGACGGTGAAAAAATAAGAAGTAGTCGTGTGTGTATGCCATGGATGTGTGAATTGATGTGTCTATGCATGTATACACATCTATGAGATTGATATGATGTGTTTTAATTATTGTTTTTATATTATACGTATGCTTGCTTGGTGCGTATCGGTAAGACAGTGTATTGTACTAGTATGGAAAAAGGAGATGACGTGGAGCTCCCGACCAGGCGCGAGTCAAGGAAGCGAGGCGTTCGGCGACGGCAGCGCGGTCGTCTCCGCAGCCCATGCGTTACAATTTACAAGATCTCTTTTTCTATACCTTTGCTTCAACATTTAATTACTCTTTAACTTTGGAGTCTTCTTGTGTATATTGACTCTTTGTAATATGTTTCTATGTTTTCCAACTTATATATGTTTTCCCGTCACCTTGCTTCTTGTCCACGTAAACCTCTCTAAGTATTTTTTTTTTAGTTTTCCATTTCAAAGATAATTCATACCATACATATGGCATCACATTATGAATACTGAGAAAAAGAATTATATTTTTCAAGAAAAAATGATGATATGAAAGTTACACCTTTGATGCTGTAAGGTCTCACTAAATTTTAAGCGAGAGAAATGTTATCGACAGTATTCTTAAACTTTTGGTCCGACAGTGATAGCTGTAACAATATCATTTAATACAAATGCGTCAGTGACAACATCTATACGTGAATCCAATAGATTGTTCATTCATTAACTAAATATTTAATTGACTGTTAATTGCGGATCCATTGTTTAACGGGGAAACCCAAAGAGAAGATGTACTTTAAAATTAAATAAAAAATTTAGGACAACAATGAAACAAAAATAATAAAAGACAACTTTTGCCACACTACGTACGCCTTCTCTCTATGACTCTATCTATTTATAAGTACATACATTCACTTCACCAGAATCTCTCATCAACACCAACTCAAACAAAGCCTCTCTCTCTCTCACACTCTCACATCTCTCTCTCTATAAGATATATAAAACACACGACCTCCATTGAGTTCCCTTTTCTCTCTAAGATACAAAAACCCTAAAGCCGTCATATGAATATGAATAGTTTCGAACCACAAAGCCAAGACTCTTTCAAAAGAAGGTTTCATCAAGACAAAACCACCACACAACAACCTCGTGATACTACGACAATATCAACACCTTTCATGCCCAAACCTGTTTCAAAAACCCATAATAGCAACTCTAGCTCCGGAGCCGCCGGGAGATTCCCAGGGTTTGGTCTCAACGTCGACGACGATCTAGTTTCATCTGTGGTTCCTCCGGTTACGGTAGTGCTCGAGGGACGCTCGATTTGCCAACGCATTAGCCTAGACAAGCACGGGAGTTATCAGAGCTTGGCTATGGCTTTGAGGCAAATGTTTGTCGATGGAGCTGATTTGACTTCGGAGACGGAAGATCTCGATCTGTCCAACGCCATTCCTGGCCATCTTATTGCTTATGAAGACATGGAGCACGATCTTCTTCTCGCTGGTGATCTTACTTGGAAGTAATATTCTTCTTTTAACTCCCAATGACCTCTTATTTTAACACTAATTTAATTATTACTTTATTTTGTTTGATATCGTACGCAGTCACCTCAAACTATTTTAAGCACTATAAATTTCCTACAAAACATAAATTTCACGTGTTAATTTTGTTCTTTTTTTTTTTTTTAATGTGGGAGGTTGGGAGCTCTGATATATAAATATTCAAAAATTGCATATATAGTAAACAAATTATAATATAATCAGAACCTTATGTAACACCATTTATAGCTAAAACATGGTTATGCTCGTACTACATATGTACTTGTGAGCGTTCATGCAAAAAAAACACAAACTCTTTCTTAAAAAACAAAGATTTCTCTCAATGTTTGGTTGACATAACCTTCTATGGTTGTATGATTTTTAAACAACTTTCTTCTCGTATATATATTTAAAGTTATATATGTGACAATGCAATATATAAATACGTGGAGGTTAATGAAGAAAATTGGTTTGTGAGGACACAGGGACTTTGTTCGTGTAGCCAAGAGAATTCGAATCTTGCCGGTGAAAGGGAACACAAGAAAGGTGTAGAAGAAACGAGTGAAGAGAAAATACCGTTTTGACAACGATGTCATTAAGATGTTTTGCCAACGATGTCGGTGACACCCAAAGTGCATTATTGTAAAACTACCATCGGGTTTGTTTGCTTCTTTGCTCACTTATCTTTGCACGTAATGAAACAACAAAAAAGTTATATGATCAATAATCTTGCAGAGAGAGTTACTTCTCCTTTTCTGTTTTTGTTAAAGGGCTTACTAACCACAACTAACAATACGAAATTCGAAAAGGATCCTATATGGATAAATAAAATCAATAGTTTGAAAACAATTAATTATGCGAAACAAAAGAAAAACACATAAATGACGAAGAACAGCATATTAAGTTTGAGGTTGTAAATGTCACAAGTTAGTGATGCGTCAACAAGGAAAATTCCAACCATAGAGAAGGAATCAATTGAGCTACCGACAAATAACAAACAAGAACAGGTAAGCCAATATGTTGGGACTTTGGCCCTTGAGAGTTGTTACAAATTTATTTTGTTCAAACGTTGAGGCCATTTTTTGTTTTGTCTCTCGTCATGTCATTACTTTAGTTTTCTACTTGTCTTCAATAGCCAAAAAACAAAAATCATAACCCTTGACGACATAAAACCTCATGGCCATGGCTTTGTCATGTAAACGCCAAAACAATATAATAAAGACAAACAATAAGCTTCTCACTGATTCATGATAACATTTCTTTATCATTAAGTACCTTGAAGAAAGCTTCGTATGGTTTAGTTTGAATCCTCGAATGGAGGCAAACCCCATTCTTCCGGTTTGAAATCGAGTAGAGAGGTCATGATTTGGTCTGCAACATCTTGGTGAGAGATATCTAGTCTAGGATCCGGCACCATCACCACGTTCCTATAAGAGATGAATCAAGAGGATTAAACCGTTTTTTTTCTTTGGTTGTAGATGAATCTGTATCGGTTTAATTGTCCCGGTTTTCGTCTGAAACTTTGGTTTACATGGGAGAGTTTAGAAACCACTTACATTCCGGCGTTTTTAGCAGCAAGAACTCCAGAAGGAGCATCTTCAAATACCAGAACCTTTTGTGGATCCACAGGACCGTCCTAAAGGAATCAAAGACGAAGAGATAACATTTAGTTTACATCTCATTTTAATGCTTGAAAACGAGGATTCAACCACATCACATGGTCTTATATATGTATTGGAGCATAAAGGAGTTTTGTTGTCTGTTATGTACCTTAAATCTCCTAGCTGCGGCGAGAAAGCCGTCTGGGGCAGGCTTTCCTTGCTTGACCTCTGGATCATCACCGCGAACTATGTGATGCATCAATGAGAAAAGCTCTTTGTGTCTTTGCGTTTTCAGCTCATAGTGACGTGTGTGAGTGCTGCAATAATCATACATTCCAAAGGTTAAAAAAAAAACTGTTTCTACATTGTAAACAAAAGAAGCTGAAAATGAATTTGCACACTGAACGAAACTCTAAGAGAAACAGATGTGCTGATGAATCAAAAAGAACATACCCTGTAGCAATACAAATTGGAATATTTTTCGCATGAAGATGCTTGATGAGTCGGCTAGCCCCTGAAATAGTGGAAAAAAATTGGTTCATGAAAGGGAGTATATAAGATATATTCCAACGATTCATAACTCACAGCTTAAATCCAGATGAAACAAATACAAAATGAAACTAAAGAAGAAGATGGAATCAATCAACAAAGACAGACTTATTTTCCATGAACGATAATGATTAAACGTAAAGGCAGTGACTTTTTTTGCCTATACATCTACCCACATCTAGCAAAAAATATGTAGACCACTGTGAATCATCATAATGTGTTACAGAAAGCAGAAATTGATTTGATTGATACCTGGCATTAGCTCACTAGTAGGGAAGAGGTCTTGCAACATTGCCTCCCTCTCGACAAGAAAATCCTCAGCGGAAAGAGAGTCACTGATCCCACTTTCTTCAACAAAGATCCTTGCAGCTTCTATAGCTTTCCTTCCCATCATCTTAGCCTTGAGAGACCAATCAAACGTTTTGTTGAATCTAGCAAGTATGATCTCCTGGACCTCTGTGTAAAACTTCTCTGTATCTGCAAATTTCAGAAATCCAAAATCGGCATCAAGTTGAGTTTCATTATCAAGTAAACTACTCAAACAAATCATTATCACGATATCGCTAGATTCGGAACAAAAACAAACTCTATAAAACCCGATCTAGTGGAAACTAAAAACTCACTCCTAATAACAGTAATCTAAATGATGACGATAATGCTTAATGCTACTCCGACGAAGCTCAGATGCAGCGAAATTTACCGAGAAGAAGACCGTCCATGTCGAATATGACGTGAGTGATTGATCCTCTTCCTCCGCCGGCGACGGCGACGGTAGCGGGAGTCGACATTAATACGATTCCGATGGATCTCTTCTGCGACGGAAGAATTTCAGAATTGAAAAAGCTAATTGGTTTCTAATTTGTTGGAGTGAGTGAGTTAGTTTTACCTTGGAGTGACGTTGAATATGACGTCCAGTCCTTGGAGGTGGACCGGGTCTTGTAATTGGGCCGGTTTACCTAGAAAGCAGATATTTCTTTTTTCTTGTTCTCACAAGGTAATTTGGCCGGTCACATAGAAAGCAGAATTGTTTACTTTCAAGAGATCTTTTGAACTTCAAATGTTGGTTTATATACAAGTTAGATGAAAGCATTTGTGTATGAAGACTTTTAATTTAAAATCCAAAGGCCAAGGACCAACAAACACTTCATCTTGTCGTATCTCAACTATTCTTCTAGCCTTTAGCCTTAGCCTGAATTTCTCATTACTGCTCTCGAACTGCGATTTCTGATTCCCAAAAACATCGTCTCCATTGACTCCTCCGTCATCTCTCTGCCATTCAATGAAACATATAGAAGAATCGAAGGGTTAAACATAGGAAGAGAGCTTTTGCTTTCACGTACCAAAAGAGAGGTTACTATTTTTTTCTTTTTTGACATCAATGTTGTTGACAAGGGAGTATTATTGAGAGGTTACTATTTAACTTGAGTTACACATAGGTCAAAGAAGACAAGGGAGTATTTTATTTGTGGCCCTCCTTAAGGTATGCATTAAATTTACATTATATGTTGTGAGTTTTTAGTCATTTTCTAGTTTCTTAGAATGATGAACTCTACCAGTTCAATAAGATATTACCACCAAATGTTCAGCAATTTACTCAAGAAAGGAAATCTGATGATGCAAAGGAAAGAAAACCAGAGAACAAAGTGGCATTGGGACTTAAAGATGAAAAATGCAGCCTTCCATTGCCAATAATTATCAAGATCATCAAAAGCCTGAGACTTCAAATTAAATTCAATTGGAATTTTAAAGAAAGCATTAGCGTGAGGAATTGTTCTTAGAATGTTTATCCGAAGAACTAAAGACATGGGCGAAATAATATTTCTATATTACATCTAGCTAAGAGGAGAAATCTGAAAGAACCTGGCTTTGCTGCAACCCATCTCTCAGATCCCTCTGCAATCTACATAAATAATGCACAAACACTCCAAGTTCTCGTGATGCTTAGAACAAAAAATTTATCCTGCATCGCACCAGAGATCACTTAAACTGAACCTTACAAATCCCCTCTTGCGTGATCATGAACTCGCAAGAAGTCGCAGGCAAATATGGTGAAAAAACAATGTCAAGCAGTCTCTGAGCTCTTCTGGACACAGAACTTGGACCGTTCTCATCATTTTCCCTTCTCTCTTTGCATATAGTATCATCACTCCGAGAGATGAAAAATCTCGAGTTCACACAATTGGCCCAAGCCAACCCCAAAGCAGGAACAACGCGTCTCCCAGAAGAACACATATACCTCAAATTCCCAATCCTCAACCCACTCAACCCATCAGAAGATTCCACAAAATCAGTGACCTGGTTCGTGATCACAACAGCCAAACCAAACTTATTCGCCAGCTGCTTCAACTTCCCTGATATCTTGAAAAACAAAGACGCTCTCTTCCTGAGATCAGACGGTGTGTTATCAAATTCCGATCTGAACAATGCCGCCACAGAATCAAGCACGATTAGCTTCAAAGGAAACCGATTTCTCGAATTACCCGCAAACGTATCTATCCTAGGCATTATGTCGAACAGGTGGTCTACAGAATGTACGTTTTGCACGAACACATGATCGCAAGGATTATCATTGTGATTCGCGTAGATACTAGGGTTTGATTGATGAAACGAGCGTGAAAGTTGATGGAGACGGCGAAACGGAAAAGGAAACTCGGAATGGAGATAAAGAGCAGAACCGTCGAGTCCGCCGAGTGAAATCGGAAGTTGGGCACAGAGCGAGAGCTGAAGGCAGAGCTGTGTTTTTCCGCAGCCGCTCTCCGCCACGATTTCCGTTAGAGAATCGCAGGGAAATCCGCCGCGAAGACATCCGTCGATGATTTCGCAGCCGGTGGTTAGCTTGTGGCTCGTCGGCGATTGTCGGACGAGACTCTGCGGCTTCATTTTCCAGATCTCGCATGTTACCGCCAAAAGCAATCGATTTTTCCAAAATTATAAGCGCCACGAAATTCAAAAAGACCTAACTCTATGAAACGGTACCGTTCAAATTAATAACTGGGCTTATATTTAAACCTTGAGTTAGGCCCAATAAGGTAAAAGTTTCGAATAATTGTAAAACGATGTCGTTCTGCTTCACAGCGAAGAATCTCTTCTCTTCCCTTTCGTTTTTCTTCATCGGCCATTTTCCTCAGATCTGATTGAATTTTTCTTTTACCATCGGACGATACTCTGAATGTTTGATCGTCGAGATTGAAAATTTGTGAGCTGTAGAATCTTCCGGATCGAATTAGGATCAGGATCATGTCGTGCTTAGCCCTAGCTCTGCAACCGGCAAATGGATCTGACATTTTACTCCAAACCAGAGAGTGGTTTCCGCCGGCAAGAGCCCTAATCGCTCTCTCGTATTTCCGTCAAACGCGCCTCGCATTCGCTTCCACGAAGCAGCAGCAGCAGCAGTCGAATCAGAAACAGAGTAAAGCTTCTTCTTCTTCTTCTTCCTCCTCCGCGGCGGATGCTGACGATGCCGCAGCGGCGGAATTCGTCGGTGACGATCCGCTAGCGGCTTCGAATGGACAGGTGATTGTTGGTGTTGAGAGCAAATACCGGGTGGTTTATCGGCTAGTGAACTCGATCTACATCCTTGGCGTCACCGTCGCGGATCACGACAATTCGATCAATGTCTTTGAGTGTATTCACATCGTGAATCAGGCTGTTAGCGTCATCGTCACCGCTTGCCGAGGAGTCGAGGTAACTCCGGAGAAGCTTGGACGGAAGTATGCGGAGGTTTACATGGCGCTCGACATCGTCTTGCGTGGTGTCAGCAACATCCGTCTCGCCGCGATGCTTGGTGCTATGCACGGAGATGGAATCGCGAAGATGGTTCACTCCGCTCTCGACACGGAGAATAAGATCCGAGGAGCAGACAGCTGGACGTCGGTGGAATCGCACGCCGCGGAGCATCAAGCTTCTATTCACGCGTTCTCCAATACGCGATTCGAATTGCCTCCAGAGACAATCGCCGCCGGTGACGAATTAGCGGCGAGTCTGGCCCCAGTGGTGCAAGAGTCAGAGCAATTGCTGGAAGAACCGGAGCCGGAGAACAAGGATCCTTTTGCGGCAAGTGAAACGATCAACAAGGAGAAAGAGCTCGTGGGTGGGTTCAAGAAGACCAAGGATCCTTCCTCAACGGACTTGACTTTGGCGTTGGCTGGACTCGAAGTGACGACATTGCCGCCAGCTGAAGCAACACAGTCCACGCACATCAACGTGGAAGGATTCGAAGGGCAATACGGTGGGATTGAGTTCAGCAACGAAGAGGCTACGATCGATGAAACTTTTGAATCATTTACTGATGCTTTTGGAGGTGGATTGGATGCTTCAGAGTTTATGGGGGCAAAGAAGATTCCAAAGAAGGAAGGACTCGGCGGGCTTGAGCTGTTACACACCAGCGATCCAAAGGCAGTGGAAGGCAAAGATGGAGCCGGAGGTAATCTCGATAACCTCGTTAAAAAGCCTGAGATGAAAGGTCCTGAAATGTATATCTCTGAGGAAATTAGAACCGAGTTTAGAGAATCCTTGCTTGCTAGAGTAGGACTAATGGGTGTGATATATCTGAAAACAATGCCACCGAAAGGCTCCGGTGAAGAGAAAGAAACCGAGTTCTCATTCCGTGTTGAAGGTACTAGCGCCGTTAAGCGGTTCGCTATGCAGAGTTCTCGGATCAGTAGCTTAGGGAACGGTTTGTTTCACGTTAGAACCGCTCCATCGGAAGAACCGATTCCTATCCTTAAGTATAGCTTGCAACCTAAGCTAACACCGTTGCCTCTGAGAGTGAGAATGGTGAAACGAACAAGCGGGACTTTACTCTCGCTGATGATACAATACGTGTCAAGCCCGGATTTACCTGAGCCTCTGAAAAACGTCGACTTTATACTGAAACTCCCGGTTGATCCAACTTTGCTTAAGGTTTCTCCCAAAGCGATACTAAACAGAACCGATCGAGAACTGAAATGGCAGATCCCGGAGATTCCTTTGAATGGGAGTCCGGGAAGACTAAGAGCGCGGATGCCTATCGATTCAGTGAACGGCGAGGAAGAGCCAGAGATCATCTGCTATGTGAAATTCTCGGTTCAGGGAAGTAGGTCTTTGTCTGGTATCAGTCTTCGTGCAGCTGCTGAGGGAAATACGGATTTCTATGAGGTAGATCACAGGTACGAAACAGGAGTCTATTTGTGCAATTGATAAAGTTTCTCTCAAAAAAGAGTTTTTCATTGTTTATAAAATTCTCTAATGTTTTTTGAGTTTGGCCCTTGTTGGAAGCCCTTAATTCTTTTCTTGTTTTGTGTCATGTAAGGTTTTTTGTACTTGTGTATCTTTGACGTCTCCTCATTGTTATGTTATCTGTTTTTATCGGATTTGGTTTTGAAAATTGATAATTGAGATTGAGATATGGAATACAATACTTGCTTTGTCAATTATACTCTTTTATCTTATATAAACTGTCAAGTGTTAACACACACAGCAAGAAGGTAAATACAAACGATTTTGAAATAGTTAATTTCATTACATTACAAAAACAAACACAAAATCTGGATTATGGCCAAAGTCGGAAGAAATGATGAATATTGATCGGTACATGAAGCAGTTGAAGGAAGAGTACGCTCCTCTAAACCATCCGGGTAATGCTTATTGAAAAGCTCTTCTGGTGCATTTATAACTCTTTTCTAGATTTATGCGATCCATTTAAGCTAAAAAAAACTTAGAGAACAAAATTTGAATTTGTTGCGGTAGAGGCAACAACCTCAATGAAATAATGAATTGTTGTCATTCTAAGAAACCAGTCATTGACTAGAATAATGCTTCGTTGATGGGCCTTAACCCCATTAATGATTCACAATTCTCTTCTTTCCAAAACATGTACAGCACATTTTGATGTAGCTTTACGATACATTCTAAAAAGTATAAGTGATCATTATTCAATGATACATAACATATAGACATTCTCATGCTTAACATATGATGATGCATAAAAATAGGCATACAATATTAATCTCGCACCATACCAGCCGAATCAAATCCATATAACATGTCACTCTTAGGTCAAATATCCACTATGACATTTCTTTATTCTAAAGTAATAATGTCATGTGGGTATTAAGCGCAAAGTACAATCTGTCCAAACTACGGTTTACATGAATAAGATATGAACAATAAGTCACATATTTGTGTCTTATTGTAGAGTGACATGTCTAGTGGCTAAGTTTATTAAAACGAATCAGTTGATTAGTAGTATAATTTATTTTAAAAACTAAAAGTAAGTATATAGCTGTGGGATCCTAAACACAAACCTCTAAAGTCTAAAGAGATGGAAAGAAAAAGAAATAAGATTTTGAGCAAATTGGCCTACCAAATCGTCAACTTTATGTCTTTAACACTTCACATTTTATATTTATAAACATATAACTCGAGTGTTGATTGACATATAAGAACGTATGTATAATATTATAATGCAAGGATGATTCTAAACCCAATACCTAATATATGAGTGAGTATATGACAGCTCTATTGTCACTACACAAAAGTACCAATTATAACAATCAAGTATTTATAAATGGCAAATACATGCTCTGCACGAAGGTTAGTTCGAGAAAGATGTCTGATTTTTAAAAGTTTTCAGTGTCGTCTTTCATGTGTATAAGTAGGAACTTAGAGTTTTCGGTATTAGAATAATCCATAGTTTGGTCCGTTTTGTTATTACATGAAAACCTCTAATAACTATTTATAATATTTTAGTAAGTGAGAGCGAGTGTTTGGATATTTCAAGCCAGAAGTTTTTAAACCGGCCATTTCAGATATTTGAATATTTCAAACCTCATTTGGAGTTTTCAAACGCTTAGAATTAGACCATAGACTTGCAAGGGATATTTTGGACCCATTATTTGAATTCAAATATTTAGACTTAGACCATAAACTTCCAAGAGAGATTTCTTGGACCGGATTATCTTTAGTAGTATTAGAATATACAACCATCGATATTTAAAAATACCTTAGATTTAAGCTACAGGTCGAGTTCTTCTACTAAGATTATGAAAGTTTTAAATGGCAAAAGAATATAATTTGTTTTCTAGTTATACATGATACACCAAAATAATGTGACTGTAAATGCAAAATGATACTTTGAATAATATACAATTATTGACTAACACATGTTATAGCTTGACTAATATCTGGTCCAGTATTATTTTACAAATTATTTACATATACAATGCTAATGGTACCCAATGATGTCGACTTTTTGCATTTCCCATTCCCCATTCCCCACATACAAAATCTTCATCAACCACTTGCCTTTTTAACCACCTTTCAAACCTTTTCTTTCATTTTCGTTTTGTTAAACTTTTACAATTCTCACATGTTCTTGTTCTGTCACTTTCACAGTTTCACTTTCATCTACTTCAACAACCAAAAGAAAAGAAAAGAAGAAGGAAAGATCACAACTTATACCATTTAATTCGTTCTACATTGTAAACTCAAGAAAACACATTTTAAATCTTCTCTAGTCTTTACAAATATTGTCCTCAAGCTCAATTTCTTCTTCATCAACATTATTACCCTCGTCTTCATTCTGACTATCTATAGCCCTCTTCTCTTCTTCCTCCACAATCTCCAACTCCGTCAAAATTCCACTTTGACCCCTCAACTTCCCATCTTTCACACTTCTCTCCCCTCTACTCTTCAAATCCTCCAAAATCTCCCTAATCGCCTTCTCCTTATCCCTCCGATTCTTAATCAAAGCCTCGCTCACGTCAGCAGGCGTCATCTCCGCCTTCTCCACCACTCTCTCCATCTCCTTCAAAACGTCGTCGTCTATATCCTCCTCCCCAAACCCCAAATAATTCTTCAACAGAATCTTCAACGAAGGAAAATTACAGTAACTCATGTATATATGCATATCCATCCTCCCACTCCTGAGCAATGCAGGATCAAGCTTCTCTATATGATTCGTCGTAAAGACAAAGATCCTCTCGCTCCCACAACAAGACCAAAGCCCATCTGTAAAATTCAACAAACCCGACAGAGTAATCGTGTTCCCATTACCACCTTCTTCCCCAGAACCCGACCCGGTTCGTGTTTCCGGGTCATAACAGCTCCGCTGCGAAACCGCATTACCACTACCGTTCTTCTTCCGATTCGTCAAATTGATCGAACAATCGATATCCTCGATCACGATTATCGACTTGGAGCTCGTCTTCATCAGCAACTTCCTCAGCTCGGAGTTGCTATGAACCTCGGTGAGCTCGAGGTCGTAAATGTCGTAACCGAGATAATTCGCCATCGCCGCGATCATGCTCGACTTGCCGGTACCCGGAGGCCCGTAAAGCAAGTATCCTCTTTTCCAAGCCCGACCCGTTTTCTGGTAAAAGACTTGACCTTCCGCGAAGTCCTTGAGGTCGTCCATGATCTGCTGCTTCTTAACCGGATCCATGGCGAGAGTCTCGAACGTGCTCGGGTGCTTAAAGGGAACAGATTCCCACGGATGGCCTCTCGAGTCCAGAGACCCGCCTCGCGAGTTCGTGTAGAGCAGCCGGTCCTGGTTTTTCCGGCGGATCTCGTTGGCTCTCTCCATGATGTAGTCGAGGTAGGAGTTGAGGATCAAGGTTTTGTCTTTCTTCTTGATTCGGAGAGTGAATCCTCGTTTCTCTTCGGGTAACGGTCTCCAGGCGAAAGTCTGAGTCTGGCGTTGAGTGACGACGTGTTCCCAGAGGACGGTGACGCCGTTGAAGGTGTCGACGATGGAGTCGTTGTTGGAGAGACCGAAGGTGATGGAGGAGGAGTTGACGGCGCGGGTTAGGCTTAGACGGTTTCCGGCGATGGAGACGGAGGAGCTTAGGTAGAGCTGGACGGCGTTGTAGAGCTCGTTGGTGTTGACGCCGTCGATCTCTGTGATGTCGAAGTAGCAGTAGGAAGAGAAGAGGTGGAAAGCTCGGTTGAAGAATTTGAGGAAGGCGAAACGGAGCTCCGGCGGGAATATTGATTGCATTAAGCTTTGGCAAAAGGCTAAAACGCCGAGAAGTGAAGCTAATGAGGTCCAATACTCTTTCATTTTCGTTGCTTTGATGTTCAGAGATGAGATTAAAAAACAGAGAGAAAGCTTAAAACAGAGGATTTTTGAGAAAGGTGTCAACTTTGCGGCTGAATCAAGGTGAGAGAAGGAGAAGAAGAAAAAAGGTGAAAGCTTTGAGAGATCAAGAAGAGAGAAGAGAGATGGGTCTCTCTCAATTTATAAACGGGAGGGTTTCTTTTTGAGTTCTTGTTTGACAAATTTTCTCAAGAAGACTTTATAGATATAAAGAAGATTAAAAAAGCAGAAGCTTTGAAAAATGAAAAGCTATATTTATAGCCTGGTGATGGTGAAAGAGGCAGAGAGGTTAAGGTAGGGCCATGAAAACATAACAAGTGTGAAAAGAGGAGAAACAAGAAGAAAAACAAATTTGGATTTTTGGAGTTTTTCTTTGTATTTATGCCTATCATTTATGGAGTTGCTGGATTTCGAGTTATTTACAGTCAAGATTTGTTTGGGACTTTCCTTTTTGTCTTCGTCGTTTTTAAAAATATAATGGATGAATATCTTAGACTTTTCTTTGTGTTTTTGTTCATCAAGTAACGTCTTTATACTATAAGATAACTATTGAGAGTTTGAGTCGGCCAGTATCTAGTGCTGTGTTAGATGTTTCATTTTTAGAAGTTACCCAAAACAAGAGGACGGCAACTGGCATGGAGGCATTCTGAAGAAGGGCTATTACGACGGTTTCTCCGGCATCAGCTAGCTTGAGACGTCTCAGGTGATCTATTGGAAACTCACAGGTATCACTGAGACGAGAGGGGGTCAGTGTGAGAGACATTAGCTCACAACGACTTGGGCAGTTAGCAGAACTCATATTGTACAAGAAATGATCTGATAGAGATGGTATTTTTTTTTTTAAAACTCATGTCAAATTGAGAACCCCTTATTTCTGAATTTAGCCGCTCTTCTAGATTTTGATACTTGCCACTCAAGGCTGCCTAATCTTTCCTTTTTTCTTGTGTTTAAAAAAATTCATTTCTGTTGTGTGTGACTGACTAAATTTGATTTATTTTATTAAGCTTTTCAAAATCAAAAGTTTTGGTTTAACAAGTTTAGTAGTTTTGGTTAACCGGCGTAATTGAATTTAGTTTAGTTTGGTTTAAATCAATATGACATTTAACTCTTTCACTGGAAATTATCAGTATGACATTTAAACAAGAGGACGGCAACTGGCAGTAGAAACTCGATAAATTTATCAAGAGGACGGCAACAAGAGGACGGCAACAAGAGGACCAAAAAGTTTCAATACTCGATAAATTAATAAACACGATAAATTAATAAATTTCTCCGGTCCCGAGTTGGGCCGGTGTAAAATATGATACAATTCGATAAGATAATAAGATAATAACTTTTTTTAAAGTCCTATGTAAAATATGGTCCCAATAATATCATAAATTAATAATTATATATAAAAACTTATATATATCTAAAATATCTAGCTATTAAAATATGAATCTCTCACACACCAAACATATATGGAAACTAAAAGAAATAGAAATTTAAAACAATATGACAAGTATGAGAAAATGTAAAGAATAAAGTAAATATAGAAATATCAAAGAGAAAAGTTAAGAAAATATACATATAAAGGAAAATTCTTATTTAATTTGAAGGGAAATTTAAAAATAGTAATACTGAATTTCTTTTTTTTGAAAAATATTTTTTAGTCAAAATCTATATATTAATAACTCTATAAATTAATAAAATATCAAATCCCGACATTATTAATTTATAGAGTTTTCTGCAAAAAAATTGGTTTAATGGAACCGGGGTTGTTGTTATTTCCTTTTTTATGTTTTCGGTTCAGGTGGTTCGGTATAGAGTTAAAAAAGGAAATATATGGTCACCAAAGGCACAAGGCACCACAGACCCAACCCAACCCAATATATATCAGAGCAAAACGAGAGAGAGAGAGAGCGAGTGGTTATTTTCTTCTCGTAGCTACAAATTTACAGGCACAAAAACCTTTCTTTCTACTTGTGTCATTCGTTCTGTAATTTGAGAATTAGGGTTTCGTTTCTTTCATAAAAAAAAATGGCGAGAGGAGGCACTAAGATTCAAAACGAGAAGATCGCGAACAAAAACTCACTCGCGACTTGTCGCACCAAACGCAGCTACGGTCTCTACAGCAAAGCGTCGCAGCTCTGTCTTCTCTCTGGTGCACAGATTGCGATTTTGGCGACTCCTTCTTCTGCCAACTCCAACGTCTCTTTCTACTCTTACGGCCACTCCTCCGTCGATTCCGTCGTGTCTGCGTTTCTCACGGGACAACGTCCTGCTCCTGCTCCAGCGGAAAGCAAACAGTCGAGAGAGGACCTCGGAGTTTGTTTGGCTCGTAAGGATCTCGGGTTAGGGTTATGGTGGGATGACAAGAGGCTTGACAGATCCCAGAATCCTGAAGAAATCAAGGAGGCGATTGGGTCAATTTTGAGTCTGTTAAGCGATGCCAAGAGATTGCGTTCGGATCACGCTTTCGTTAATGATGACCTGAAGAATGACGGAGGCGTGAAGAAGAGGAAGAGCGATGTTTTTTTACAACATGGAATTGATCAAGAGGTTAATCAAATCCTAAGTCTTGAGTCAACTTCTGCAATTTGTTGCATTCCTGACTACTTACAGAACACAGATACAGAGGTGAATCAAACCCTAAATCTTCAGTCGAATCTCACAGTTCCTGATGGTTGTCTCAAAACAGATACAGAGATCTTTGCGTTGGATGATGATCTACCTGCAAATCTGACCGAGTTTGTCAAAAGTACTCAAGATCAGGATCAGATTCTTCCGATATCTAACAGTTGCTACAATGATTTACCTGCAGGAAACTTGACTGATCAGCAAGAGATGGATCTTGTCAACAACAACACTGAAGAGAAGGATCAGACACTGCTGGTTTCTGACAGTTTCGATAATGATTTGCCTGCAGAATACTTGGATGACGAGGAGATGATGGATCTTCTTGAAGGGTTGTTACCAGATGATGATTTACCTGCAGGAAGCTTGAATGATGATCAAGAGATGGATCTTGTCAACAACAACACTGAAGAGAAGGATCAGACTCTGCTGGTCTGACAATTTCAATGATGATTTGCCTGCAGAATACTTTACTGATGAAGAGATGAAGGCACTTTTTGAAGGGTTGTTACCAGATGAGTTTGACGACTTTGTTTAGGTACTGATTCTGTTAAATTTGGTAAGAGAAGTTATGTCTTACAGTATTTGATTATGTAATGAAGGATCTGGTTTGACCTTATATCAGTTTTCTCATTTAAGAGAAACTGATTGAACTCAAACCTGTTTCTGCTTCGATTTGTATCTTTAATGATAAAATCTTGAGTTCTGTTTTGTTGAATTTCTAGTCTCAAGTCCACAATCATGTCTGTTAAAACATCTTAGCACAAGACCAGAGAGATGCCAAGATACTCAAACTGAACGTGAATACTCAAAACAATCTCGGTCACAGATGTATTACAAGTTTAAAGAAACAAAAACATGTTTCCCATCTCCAAAAAAATCGGGTTTTCTCAACTCTCTTTTCTTTCACATCACAATGAGAAAAAAAAAAAAAATATATTAAACCAAATGTGATTTTATAACCCTACAAACCTTCGTTTGGGGGTGGAGTTTTTTTTTTAGTAGAAAAAATTTGAATAGTTTTTTAGTTTGTGTTCCAAACTGATAAGCACTCGCTCTTCTTTTATGGTTTGAGGGCAAGAGCCAGACCAAGCCTCGGTGAAGAGGTTACAGCCTTCGAGTCATACTCAGCTGAGACGGTCACGAGCGACTTTGGTCTCCATTCTCTCTGTACCACCATCCCTGCTTTCCCGCTGTTAGAGAATCTGGTCTTCACCGTCGTCAATGGATCCACAGAGTGAGAGCTTCCGAAGCTGTAGCTGTTGTTATCATCGGCGAAGCGGCGGATCAGCTCCGCACCGACGGATGTGGTTGGGTTCATCGCGTGGACGTAAGTGGCTCTCAGAGACTCCCCTTTATTCTCAAGTATGAGCGCAGCGGAGAAGTCTGGCTTGCTGAGACCGATTCCGGCGTTGTACTTTGTTAGTGTCGAGGAAGCTGTGTCGAAGCTGACTTCACCGCCAAGGCAAAGAGTCTGGCTTCCGATTGTTGCTGAAAGATCTAGCAGAGGAGTTGGGTTTAGGCCAATGCTGGAATTGAGCGTGGCGTGAGGATGAACATATTGCACATCCAACTGACATATAGCAAAGAAACTGGTCAAGATAACAGCAATTGACTCAAAATTTCCATAACACTGAAGCTATTAGTAGTATTCCCTTATATGTGGGCTATGCACTGACCTTGCCAGACTTGTGATCAGGTATTTTGAAGCTGATGACAGCTTTAGCAGATGGCATGAGATTTTTGACAGTTACTTTCGTGGACACCTGCATAAAATATGTTCATTAATATGGGTTTTAAGGACAGTTAAGGTGCTAAAAAAGATCAGAAAGCATGTATTACTAGAGATAGTTCCTTACACTTGAGTGGCTGTCGATTTTCATATCAACAATGGTGTTTTGACCTTTATACAGTGTGCTTATGTCGCCGAAAAAGAAATCATCTTTCTTCAAACCTGTAGCTACAAATTCCTGTTGGAAATAAAAAAAGTTCATTATGCAGTGTATAGTTACATAGGTTCAAAAGCAAATTAAGCACATTGGTTTGAAAGAGGGAATGAAACAAACAACCCTACTTAGAAGACACCAGAATCACAAACAAATCTTCTCCAACTTACGATACCATCAAAAGCCATGTTTGGAAACCAAAGTAAGCACATTAGCTAGAGATACTAGCTATCAAAGATCATGCTTCTCACAAATAACGCATGACATGGAATGTATCTCTAGTTTTGGTCCAGAAAATCATGTAGCAGCACAGATTCTCTAGTATTGCAGGTATAAAATGGATTTAATCATTTCACGTTTAAAGATCCTGCTTACCGTTCCTGTGTCACTCAGCATTGTCAGGGTAAACTTGTGGTCGAAAATGTAATCCTTGTTCAGAAGATCTGCAGATTTTCACTCAGTCAATAATGGCCAACCAACACATAGAGCTTCACAACACACAGAGAGCATCACTGAAGCTAATTTACCTTTGGCTTTCTTGCCAATATCAAGAAATGGAGGTGGACTGCTTCCCATCTTCAGACGTAGAAATAGAAATGCACCAACACTGTTAAATTCACAAGCAAAGCAGAAACATTAGTCCCCCAACACAGAGTATGGATTCAAAGGCAAATCACAAGTTTGCAAAGATTCACAACAACAAAAATAGACTCATTCCTCTACATAATGAACACGATCAAGCTTCGAAGGAGAAGCCACAATGAGTTTCTATCATTTTCACACTCTAAACTTAATCATAAACAGTTGAAATCATTCACAGATATCCAACCAGGTCTACGGAAACTATCAACGGAAGCAAAAACACCAAAAGCAGATCGAGAGGAATCAAATCGATTAAAAAGCCAATCTCCAGATTCCACCATTCCAAAAAAACTCACAGTACACCAAACATCAACAAGGGAATATGAGGAGAATGATTCCTTACGCAAATGGAAGATCGACGAGTAAGAAGTCAAAGAGCGCTTCCCGGTCGATCGATAAACCCTAACTGCTCCGTCGCCACGATGATGGAATCAGGCGACGGCGGATTTTTTACCCTTTGAAGGAGACAGTAAGCACTATAGCAGCAGTAAAAGGCCTCGAGAAACTCAAAGAGAAGGAGGAGGTCCGATGATAAAGTTACTTGGCGTTCATGTTCGTTAGGTCACGAGCTCGCACGCTTCTTCTTTCCTCAGATAAAAGCCTTTTGCTAATTCGTCTGTGATATAACTTCCGTCACAGGCACAGTTGTATCCAGTTCGTGAGGCCCATTCACGCCCAAGCCGCCCCCTCACTGCTTCCTTCAGCTGTTTATGAAGATGACGACAATACCCCTAATATCGTTGGCATATGAAATGTAGAGTCAATCAAATCAAAAAATGAAAATGAAGAGTCAATCAAACATTTCATTATTTGTTCTATTTTTTTCTGTTTATAATTTTTTTTGTCCATATGCCAAATGATTTTATACAATGTTTTTTCTATTTTTCTTTTATGAATGTTGTTTTACTGATGTAATGTAAGTAAACTATAGACTATGAAAAAAAAACTAGATGTTAAACGTTGCTTTATGGGCCACCATAAAAAGCCCATCAGTATTCCATTGACTATTAGGCATGTTTTAACTTTGAACAATCATTTGTTACACTCACACATTCCACCCAAAAAGTCGATTATGAAAGGACATTAACGATCACGAAACCATTTTTTTAATGAAATACAGTGTAACTATAAAATACAATAATATGATAATAACAAAAAATAAATAAAAATATCTACTGTATGTGGTATAATTTAGAAGGTTTGAGATTGCTAGTAACGTTAAAATACTTCAAAGTCCGTATCCACTTCTCTTGGTTCTTCAACAAATGAACAGCAATAGTATCCGGCCAAAGCTCATGTGTGCATCTAGTCGGTGGCTCAGGAAAATTATACATCGACCACTTGGCGTTAAACCGGTTTTTCCCTCGTCTTCCTTCTCGAATCCAATCGCCAAACACTTTGTCTTCAGGACCTTCTAGATGTTTCTTGGGAATTTCCGAGTCTTTGAGCCAAACCGCAATGTCCCACGACACTAAGTAACCCATTCCTGACATGTAATGTACGAACGGGTCCATGCTTGGACATGGAATGACGTAACCATAGTAGAGATCATCTCGAGGCAATGGTCTTAAAGATGCGACGAGGCTTTCTAGTCTTATGTATGTGTCGTCGTCGGCTTTCATTACGTAGTGGTACGGTGGGTTTGGTGAACCGGTTTCGTTGAATATGTCTGGTAAGCTTGAGAAGTAAGTGTAGGTCTTGCCTGTGGACAGTAGGAAGAATTAGATTAGTTAAAAATGTAACAATTATTCCAATTCGGTTAAGTCGCTCTAAACCGAACGAAAACCTTGCTAAGAGATTGAACCGATAAAAGAAATTATCATTTCGGGTATGTATTTTTCTATATAATGAAAAAAATCGTGATAGCAAAAAGCACTATATATAACCTAACGAACGAGTGGTGAATTTTGAAAATGCATCATCAAACCAAACTAAATTAATTGAATTCAAATGAAATCAGACCGAATTTGGCTCTAAACCGAGATAAACCAGTTACCTTTATTCATATTCTCGTTGCAATTGAGTATGATGATGTCATCATAACGCATGATCTCCAAAGCGACAAGCACTTTCTGATCTTCTTTAGTCAGATTACAGAACACGAACTTCACGTCGATCTTAACGCCGGCGGGAACAGCCTGAGTACCGTAGATCATCCGGAGGAAATTCCGACGTGGGTACTGATCGGGAAGTGTAAGAATTCCGATAAGAATCCTAATTTCATCCTCTGAAGAAGAAGAAGAAGACAACAGTGGAGTCTCCGATGATCCGTTGTTCATCGGAAACTTTGACAGAGCACATCTTCCGAAACTCAATAAACTGTCGAACCTGATTTCGTTGATGAAAGCTAACACACAGAGAGCTATGATGAAGAAGAAAGAAGGGATGATGAATTTTCTTCCTTCCGATCTCGGAGATTTCATTTCCCTTCTTCAGTGGAAGCTAGAGATGTTGAAACAGAGGAGGAAGAAGTAAAGAAATTAAATAAAAGTCGAAAATTTTAACCTTAATGGAAACGCATTTGATATTTTTTTCTTGCTGTTATGGGGAATGAAAAAAAAAGAGCTTTAGAGGAGCTTAAGTAACGTGAGGTTAAAAAGCAGAGTTTGTAAACGAAGCAAGTGTAGTGCTTCAGTATCTCACGCCTTTTATCATGCAATTGCCTCTTTATTTATACAATAACAGCAATAGTAGATCAGCAGTATTTTTTTTTTGGTGATCGTTTAGAAAGATCACTTCAGAAATATAAGAAGACATGTAGAGAAATTAAAAAAAGAAAAAAATAGATGTACAAAATATATATAGCAAAGCTTTTGATTTGATAATGATAACGGCTAAACAGAAAGTGAATTCGGCCTAAAATGTTTTTTATTTTATTTTGCTGTTAATTCAGTAAAACTTTGAAGTCTTATGGAATATGGAATGATCGTATTTATATCCTGCGATTTGTCAACATATTTAAGTCAAATTAGTTCAACTTGAAAGGCCTTGTACTATATGAGATCTAAGTTGTAGGCAAAAAAGTGGTGGATCCAAGCCTAACGCATGGCCAGAAATGATAAAAATATACATGTAGCTTGCAAAATTGAAAAGTTGGGTGATTGGAGTCAAATGATAAATTTGGTAAAAGAAAACTGAGAACGTGGTCGGCTTCGGATTTCGCGACCCGCAACAGTCTCATCTTGCCACTTCTTCTCTATAAAGTTAATTAAGGCGTTGACTTCTTTCAGATCTCGTTATATGTTTTGGTGGGTTTGCCTTTTTCTCTCTGCTTGCTTAGGTTTATGAATTACAATATTATAGTTCACATTTGACTATTTTGTTTTACGATTTGAGAAATGTCATTATTCATGAGAACATTTTAATCGAATAAAAAAAGTATTTTCGAAATTTATTAGGGAAGGTCAATATAGCCACTAACCCAAAAAGTCCATTATCGAAGTTCAGCCCAATTAGGTCATATTGAGTAGAAGAGTGTATGAAACTTATAGGATCTAAATTGGGCTGAATTTGGATCAACATTTTCTGTTTTGCATAACAAAGCTATAAGCTCGAGTTAGTGTTCGTTGTTGTTGCGATTAAAGAAATCTTGAATCAGTCAAATTAAAAAAGAGGATAATACTTTACATTATCACATGATTCACATTCTTATTTCACTTGACATCATTACATTAATAAAGTATACAATGTAAATGAATAAATAATGCGACTCACTATACACTAATGACAATGGATAAGCCTACCACGATAAAAATATAGCAGGCCTCATCGTCAACTAAGACCCAATGAAATTTGTAGGATCTTAGTTCTTATTACAACAAATGAAAAAATGAATGAATAAATAAAAACAGAAAATCTTAAAATTAAGGCGACCTGTAGTTGAAACTCTGATTATTGCCATGATAATATTTAAGTTCCAAAGAGATTTGTCTCTCAATCTTAAGCTGCTTGTAGAAATTAGCTATGAACATCTCAGCTTTGCTGTCTATGTCTTCGTCTGAAGATGGATCATAACTCTGCATTCTACGGAGCGCTCTCCTTGAAGAACCGGTTGACTCCGGTTCATTCTCCTCGGTATAAGCTTCTGCTAAACCAGGTCTATCGTTGAAACTAAACCGAATAGATGATGAAGAAGAGGAAGAACCAAGCATCGGTACGAGACCCCAGAGGCTGTGTAACTTGAAACTTAACACGAACTTCACTTTATTCACGGCTTGTCTCAACCGGTTTAGTAGCGAACCGTCTTTGCTCTTTGCCATATCAGCAGATAGCCAGATACAATACCTTTTTTTCTTCTTGCTGAATAAATACTGTGTCGATGGATCTTGTGTGTGTGTGTGTGTGTGTGTGTTTGTGCTTTTCGAAATATGTATGTTGGAACAGAAAAAGTAGGGGTCTTATATAGACACGGTCACACGGGTAATGTCGGCTGCAATTCTAAGCGAAAATTCAAAGAAAAACTGTATAACATATAGTTTCATTATTATTATAATAAGTAGGAACATGAAACTGATTGGAAGTTTACGTACCAATATTGAGGCGGCGTATCAAGATGGTATAGCGAGTGAAATTTCCAATATTTTAAAAGAGAAGTGGGCCGCAAGTATACATGCACATGGTTTAAAGCATTTTTCTCTCCCTTTTTTGGTTACTGATTTTACAGTAGTCTAATGGTTACTGCCTTACTGGTTTACAAATCATTTAGTTTAAGCTACCTGCATGGGCATTTGAACTCGATGTAAATTGAGAATGACACTAAAAAGATTCTGGACCAAGTAACTCTTTCTGAACTGATTCAACGTCCAGAATTAGGCGACTTTAGTTTATATTTTTTGCTGGTATTTATTGAAAAAGATAGTTATTAAATTAATAAATAAATATATATACAAAATTGTAGTAAGAGATAAAGAACCAATAATAGGTCAGTCAACATTGCGGGCGTAGACTTAGCTTTTCTTAATCGCGTTATTAGTTTTATCGAGGTTTCTTGTAATTTTTTTTTGTCAACGAGAAATGAGATGGATTACAATTTTTTTTGTCAACGAGATCGTTTGTTCTATATTTCGTTTTGTAATGGTCTTATATTGAATACAATATTTCGAGTTGCAAACTTTGTTTTCTAAAAATAATAAGTTGGATCAACCAAACGTAATAAATATCATGAAATCATTTTAAACTTGTTTTTATTTTTAAAGAAGAATAAGTGGGATTCATCAAATATATAATCATTTTTATTGTTGTCATTTGTTAGATAATTATCTGTCTTTTATTTTGTCTATTTTGAATCTTTGATGCCACTTTTTTTTTCTTTGTCAAACATATTTCTTTCTAGAAAAAAAAACTAGATGAAAATTAAGAAATCTAAACTGATAAAATAATGTACAAAAGTCAAAAGGTTAACTACAAGATACTTAACACTATGTGCCAAACAATCATAATTAAGATTTTTTTTTTCATAATTAAGATTTGATAAAGAGAATAAACGAAAAAAGAAGAAAATATATGTTGGGACGAAAGAACGTATCGAGAAGTAGAATGAAAACTGAATAATCTTTTCGGATATACCGTCAGCTTCATAATTCCACCGTCTGAAAAACAGTTTTGTTTTTGTTTTTTCTGGGCTCCATACAAGACATGCTGCCACAAGAGTCAAGACATTGTATGTATATTCAAGTTTCTTCGTAAGCTGTTACTACAAAGACCATTCTGATTAAGGAAGCCCGTGCTTAAGTTGCCACGGGAGATCCATTAGTAAATAGCTTTAAAACTCAATCTTTAGTCTTTACTCTTTACTATCTATAATGTTTGGAAAATGTAAAATTTTAAGGATTATCTTTATACCTTTACTGTACGGATATCTTACCATATCATTGTATAAAGTAGGTGAAAAAGTTGTGCGAAAATATAACAATCGACTGGATATCATTGTTTATATATGTTTTGCCGTATACAGCTCAATGTTTAGTATGATTTACGTACAATTCATGACATCATCACATACAGTATATCGTTGATGACTAATCCAAAAGATTAAAAAGCTAAAGATTATAACATCTCATAACCAAAAAAAAAAAAAAAAAAACAAAGCAAAGAACTATGGAATAATTGACAAGACATCAGTTTCATGTTCACGCTCGCAACTTCTAATTGTCAACTTTGCTTCACTCTTTTGTCTGCCACCTTTTTCTTTAAATTCAATAATTTTTAACAGTTTTAGATGAAATGAATAACAATTTCTATCCATCTTGATTTTGTTCTCTTCTTTTCTTTTTTGTTGTTGGTCAAGTCCTCTTCTTTTTATCCTCCTTGATTTCATTTATAATTCCAGCTAATCATTTATCCAACTAAAACTAATAAATTTGTCATATACAAGAACAACACAATAATTTTATTTTTCTTTATTCTATAGCGTAACTATGAATTTTATGGTCACTTGGTGTTTTTGATAGTATACTTTTGACACTATTCTTCTTTGGTTCTTAAGTCTTTCTATGTCATTAATGCCTTAACTAATGCTTAGAACACCTTTATCAATGGTTTTTTAACATAAGTTTTTTACAAAAGGAAAAAAGAAATAACAATAATTTATTGAATAAATAGTTTATAAATCTTTTTTAAAAGACTTTGGGATACACACTCAATAAAATATTATCATATTTTTTTTGTGAAAAATTCATGTTGAGAGACTATTATTAGAGATATTATTTCTTATTTCGCATTTTTTTCCTAACAAAACAATACACAAAGACACATTTTTGGGGGTTTAATATCACAACACGTGGAAGTGGCTCATACTAAAAACTACAAATGATTATTACATATCAAATTTAATTGGAGCTCAAATTATTGCTAGATGGACCCGGTACGCAAAAGGTCCAAAACCATTATAATTTAGCATTGTATCACAGCCAAACATTTCATATCACTAATCTGTCGCTATTTTCGATTGTTTAAGGATGTGTTAACTCTTGGTGGATGGAAATACAAGTTTTCAATATAGGACATGACGCTAAAAGAAAGTGACGTGGAGATTCGGATAAGAACACAGTAAAATGATGAAGTGAGATTGCATTATGCATAGTATCCTCCTCTATTTTAAGAATATTTATGAAATAGCATGAATTTTGTTGTTTTTAGATTTATCCACTGACAAGTTAAAGTTTATAACGATTGAAGCTTATACAGTGACTTGCACCATAAGAAACAGTTTTTTTTTCTCTTTTCTAAAGTGAGTGTTGTTGCTTTATGTGGTCCGTTAGCAAATTCTTCGTCTCTCTCGATTAATTTCTAAGTTGAGATTGTAGGTCGTCATGGACCTACCAATATAGATACATGAAATGTTAATTGGCATATATAACTTCACTTCGGAAATGTGATTTTGTCATGTTTCTATTATTCAGCTAATATTCATCATATTGATATGATATTCAGTTCTTCTACATTACAGTATCTTTATTTTACTACTTATCGTACTTTTACTATAGCATACCATTCACGAACACAAACCATGTGTCTGAACTGAATTTCAGATTACAACATTTGGATTTGTTACTACAAGTAGACAAAGATAAAACATGTTCACAACCATTCCCGTCTCAGTTCCTGCAATTGTATCCCATATCATTTCTAATAATTACAGATAACAAATCAGAGACCAAATATTTGTTACAAAGTACAAAGACTATATGCTTTGACTGATCATAATTAATATGAATAAATATAATATATATCGAGTTAATGTTTAATTAATGTCTTCCCGTAAATCTTAATTTGGAATCTGTATAGAAGTAATCAAGAAGGTTAACATGAACAAAACAAATCATGTGAAACAAATCTTGTTGTGTTGTGTCTGTAATAAAGAGACAAAATGCTCAGCGCAAACTTAGCCGACTGTTTAGATTGTAATCCCACAATCATGGTCTATTCTTGTTCTAATCATTCCCCTTTCCTTCTTAAAAAAAATGTATTATGAATTTATATATTTTATAATGATCAGATCTGATACTCGCTGTGATACTTCTTCTTTTTTTTTTTTTTTTCTTCTCTGTGTGTTGCTTCTATCTATGTGTAAGTGGACATAATGGGAGCGTTATGTGACTCATTTTTCCTATTGGTTGAAGTCGTACGCCGAATTTGCATAAACCAATCAACTTGATGAGTTTTTTTTCTTTTTAAATAATCAGCAGAATTATATTTATGATTTTTTTCCATAGCTTTATAACTCAGTCCCATTCAGACATTCACTTCCCATGTGCCATCCTGAGTTGCTACTTTGCTAGAATTATTTTTAAATTAAGATACAGATTTATTTAACATATATACTAATATACTATTGGTTCAACCTATTTGTATAATTGTATCCCAACCTGTTGTTAATGTAAGAGCTTTCTAAAATTTAGATAACGAGGGATTTGCTTATGTACTTCATATTTTACCTTACGTGTAAATTTAAGTTAACCAAATTTGTGGGAAATTAAGATGATCTCTTAATCAGTTACTGGATACTTTTATAGCATATAGTAAGACTGATGCTTTTTTTTTTCATGAGCTTAACTTGTTTCAAACAATATCAAAGGTAATTTTGGCAATTTGCATCTTAACTATTCTAAAACTATAGTATGATGATAGAAAATGTGAAGGTACATGCATAGTATCATACGGACATTCTTGTCCAACAAAAGTGTCATAATGTACGCAATCTATCGTACAACTTATTCGTCTGCTTTTTGTCCAGTTACTTATAGATACGTAGTAATATTATAACAACATATACATGAAAGTATATACTATATACAGATTATGTATTGTAGACTAATCGTCACATGAAGTATTAATGTCGTCCCATCGTAGGACAAATAGATTTGAGGTGGACAGCAATATAGTCCAACCTTCTTTTTAAATTTTTATTTTGGTCGCCTTATCTTCCACGTCTCCTCGTAATCAAATCACAGAATTGCATTCAGTTTACATAACAGCAAAAGAAAAGTATGTCGTCATGTTATATCTCTAGTTTTACCTTGATTATAGGGTAAATATCATCCAATTTATCTTGTAAATATCCATTTTGTTTAGTCGCACATGATGATTCTAAATTTACGACAGAAGGTTTTCTTATGGTTATTAATTAATTTGTTTAGACATAAATAATTGATCAATCAATTTCACTTCGCTGGTTAGCAAAAGTACGATAAACTTAAAAATCTATTGGACCCAAAAGTAATTAATTAAAGAAAGCGAAACAAGCATGAGAGATTAGTACACAAACGTAATCTCTCTCAATCTTTAAACGACAAAAGTCTTAATGAAACATATGTACACATGACACCGATGTGTCTTCACTGATCGAAAGTAATTGAAATTATTTGAAAACTGAAATGACTTCTACGATTGTAAACTCACGGAAGGCAAAACGTGATATATCCAAAGTGGGTTCACTGTGGCGCAGTCCACATCTTATCTGGTACGAACTCCTTGTGAACCGTTGGATGGAAAGATTGATCGTACGGTGGGCGATGTTTTCAATTAATTGGGGGTTAACATCATCTTACATGTTTAAGCCGAGTCAAAAAGCTCTATCACGCTAAGTGTTCATTGCCATTACAGGAAATTTGATAAGAGAGCTTTGATCTTAAGTCTTTCTTTCGTTTTTCATTAATTATTTAATGAACCTAACAGCTGTTTTGATTGAAACCCTATTCAATCTGTTGCTTAGACAATTATATCCTTTTTACAGTAACTTTTATCTTAGTCAATGCATCTTATAATTTTCTTTATCAATGATAGGAACTTATATTATTATTACAAAAAAAACAATCTCACATCTGGATACAAATTAATGAACTACATTTTTTTTTTAATACAAGGACGACATTTTTATAAATCAGTCACACATAAATTTGTGATACTTGATACGTTTATTATTAACTTGCGAACTACGATAGAGTTAGTGAGGATGGACGTTTTGTTCATATCAAATTTAACCATTCTTTATAACCACATATGTATAGTTGAAAATTCATTTTGAAAATGACATCATTCATCGTAAACGATTGCTTAGCAAAGTCATATAAAGCGGTATTTTCTATTTATATGATCATCTTTATCTCCTAATATTTGTGGTATGATTTTAATTTTGAGCACAAGTTGATTTCTTGGTTATGCTTAGAAAATTTTGGTATGATTGGAAAATTTTAAAGAATTGCTCTTTCCGAAAATTCTATACAATAAAAGTAATTTAAGCAAGTATATGGTATAACTTGATTCCAACTAGAAAACGGCATAAATCAACTACAATGCTCAATTTAAAACTGATATCATATGTGTCTAGTATTAACAACTACCACATGGGACATCATTTTTAAGGTGTTCAACACTCTAAAACGATACCGGTAGATATAATAATATATATGTATTGAGAAATATATTAAACTCGGGGGAAAAATAATAATAGATGGACCGACAAAGGGTTCAAAGGGTGCCATTAATGGAGGCGACAACACTCGGATCCCCACTGATTCTTTCAGCTTCCATGTCTCATCTCTCTAATCTCTCTCTCCTCCATACTTTACAGTCGAAGTTGCACCAAACAAGAGTTTTGAGCAAACCTACGCACCTTTACACCTTAAATATAGTGCCCCTCAGGCTCAAACTCTTCAAACACACTTCTCTCCTCTCATCCTCTCTGATCTCTCTCTCTCTTTCTCATTATTCGTTTTTCTCTCTCTAAACATTGAGTATGGACTTTCAGCCAAACACATCTCTACGTCTAAGCCTACCAAGTTACAAAAACCACCAACTAAACCTAGAACTTGTTCTCGAGCCTTCTTCTATGTCTTCTTCCTCTTCTTCTTCTTCCACGAACTCATCATCATGTTTGGAGCAGCCTAGGGTCTTCTCTTGTAACTATTGTCAAAGAAAGTTTTATAGCTCTCAAGCTCTTGGTGGCCATCAAAACGCCCATAAGCTTGAAAGAACCTTAGCCAAGAAGAGTCGAGAACTCTTTAGATCCTCAACCACTGTTGATACCGATCAGCCTTACCCGTTCTCTGGCCGTTTCGAGCTCTACGGTCGTGGCTACGAAGGATTTGTTGAAAGCCCCGGCTCGAGGGACTTCTCCGGCCGCCATGTGCCAGAGAATGGTCTTGATCAGGACAAGGAGAGGAGTCACATTGACTTGTCGTTAAAGCTTTAAATAAACTTTGTATTTTGGTTGTCATATTATCATATCAATTGTCAATCTTTCAAGTAATTGCTTTCCGATAAGTCTATTATTACTTATTAGTCATGTTTTCTTATTTTAAATCGTGTTTACATCGTACCAGTAGTCCTAAATTCAAATCAAAATTTGCTTTTGGAAGATGTTACCTATATTTTTCTGTATTATTGCGTTTCCGAATTTTACAGTTTTTTTTTGTTTGTTTGAATTGATTAAAAGAAGTAAGAAAACAGAAGATGAAGGATGAGTATTTCTCTTATATAGATGGTTATTTTAGTTATTCTTAGTATAATCACATATATTACTGCATTATAAAATGGGTGTATGTCGCTTATATATCATACATTATTGATCAATATATCAATGTGCCCCGACAAGGAGACATGTGCTGCGAAACTATACTTAGTTAAGTAAATTTTCTATATATATATATATATATATATATATATATATAACATTTATCCACAGTCCACAGATGACATCAATAAATAATTAAATACATACATATACGTATCTACCGGTATATTTCACTTACGTTCCTCAGCTCATACGTCATTTACTCATAAGTTTTTTTTTTGTTCTTTCATTCAAATACCACAAGTATGGTATGTTCTTCATATATGATGAGCATTATCACCATGTTCGTATTTATAGCATGTTTGATCTAACTTTCAAATTATAAAAAATTAATTGACATTATTGAAATTATTTAATTATTGTAAAAGGGAAATGGTTCTAATACTAAATTTTGAAATTTTTATATTGAATTGAAAATAATAAGTCTTACTTTCAAATGACTAAATAATACTATTTCAAAACTATAATTTAAATAACTGATAAAAAACGGAACAGCATGGTAAGATTCTAATGTGTTTTTTTTTCTTAATAAACTTCTTGAAACATTTTTGGTACTTGTAAGCTTCCTGACTCTCAACTGCCATCAATGATCAATCAAAGGTTTCGTTTAGTACACACTACAAACACACACCACATAAAAACCTAAGTCGATAGACTAAATCCGTATATCCTACAACAAAATGTTTCGCTAAATTTATTTTAGAATTATATATTATAATATTTTTGAAATAGTATCATCTGATGTGTTTTTCTTAAGAATTACTAATGGTTATATCTTGATTATTCTATTATCTGATTTTTCCAATAATTTTTGTGATCGATTTATAATAGTTCACCATAAATTGTACCGTTCTAAAAGTAATTTAATTATGAGGGGACTAATCACGAAAAAAGGTTGTTGACGTATCATTTTTTGTTGAATTGTAAAAGTTTTCAGCCTCCTAATGTGGAAATCTAATTTTCGTAAAATTATTACTTGTACTTGGTACTTTCTTATCGATCGTGCATTTGTTTCTTAGTTTTAAGCATATGACAGCCGGCAAAACCAAAGTTTACACAGTTCAAATAGAAAAAAGACCAAAGTTTACAGTGCGATATTGAAATTAATAAAAACATGAGCGACAATTATTTTAATCTGTAAGAAAGTTAAGAAACATTACATAAGGTGAACATAATAATTTGCCTTGGTATACAATTATACATGTACAGTATGTAGCTTTCTAATTTTAATTCGATTTGGTTCATTGGCGGTATTTAATGTGAGCGAACAATTTGATGTAAGGAAAATAATATAGACCCGAGTGAAGGTATATAAATCTAGTGGCGTGTATGAGATGAGAAAATGCAGAATTAAAAATATGACTTTAGATTCAATAATGCAATGTCTGATTTGAGCAAGTCACCATGATCATTTCCTCGAGATAATGTTTCCCTTCTTCATGGCCTTAAAAGTAATGTTAATTTGAACACAAGAAAAATTCACAAAGAAACTGAAAAAGCTAATGTCATATTAATTGAAGTAGATTATTTTATACTAACTACAAGGTGTTTTAATGTAATTTCATCTTAACATTAGAATATGATGTGCTCATGTAGTCATGTGCCAACTTAAAATGTCAAAACAATATTGTTATAAAACAGAAGGAGTACACTCTAGTGTTGGAAACATATTACTCATATTGGATATGTGTAATTCATTTTTTGAATTTTTTTACCTAAACACATAGAGCATTATGTTTGAGTTTTCCATTACAATTTGGATTTACCCTATTATGAAAATGTTTTTTAGTCAATGTTATGCTACTTTTGAAATTTGTGAGAACTGAGAACTATCCATTTCTTTTCTATAAAATTAAATTAGGTTTAAATTATTATTTAAAAAAAAAATTGAAAAGTGGTTTAAAATTTAACGTTATCATCTTTCTTCTTCTTCTTTTTTTTTTTTTTTTTTTTTTTTTTTTTAACGTTATCATCTTCTTATTATAAATAACCGATTTGTGTGAGTCGACAGCCAATATAGTTTCAAACTGGTTTATCGTTAAAATACTTATCATGTCTTTCACGTCGAAGTCGATACATGGAATCTTGATAACTTTTATTGACATGATTGAAGAGATGTGTAAGAGATGAGTGTTTTCGTCCAAACACAAATGCAACCTTCTAAACTTTATTAGTTACCAATCTTGTCCATCGTTTGCAAGAGACCAACAAATTTTCTAATGGAACTCCCAGTGTTATTATCTCATTTTAATCGATCTTCGTTTTATTTTTCTTGTTCTATAAATACCGACTAAGAGTTTTAGACGTAATGAACTTAACGGTGGGTCCAAAACGGTGGTCGTATCAATCAAAGTCTTCATTAGATATACCTTGAATCGATCATGGTTTTCAACTTACTTATATTATAAAGGAAAGATAGATGAGACATGAGTTAGACTAATTCTACAACAATGATTATGTTCTGTTTTATGATCAATCAGACGTCAAAAATTCTAAATGTTACTTATGTGAGTTATATAAAAAAAAAAGGTTACGTAGTTGAATCTATCGGTACCATGGAAAGTCAAACATTTTGAGTTGAATGTTTAGTAACATTGACTTATTTTCAGAAAAAAACCCAAGGCCCAGTTCAATAAAAATAGGGAAATATAAGTAGATAACCATAAAAAAAACCAAATATTAACAAAATATCATAGTGAAGTCATGGTTAGAATATTGTTTGTATTTTCTGTAATAATGCCCAAATTGACCTTCATGGATGAGAAATAAATTGATTTCAGAAAAAAACGAGGCCTGATTTTTATTAGATTTTGCTCTTCATAAGAAATTTTCAGATTCTTTTTCAACCTTCTAAGATCTACGAATTATTTAGATATAAATTCATTTGAATGGAGTTCAACTAAGAAAAAGATGACCAGTCTTCTACAAATTTAGCCGTGAATAAACCAGAATTTTCTCTTGCTGCCGAGATAAAAATCAAGTTTCCGATTCCAAATCTGGGCCAGAAAAAGAGTTCGATGTTGATCTGAAATAGTATAGTATATAGATCCACAAAACATCATCATGTTCACAACTTATTTCTTGAGAATTTTGATTCGAAAGCATGTGTTCACAAAACTGGAATTAAATTGAGTAGTGTGATCGGTGCCGGCATAGAAACTCATCGTATTGCTTCAAAGAATCTCATCATGTAACATCATTGGTATTTTTAAAACTTTTAAATTTTCATATTTTTCACCTATAAATTTCATCATTGGTATTTTTCCCTCTTTCTTAGCCTCTCGTTTCTCAATTCTCATGTCCGTCAAAGCGAAGCAGAGCACCGCCGATGCTCCTCCGTCTTCTTCGCATGTGACTTCCAATTAAGCAATGAACATTCACGTAGTGTCTTCCGTATTCTTCGAAATCTATCGCATCCCTTAACCTCCACGACACTCAATCTCTTCTTTGTTCTATCGTCCTCGTCACGGAAATAAATCGGCGTAGACCGGCGACCCATTTTACACTCATCCTATAGCGACCAGAGCAAAGCCAGTTTGGGTGGTGACACCGATGTTTCGTCGTCTTCTCGATTAGGGTGGAGAGAAAATAACATGCGTATGAAAGGAGAAATCGGTCCAAAAAATGTTTCTCTTTGTTACTTTCCTAATTTTTCAATTAGCATGCTATATTCTTAATATTATTCATGGTTATCTAGCAAATTAACCCATAAAAATAACTGACAAAACTGATTCTTTTGTTTGTACACAAGAGTTCTGTTATTTGCTCTGTTTTCATAACAGAATACTCTGTTTCTTTGCTCTATTCACAGGTTGGTTTGCTTAGGTTCGAATCAAATTTTATTATTGTTATAAGAAATGGAAAAAAAGTCAACAGTATAATAGTAAAATCAAATAAACAAATCATGAGGTCAAATTATAAAGAAATGAGAAAAACTGCATCAAGTTCTTGAATTTTTTCGGTAACATGATCAGTCAAGGTAGCATTCTTTGGGAAAGCCTTGAGGGAACCTCTTGTAATCAGTACAATAGTTATAGATCATGTAATCATCTTGTACCCACTTCATCTGTCCTTTCTGATTCGAGTTAAGCGTAGTCCACATCCACGAGTTGCTATTCGCATTGCACGTAACCCAGTTCCATATCGAGCTCCGACTACAGCAATCATAATCGCTGAAGCTCCTGTAGGAAGCGCTGAATGGAGCGTTGGTCCAGTCGGTCTTGACTCGACCGCCCTGCGTGGCCCAGTCATCAGCTTCCCATAGACTCGAGTAGATCTTCATCGGCTGGCTCTTAGGGTAAGCCACACCGTGAACCTCGTTGTTCTTGAACACCCTGATTGGGATTCCGTCCACTAGAAAGCTTTTTGAGATCCCAAGAAAAAAAAAAAAAAAAAAAACACACAAAATCAAGAACCGTAATGGATTTGATCAAAATCAAGAACCATTATATTCAAAACGGCTAAAAGTGGAACAAAACAAGATATGTTATAAGGTCTAAACACCGTATAATTTATAAACGTTTTTTTAATAACAATTAATCAAATTTACTTACATGATGTTGAGAGGGTTCCAATGAACGGTGTAGGTGTGAAAGTCGGCAGTGGGATCAAACCAGAGA